TTTAGTGGTGTCTTGTCCTTGTCACCGTCCTTATCACCGTCCTTGTCGCCATCTTTATCACCGTCATTTGTGGTTCCGGTTGGCTTTGGGGGCGCAGGACATCCTTCCTTGAAGGTCTTCTTGATGTGGGCGGAGCTTTGGTCGTTGGCTTCCCTGCAGGCCTTCCACTGGAGGTCGCAAAGACCCGCTAGCTTGGCTGGAGTGCAGCCCCCAACGGCATTGGTGTGCTTTGCACAGGTAGCAGCAGTTGCCCACTTAGTTTTGCAGTGTGTTCGCTGCTCTCCACAACCGTTCCAGCAGGCATATTGCAACTCGGTGATAGTGCAAGCATACTTGGTTCGGCACTCGCCACCGGGGTAAGGATGGAGCTTAATCCCCTTCTCCTGGTTGTTATAGCAGACATAAGGTGCAACAACATCATGAATAGGATGCTTCTTGATATTAGGGAAGGCTTTGTAATTGTCTGCTTTGAAAGCTGGGATAGTGCACAGACTGGGTGTCTTGGAAGAAATCCCAGTGCCATTTGGGTCTGGGGTGGTCGGGGTGGTGGATGGTTCTGGATCAGTTGGGGCCTTTCCAGCCTCGGAGATACTGTGATATAGACCATCAGTCTTGTGTCCACTAATATTATAGATATATTTGAAGATATGCAAACTTACCCGAGGAGGATGGCGCTGGCGAGAGCGACGTTAAGCCGCATCTTAGCTACTTGGTAATGAAAAGTCTCTTAGAGTAGAGGAGTAGTTGTTTGAAAGAATGAATGGATAGGGTATGAATCCCAAGGAATGTCGTAAATGATCGTAAAGGAACGAATGAACGTAACCAATTCAATGAACGAAAATGAATGTATGAACTAAGAGAATGTCATAAACCAAGAGCCTACACTGATGCAAGATCGAGCGAGTGCATGAGGATAAAAAAAAAGAATCCAGACATCATGGGAGCTGCTCCCCTTCATATAGACATCTTGGCCCGTGAGGGGGCTCTTGGGAGGGCACTCTTGCTATAGTAGAGCAGAACTTTACTATGTCCGCAGATTGCATACCCAGCCGGGAGGGCGTTCGGTTGCTAACACAGAACTATAGCTGGGCCTTGGCACTTAAGGTTAAACAGATGTTTCTGCGCTAGACACCATGACATTTCGCATACCCCAACCCCAGGGAGGTATTGGTGAGTGTATACCGAGTAGCTCAACCCGAGGAAGTTCTTCGACTCGTGGGAGGCCATAGGTATCCACTAGCCCGAAAACCGGATGGAAGCTTGGGTCGTTTTGTGTTGTCCAGCCGAAAATGACACACTACACGACCCTCCTTGGCAGACGCCGCATGTAGGGCCCTTCTCTAGGACAGAAGATCACCAGATCTCCCTCTCTACTGCGGTGGTTGTGAGAATTTAGGGAGAACGGTGCCCTGTCGAAGATATTTAAGCCCGCTTGGCGGCAGTAAGGTTTGGGTAATCAATCTTTTGCGCGTGCATGCAGGTTGTCAACGATTTTCGCGATGATGATTGATCCGGTCTCAGTCTGATAGACGCCACGTCTGCCAAAGTATCCTACATGCACTAGCCTCTTCTGCATCGGAAAACGGCGAGGAATTTTCATCTCTAAGTTCTTGGGAGATCCGGTTATGGGATCCGGTTTGCCAGAGATTTGCACCCAAGATACGTTGTGAATTCATGAACAATTGTCTGTTCATAGACTTGTATGCAGTACATCGGACCAGCGCAGTTGATAGCTATAGGTCGTCTTGCAGACCGTGACCAGCACTGATCAAGTCAGAATCGTCTGATAATCGAATTCGGTAGGGCTCTTGAATTCTGGGTTATGGTGGCCTCGTGCTGGTTCGTGTATCTTCCAACAATGACCACCAAGGTCTTCCGCGAAGCTTCAAGGCTAGAGTCGACAGAACCATCCTAGCTATTGGCCAACAGGCCCGTCAGAGTTCGCTTTCTGAAGCAGTCGGTTCAAGGACCCGGTGGGGCCGACCGTGGTAGGATGCCGTTAATGGTAATGGAGGTTACATGCATCTCAGCTCAGTTCAGTTCAGATTTGCAGTGAACAGGTGTTGGTTATTTCTGGAAGCGCGAAATGTTTTGTTTGCTGTTTTGATGCGAGCGCGGGGAAGCCCCACTGTACCCACGGCTGCCGCTGCCGCATCCAAGCCAGATACCCGGAAAGAGGTTCGAATAGGCCCGGCAGGAAACACCTCACGAGGGGCGTCGAAGTTAATGAATAAGACAGTCATGGCTTAATATAATTTAGTCAAGCTGATTAACAAGCTCATTGATTCCGAATCCGTGTTCGTTTACATGTATATTCCCCCATCCGCATGGCATGCATCGTCCCTCAATTAGGTTCACGGACATGATTATAACGTTAAGCGACCCTTTTTTGAAGTTTCATGATCAATCCATTCGAAAATAGAAATGCTAAGATCCCAGAATATCTGGTGTTACCGTGTTCGGAGATCTTTAGCTATAGGATTTCTGTTGTATTGCCCGTTAACGTTCCCTGATATTATCCAAGGATTCATTACTGCATTTGCCACTAAAACAAAATTCGGATGTGCGAAGAGCGGTAGGAGCCGAAATCTTGCAAGCTCATAATCAATGCCATGACGGAAATATCGAAGTAATCTCCAGACTTCCAATGGTTGAGTTGGGCCGGAATTCAGAGTTAAGCTTAATTAATTCCTGCTGCCCCGTTGGAATCGTTTTTAGGGTTCGGAACCAGCTCCGTCGTAGCATAGTTCTTCCCACCTACTTAGCTTCGGCGATTGCTTCATATATTACCTAACCCCATCAACTTAGAAAGCTAATAAGCTAATCAAGTCAGTTTTTATCACTATATGCCACGATTGATTTGGATCCGGGATCCGATCCTTAGTACGTTCCATTCCCGGATATACTATCAGTGGCCGGCAAGAGTTCATACCATAAGACAGAACTCTCAGCCCACCTCTACAGATCATTTCCTAAGTAGCCGTGCATCTTGAGGTCCAGTAGTTATGTCATGCCAGTTCACAGAATTTCTTATTATCTATATCTGGACTAAGCTCTTCACGATAAAACATACGGCATATGCATACCGGCATCTTCATAAATGACGACAGCATGATTAATCCAAAGAAGTAGAAACATTTTGGAACTCTCCCTTCTCCAACTTCTGTTTCCAGAATACAGGGTTTGTGTCCTAAGAAATCAATCAATATCAATTTGTCCATTCGTTGCCAATTTTCAAATGACAGGAGGCCAGATATACTCACATCGAATCCGTGGTGAACCCATCCGTCTTTCTGGATATGATACAAGTTAAGGTAACCACCAGAGTAGGCATCACGATGTGTAGCCGCCAAGATACTTCGTCGTCCAAGCTCGAGCGCCTCCTCGTCCGTCAGGTCCCACTTGTATCCCCGATCTAGCACACCATAGGCGAATGTCTGGCCAGATCCAACACAGAACAGATTGCCTTCAACGCGGTTACCGTCGCTATCAACGTAGTAAAGACCAAAAACTCCACCATGGCCGACACCGGTCAACATGGTTCCCATGGAAAGACCCATTCCTTTGTAAGAGTAGACAAGCTAGAGAAAGTCCAATATTAGAAACATCCAGATCTGAAGCATCGTATATTTACAACGCTTACATTGGCTAAAATCTTGCTAGCGGCGGCAACAGATATTAATCGCTTATGACGGAGCTGGTGAAGACGGCATTCCATCCCGAGATATGTAAGCCAGTATTGACAGTCCTGTTTTTTCCATTGTCAGCATTTCATCCCCAACAACGGTCCCATCTAGCGCTTATCACACACAGCAGCACCACCAGCCATAGTACCCAGTAGATATGGACTGTAACACGCTCTATGTCAGCACCCCACTCCCATCCTAAACCTTCTCATGATGACGCGTACTTGATCTCGATAACTTTCTTCACTGTCTGCGAAGCAATCCACGAGCCTTGAGTAGCCCTAGAGTCTGTACAGACGATAACTCCACCCTGGTACTTGAATGCTAATGTCGTAGTACCGTGCTTCAGCTTTATCGGGGCGCTGGGGTTCGTGTGGTCATCTGTCATCGCCCGAAGGAACTTGGCGGGCTGCAGCAAAAACAATCACCATCAGCTCCGTTACAGCAAGGGGGGAAAGGTAGAAGAATACCGAGTCTATTGGAGGAAGTATGAAAGAAACTGATTGTGGCAGGCTTGAGGTAACTTCATCCTCGTCTTCCTCAAGGATGTTGAGGTCATCCAGGTCAGAGCCTCCATACTTGGAGACAAGGGCGTCCATATTTAGTAGAATTGGAGCTTCGATGAGGATCTAGAGGAACGAGTTGATGAGGGTTATAGTGGACTTCGGTATCGGGGTTGGTCGTGGAGGGGTTGATGGGGAGTTGACGGGAGGTTGTGAAGCTGGGATGCTATACGCGGCGTGCTTTCGTAACGAAGCAGTGGTGTTGGAGCTTCCCGCGCTAGTCCCTTTTCGGTATCCGCCGAAATATAACGTCTACAACACGATTACACTACATGTATAAGTCTGGTTACGAGACTGTACGAAACTGACGAGACCGATCCTAGATCACATAGACACCCAAGTTTTAAGATTCATGACTACATTCAGCTTGAAATGAAATTCAGGCCTCTAAAATAATTCTAAGGCCATATACCAATCTTTGGTTGTAAATAGGTAGAAACTCTTTGCTCGGCTGTTCTAGTTTCGAGGCTGATAGAAACTAGTGAGTGATCTAGTCTAGTTTAGACGGGCGACCGTGAGTGATCCAATGCTCCAATATCCAACCCGGAGATTAACCAGAGGCTATGGGGAGCGTAGCTAAGAGCTGGACGTAGACAAATGACAACCTTTTGGAGAACTTGAACGTACAAGTCACATGAGCATTTTGAGCCTCAAAATTCCCGGGTGGAGCACATGACCCAAAGATGCCGAGCCATTCAAGGTTGCCGAGACATTCCCAATATATTCGCAATTTTAGCATGAGAGAAGCCCCAAGACTACTATCACTACCAGCATTGTAGCGCCGCAATCCCAACACTAAATACCTAGTACTACCACAAGCTTAAAGCGAGATAGTGGACTGCATTTGGGCTCTAAACTAGCGCCTAGAGGCATATTCCGGTAGTACTAATTTTTGATTCATTCAGAAATTTATCTCTAGAACGTATCTCCAACTTCAAAGAAACCAGTATTCCTTTTTAATTCATAATCTATCTAGATCTATACTAACTTAGCACAGCTATCAATCATATATCCCCATGCCCAGAATAATCAAACCTCCAAAAAGAAAAAACGCCAATAATGCAAGATATTATAAGAAACAGTAAACCAAAAAGCCAATACCTTCCAGGGTCAAGTACGAGACGAAACAATCCAATCTCCAAAATTTTCGCCAAATGACATGAAATAATGTAAACCATCTAAGGAACCTTGAATTCAACAAGCCCATCCGCCGCACTCTACCGATGAATAGGTAGCCTCGTCAAACTCGCATTCGAGTTTCTGTGCTCCCCAATCCCTCTAAGCCCAAGTCCAGTCCTATCTGGCTCATCAAAAGTAAACGGTGCAATCGTAGACCCAGATTCCCATCCTTCTTCCAACCCCCTCTCATTTCCCATATACGGCATCGTAGCCATCTGTGCTGACTTCCCTTTCCCTTTAACGCCTTTTGATGTCGGTGGTGGTAATCCTTGATTCTTTTTTTGCCTTAGATATCTAAAGATTCCAAATCCGAGGAGGACAAGAACGACGGTAACGATCAGAGCGATCCCGATAGCAGCACCGGTGGTGATTCTTGGCTGCTGTGAAGTTGCCTCTGCGGGTTGAGAGGAAAGACCGTCGGTGTTGTTCGAAGCCGCGGGGTTAGACATTCCGGTTGCGGTTACGGTGCTAGTTGTTTGGACGCCGGTTGCTATTATTATTGAAGGAAGAATTGGAAGAGATGGTATATTTGTTACAGGTGGAGGGCGGGTAGAGGGTATTGATCTTGTTGATGTGGATTCTGTAACTTCTGATGTTGTACGTATTAAGGAAGTAGAAGATGCATCGATGACGGCAGATCCTCGACTCCGTGTTAATGTTGCAAGTGTAGTTCTGTAAAAATTATTCGAATTAATATTAGGTCTCTCGAAAATATATAAATTTATAAGCCCAAATAGTATTAAGATATGAACTTACGTTTCAGCTAATGTAGTAGTTGAAGCAATTCGGCCAGAAGAAGTACCTGTTGGACTTCTAATAACAGTATTAATGTCTATGGTCGAAAATCCAGGTCCGAAATCAAATGTTGTCGGTAGAGCGTCTTCTTCGCGGTTTTCACCAGTTGGAACTCCGAAAGACATCGTGAAGGATATATATTCAATTTAAATCACTTTTTGAGAAGAAAAATAATTGATAAGATTAAAAGAGAGAAAAAGGGAAGTCCCTATGGCACGGCAGTTGCAATTATAGTGGTTCCCTTTTTTTAGTACTTGTCGCTGGTGAATATTATGGTAGGGTGTAATTAAAATCTGCAAATTTTACTTGGTGAGAACCACCGCTGGTTGGAGGCACAGATAGTCGGCTTAGAACTTCGAGCACAAAAAAACGGGTGACAATAGTACCACAATAATTGTAGGCGGGATCCCGAAAAAAAATGAAATACGAGCTACAAGCCCGAGGCCAAGTTCTTATATATCTTGATGTGGATGTCTCGATTACCAAATCTCACAATAAGAGCTAAGCTCCGCAGCTTCGAGATAGTCTCTAAAACAACCGCAGCAACCCATTGTTCACAGGAAAAAGAGCTCAGCCCAATTGGAGGTTCATGCATCTAGGATCTTGATAGCGCTAAAACTTTCAAACTTTCATATCTTCTAACGGGCACCATATGACTCTGGAAATCCTATAGATGATCAATTAAGAATGTATCACCAGTCCATTGGCCGTGGGGTACGAAAATGTATTAAAAAAGATGTTACGCTTTAAGCGCTTCAAGTGCAGGCGAGTCCTAGCCTCAGATGGATGCCAAGGCTAGCCTAGGATCATGGTATTCGAGATCCATGTGTACACTCCTGTACCGTCTGCAGCTTAAATTTTATCGTATTCGGAATTTCGAAAACTCTGAGTTCGCATTATTGGTAAGCATCAAGACTTAAATGTAACGGTACAGTAGTCGGGTCTAGGGTTAAGATGGCATAGTATTTTTGTAACCAAAGTTTCATCTGTCGAGAAGGTCCACTGTACCGCCGTAGCGCATGCCTTTTCTTATGCAGGCCAGGCTGGGGTCAGCAAAAGGTCAGCGCTTAATTGGTCGGGCAATTAGCAGCAGGGTGTGTTGTCTAAAATAAGCTACCTGGGTCAGCCTGGCTGGTCCTATCAAGTACCCGGCTGCGGGACTGGAAAATCTTAGCAACGGTGTTTCGTTTCGTAGAACCACATGTCGATATATTGCTATCCGATTTATATTGATGTGCATGTGCCGATGCTCTTTCGTATGAACGGGCTGTTATTAGTCCAGTTAGGTCTTCGAACATTCGTGGTTTAACATCGGTTCGTACGCATGTAGATATCGCAGGGACGATGTATTCGAGTTATCTAGCCGCTAGATAGCTTAGCAGCTCAAGATCTAGGGCTCCCGACAGGAAAAACTCCAAATAAGGGTCCAGTAATGTTGCTTTACGTATACCAGCATCTGCGAGCTATAAATTGTTAACAGCCTTTTGGTGCCGACACGAATCCTGTATAGGCCTTTCTGTAGCTGCCGTGATCGATGTCGCAGAATATCGATGTTAAGATTAGTAACATGTACCTCAGAATAAGCATATCCACGTGGTCAATTCTAACCTCGAAGCTGTAACCGTTTTCAAATACAGAAGCAAATGTCAAATCTGATCGGCTGAAGTCCAAGTTGGATGTTTTGTGAGTCTGTGAACACCCGCCAAGCAATCTTGTGCAACCAGCTCTTGTGTTGCATTGCAACCGACAGAGCGCCAGGGCAACTCCATCGACCATCCCAACACGCAAATCCCTTCTCCTAACAACCACCTCATTCACGCTCCACACGCCAGAAACCGACGTTCAACGTTAAGCCGTCTACCAAATCCCGGTCGAGGAGGCGGGGAAACCTTAAATCCAAAAATATGCCTCCAATCATCGAAGTCCTCCCTTCGAAGGGAAACAAAGGCACCACCGGCGCCTCCTCATGGTACTACTCCACCGCACCGCCTGCACAATCCGTCTCCGCCATGCCAAAACCCGAAGACCTTCGCGCTCGTAAGGCTAAAACAACTGCAAATGCCAACCTTGGCGGTGGTGGCGCTGCAAACCCCAATACTACTGGTGGTGGTGCTGGTGGTGCAAATGATGGCGATATCGAGAATGTAAAGCTCGACGTCGCAACAACCCGCCGAATCAACGAACTCGAAAAGGTCAACTGGCATGACGTCCAAATCAAGATCGATCAACCGTTTTCTTCGAAACGACCGACTTCGCAGAACGTACGTCGGATCGTAGCTTCGCAGAAGACGTTCCAGAATCATCTTTCGGACGATATTGCAAATCATGAGATTCAAGCTCAGAATCCGTTGTACAAACCGGAACCTTACGATCCTGCCACCACTCCGCTGGGGTACACGAAGAGCGTGGCAGAGCCTCCAGCAAATAATGCAACGAGATACAGAAGGTTTTGCGAAATTTGTGGATATTGGGGGACTATTGGCTGCATGAGGTGTGGGGTTAGGCTGTGCTCTGGGGAATGTGAGGTCACTCATCGGGAGGCGAGATGTACGAGAAAGTTCTGATGGACCGGCCTGCGAAAACCAAAAAAGGTGTCGTTGTTTTATTATAGGCGTTAATGGAGAAGGAATTGCATAGTTTACCAAGAAGCATTAAACGGCGTTTACGGTGGTTTGATCAAACAAAAGCATTAGATATCCCAATAAGCATTCAATTATACACATCTTCATTCTTTTCAATCGCTATTAATAAATCTGTAAAATATAGTAATACTCTATGCAAGAAACGAATGATCCAAGATGCTGGCTCTGCCCCATCCCTCTCTCCTCTTCCCAAATCATCTTGAACAGAATAGCACCAACCGTCGTCAGGCCATGATTCATAATTTCATGTTTCCTTCTAACCTATTTACCTACTTACCCTACCTATGTATCCACCATTAGAAATTTCCTGTAATATAAAGCGAACGCGGTATATTGTGCGTGCATGCCAGCCAACGCAACCATAAAAGCAGTAAGAGCGAGTGACTCTAACGCTGGAAGAACAAAAACAAAAGATAGAGCGCTATATCTAGACGCTCCACAATACAAAACATCGTAGAGAATATTTCAATCAAACGGAGTTTAGCTAAACTCTGGGAACGGGTCATACAACGGTAGTTGCGGACCATTCCATTTCTCGCCGTACATGTTGACTCTATTACCGTTCAGGAACCCGTCGTGGGTTCTCCGAACCATATCAAGCCAAGAGTTCGGTTCAGGGTGCTTAGCCCACTATTAGATACCATTAGATTAGTCACTATTCTTCGTCATATCGATTTGGTCTATACATACCTGATTATGGATATGGTACGCATAAGCGCCCTTGAAAAAGTTCTCTAGAGTACGATTGTTTGGTGGATAAGGATCCTTATCGATATCATATCCAGGTGCAAATCCAGTTGGTGCGCGCTCTTGAATGGGGGCGTGGACTTCCTCCACGGGACCACGCTTTCGACGCTTCCGCTTATCATTCCAATACGAATCTTCTGCAGAGCGGCCCGCATTTTTACTGCCATCTGAGTTTCTGCCGGCGTCATTGCCACTGACTCCGCCATCAATCTCTTCAAATCTTTGACCATCATATGCCTTCCAATCCTTCGGGATTGCATCCTTTCTGCCCAAAAACGCTTCTCCGTAGTTCTCCAAGCAAGGAACAGTACACCTTGTTACTCCAGGGGTATTGAACTGGCCCCAAATGGGGTCAAAAAAGCCGTCTTCGAACATGGTGAATTCCTCACCTCTGCCATCTTTATAAACAAGTCGGCCGATAATGTATGGGTGGAAGTTGATGCCCATTTTAACGGCACCCTTTAGGAAGTGTTGAGAAAGCGACGAGTTGGGGTGGAGGGACATAATTGCGGTGTTATAGTCCCAAGGTCCTTCGTACCAGCCCCACCGTTCCGCAAAACCGTGATTTGGGGGAATAAGAAGTGGTCGAAGATCTATCCTTGTGGGTTAGCTTCTAAAGCATCCAATACTCCTGAACCGGAGGTTGTTAGAGCTGCCTACCTCTCAGAAGAACATTATCCATATCACAATAAACGCCTCCCTCATAATGTAATACCACGAATCTAACCGCATCTGAAACTGCCACAGGCAAGAAAGTCATCTTCCTAGTTGAAAATTCTAACCACTCGTTTCCAACTTCATCGATGTAAGCGCCATCTCCCAATTTGATGATCTTCCCATTCCCTTCGCCATCATTCGCCTGCTTCAGAAGCACTCTGGCAGGGAATTTCCACTCTCTCAGTTTAATATCGCCTCTCTTTACCAACGGTAGGAACCTTACAAACCCAGGATCTCGCATCATCTCCTCGACCGCATTTGGGTTCACATCAACATCCAACCATAGATTCAACCTAGAACATGGCAAGTTCTGCGAATGGAAATAGCTCTTAATGAACAACTCCACTCGCCATGTGCATTTCCCGCTCCACCAGATATGGTACGGAATCACCGGTCCATTGCAAGTTCCAACGTCGCCTACAGATGATGGGACATAAGACGGATATCCTATCGATGGTGCATTCTCGGTGGGAATAAAATAATAGTCGTCTCTACGCTCGATAAGATACTGCATGCAGTCGTAGACGTACTTCATACGTTCAAGGCTCTGGATGCTACCTCGGCAAACATCTACGAGGCGTGTGAAATTCGCGTATGTGTCAACATGAGGACGGGTGCCCATATAGGCATCGTTAGCGACGACAAGAGAGTCCGGCCGGAGTTGTGCATAGCCGTTGGAGGATTTTGAGCCGGTTGACGGGTCAGTGGAGGATTGAGACGAGGAATGCTGCTGATTGGAGGGTCTGGGACGGTGAGTTGACGTCAGGCTACCATAGAAGAAGAATTGAAGAACGGCGGTGAGGATAGTGTATACGGCGACGGCGAGAAGTAGGTTACGGACTGTCTGAAGGGCTCTCGCCGCCGGCCGTTGAGAGTCGAGCTTGTCCATTGTCGAGGTTGGTGGTGGGAGGAGTCTCGACTCCTTTTGGCCACAGCTTGCAGCGCCGAAGCTGGAAAAAGGGCGAAAGTGTTGATCGTGTTTGAAGTCGAGGCAAACAATCACAAGCAAGACCAAGCGTGTCGCGAAGAGGATTTATTCAGCGAGCCATTCGGTGATGATAGTTTGAAGATATGAGAAGATGAAGGTGAAGATGAAATAAAGATATGGAGACGGGAGAAAGAAGCTTTGAGGTCCACCGGGCTGAGTAAATAGTAGTTGGCAAGAGGGTCTCGTTAACTGCAGCGAAAATCCCAGATCCCAAGGATGGCTATGTCTGCATTGGCCCCTGTCAAAAATCCATCCAAAACAGATATTCGAAACCCGAACGGGCAATCGTATTTAAGCCTTTTCAGCCTCAGTCCGCCGCGTAAGCTAAATGAGCCGTGTGAACCGGAGCCTTGGAGGGCCCGTTGAGGAAGTCGCTCTTCGGACTGTATACGTACATGTATCATATGGAGAACGAAGGAGTGATCAGACGGAGAGTAGACCGAGTCGACCAGACTGGCATCCAACTTTAAATTACAACGGTTGCAGTTACAGATATAGACAGACATGTTTCTGTCCATTCACACCCAACAGCAACAAATTCACCGCAGATTCGGAAGTCTCGAATGTACCCGTTGGTCAACGACGTATGTAAGGGACCAACTTGCTCGATCTGGAAAACAATGGCTTCCAGGATCCAATCAGGGGCCGCTTGTGGAGTAGCGTTCCGTTGTATTTTTCAAACTGGTTGCGTTGGTTGTACATACTTATCTGACGCCCAAATGACCTAAGCTAAGTTACTACGTTACGTATGCATGGACGACGAGGATAGTAATATTTTGCTGACAATACTTCATTTTATTTTTATCTTTCATGAGACAGAGTACCTATATACAAGAGGGAACTAGGTAACTACCTAGGTACATATAGGTATCTCCTAAGTTTGGCCATTCCACAGAGGTACCGCGCTAAACGCAAGCAACTGCGTATTAAACGCCTTACAAGTCCCCAGCTCGTTCGGCTCAATCGTTCCCTTAACGCCTCCACTACAATCAGTGGTATCGTAAACATTGAACCTAAATGCTCCACTCGGTGCATTCACCTGAAGCGATCCAAAGGTTACCCAAACAGGGAAAGAGATTGGCCATCGGAAGGCAAAACAGTCGGAAACGCCATCGCTGGCACCGACCGAAGTCCCAGCTGAACAAGTAACACCATTACCCACCGTTGGGGAAGGACAAGTCCCAGTATTCTCAGAGTAACAGGATGTATTTCCATATACAAGTTTCCAGCTAGGATCTTCGGGGAGACGGACGGAGCTCACAACAGAGGGTGGCGTTGGAGTACCACTTAGATCGGCCAGGAGGAAACCGTTATAGACGGCAATATGTTCGTCTATATATATTGATATAAAATTTAAGTGTCACCCATCAAAAATGCATAATTTATGATTATTCACTCACCTAGAGCAAGAGAGGCTGGTATATGCTGGCCCCATGTTGGCCTGCATTTACAGTTGAGAGTAAGGGGACCGGAAGTTGATATTGAGCATTCGATACAACTTGCTGCAAAGTTTCCATTTATTGCCCACTTAGTATCAATTGCCTTGTTAGTTAATCCATTTCGCGTTTATGTGCATGCTTGGCTATAGTCAAAGGAGCAGTAATAAGTATAATACCTCAAGAACACCTTCGTGATTTGCGATTTTCGTCTGGAGATATACAGAACTTTCAATTCTAGCGGTCCCGGAGCCAGTGAGGCAGTTCCCGACTAGCCACCTGTTCTGAAACCTCAGATTTGTGCACTTGCTGCTAATGCTAGCTTGTGCAGTAGCAAGCCAGCTAGCCACGAGGAGTAGAGATGACTTGCGGACCATTGTAGAATTAGGTATTGGAATACGTAAACCGCAAGTATATATAGTGAACTTGGAGCAATTTTATGAGAAGTATCATCTAGGGTCGATAAGGTATCTACTCTACTAATACTAGGATAAATTTCGAATCATATCATTTTCTAGGCCGCGGCTTCCTGACACACATATATATACTCCTACGTAATCTTAAACTAAAGCTTCGGCTGGAGCGAATCCCGGTGCACTATTGCAATTGAACAAGCTTAAACTTAGGAACTTATTTCCGAAAATCGATATCATTTGGTTCCTGAGACTGCGGGGCAAGTTAACCATATCCGTAATACCATTTTACCGAGCGCCGGCCTTATAATTGTGCGTGGCCGTCAGCTTCAAATTCAGGAATACCAGTTAATTTAGAAATGCCTACGTGGATGTAAATGACTCGTATCCCTGTACTCACACCTATCAAAAGCTTCCATCCCAGCATCTTCCCCGGGATAACGGTTCAAAAGAGCCTCCAGTTCGAATCGTGGCCATGAATTTCTCTTACTTCATATCGGCCGATACGATACTAAGGCCCCATGCATGGCATGTCTACCAGCTGCATCAATCCCCTCTTCGATAAATTTATAAACGAATTTTAATATACCCGGCCCGCGTTATATAGTTTATGACGCCAATTCTAAGCGTTTGAATACAAAATTAACGTATCGAACACTTATACTTTAGTATTTGAACAGATTTATAAATCATTAGTCAGTGGTATTAACTCCTGGTTCTATTATAATTATGCATGTTCGGCAGTTGATTTAGACGAAAGTAAAAGGTACGTATATTTATATAACTGGCTTTGTTATGTTATAATTAATGAGTCGAGTTTCATAGGGCCAACACCTTTACGCTTATTCGTCCCGTTACTCCGATTATTCTTATAACCAATTACGTATACGTATCTATATACTATAAGCTGGCCAACTTAGAGGTTGAATCGATCGAGCAACTTCTATAATTATTTAATTATAAATGAATTCAAATATGTTCCACGGTGTTATTGCAGTATACGTAGGTAAGATACTAAATATTATTCTAATGTGCATGTGCTTAATATGCTAAATCTAATCAAGAAAGCTAAGGCCCATCAAACTAGGGTATCCGAAATATGATACAAAAGGTTTCAACATCAAACTCCCGGAAAAGGAAAACCGATAAACATCCCACAGAACAGTACCTCGGGCATATACGAAGAAGTCTTAGGCTAGACAGAGCTAGCCGCGAATTGGGGAAATTAAGGAGCGTTAAGGTCAGTAGCTACGTGGGAAAAAAGTTCACAAATGTTCAACCAGGGCGTATCTAAGCGGGTGCTTCGTATGGCCCTTGTGATATATGCTGGTGTTGAAGCACAGGTGGATAGGGATTGAACTGATTCCCCGGTAATTCGGCATTCACCGCACTATAACTCCCATGCAGCTCCATTATTGGTTCGGCGTACGGACCCTGAAGTTCTGAGGGATTCTGGATCCACCCTTTATTGGGGTCTGTTGGTGGCGGCGGCGGCGAAGGCGTAGCCAGTTCTTCTGGTTCTCTGCGTTTCCGCAGGTAAAACCATATCCCGACAGCTACCAATGCTATTAATATAATTGCACCGGCTACAATCCCACCAATCGCCCCACCAGACAGCGCGGGGCTAGAAGATGCGGATGGGGCAGAGGAGGTCGTTTCCATGGTTGATGTTGTAGTAGAGGCCGGAGCCGTAGATGTTGTAGATGCGAATGCTGCGAAGACTGTCGACATACCGGCTTGGTTGAAGCCACCGGGAGGTTGTGTTAATGTAGCTCCTCCATTTGCACTGTAAGATTGAATTGGTTAGTACTCTACTCTTTCAAAAGTTACATATAGCGACGAATGTTGAACTGAAACTTACTTGCCACCGATAGTCTCGTAAATCATTTCCGGTACTCTATACTCCTCGGGTTCCTCTTCACTGACCACACTAGCCCACTCCAACAAATTTAAGTCAAAAAAGAAGGCCAGCTTCCCGTCATTATCACACTGAGGGTAATTGTAAGTAGACCCTCCGATGACCCTGTTTCCGCCAAATACTACCATCATGTGCTTCTTCACCAGGTTACATGACGGTGAATACCGTGGGGCGGCGGCCACGTTCGAGTCGATATCGTCGGATAGTTTCGTCCATGTAAAAGATGGAATACTCAGTGCCCAAACATCACCAAATGTCTCTTCGTTATTTGCACCACCGAAAATAATGATTTGGTAGGAGGATTTATCTTGCGATGCGACGAGAATGCTGCAACCAGACCAAAATCTATTTTGAGGCGGCGTACCGTTTGTACGCTGGGTGTACCATTGTGTCGAATTGGTGTCGTATATTCGTACCAGATCGACCGAGCCTTGCTGGCCGTTTGTAACCCCCATACCTGCAAGTAAAACCGTCCTTCCCTCAAGTTTTATACCGTGCATCCATCCCGAGGCAGTCTGTGAATATGGTGTGCTCTCGTTCTTCCAGGTCCCGGTCCTGGCATTGAATGTCAGCAGCTGGTTTACGGGCTCGGCGAACTCTGAGCTCTCAATATAAGCCCCACCGAAGGCATATCCCATCCTCGATTCCTCGTCGAACCAACTTGCAGCAGTCCCTACCAAGCTTCCATCTCTTCCATTGATTTTAAGGTCCGACTCGGTCCAATTCGTGAGAATGTTGCGTTCCGCCACATCTGCTGTCCACAGTTTTCCAGGTTTTCCAGGATTCCACTCGCGGCCGCCAATATAGGATGTGTTTTCGATATTCATGTAAGCGCCCAATGCCAAATATGCTTTATTCACAGCAGTGTCGAGCCAAAACATCGGAGAGCGAGTGTCGGGTAATATTTCACCATCCCAATTAAACGGTTGTATTTTGGACTTGACAACCTCGATTTGATCCCCGATATCTTGCATACGGACAGTAGATGTTAGGTCAAGAACTCGAAGATAAGGGTCTAGGGTTTGGCAAAGCAGTTAGCACATATGTATAGTTATGGATTGCTTGAAACCTTGAGAATCCATAAAAAATTCTAAAGACTATGTAAATTTATGAAGTATACATACTTTGACCATAACCCCCCCAGCCTATTTCCCAGTTATATATCATTCGGCCACCTAGTATATAGAGGATATCACCAATGACCAAACCTAGATGAACGTACGAATGTCAACAAGAGAGTTTAAACTTGAGCTCAAATTCAACTTGGGCGGGATATGCATTTCTGTTAGAGAATCTTAGACATACCAGAATGCCCAGTCAACGAGCAAGAATCGCGGACTGGGTCCGCTTCATCCTGCGACATGTTTCTCCCACTTTCGCTACAGCGTCAAAGTCCACCGATGCAATAAAGTCCTTAGCTTAGGCCACGCTTCAGCCTCAAGACAAACAAATGCTCCAAAAACCGGGGCGTCGCGAACTAGTGTCGGTGCGGTACTCGTCGCACAAGAATGAGCAAAGAAGATAGAATATCAAGAGTCGGATGTCAATCGTGAACCGGAGAATAGAAACAACGTCCGCAAAATCTTAACAACATAACCATATATCAATAGAAAACCCGGCTTGGGCCCAAAAAGTCCCAGAGATTTTTCCGAAATTGCACCTAAGACACCCTGGGATACCCCCTAACCATTCAATGTTATGCGGGTCTGTGTAACGGGAACGGAACAGAATAAATTAAATGAATTAGAACAACTGCGAACGAAGGTGCACTAAGTGCTGGTGAGAATCTTGAAACGAATACGAGAGATGCGGCGTTCCCTACTACATATTTATTGCTGACCCTATTGGCCGTGTTTAAATCACGAGGAAGAAAAGGCAAAATCACGATCGTCCTTCCATGAGAATTTTGGGGAAGGTCTGTCTGCGAGAGAAGCGAGGGTGTCAAGGTGCAGCCAATTAAGCTTAAGGGGCTCAGTATGCGTCGGTTGGGGCTTATGGGGCGGGGTGCAATTGGATGCCGTCAGGACGGGTAAAATGCCTTTTATCGATTAGATTAGTGGAGCCCCTGATACTAACATGTACGGCTGATATTATGTCCTGCCGATGCTCAGTATTATGAAGATGCAGAAATCCTGTTTGTACGCAGGCTTGAATACAAGCTTTAGGGACTATTAATATCAAATGTATGTACTGACATCTATGCATTTGCATTTTTTCTAGGCGCTCGTTTTTCAACCCTGCTAAAACCCTACATGTAAATACTTGATTTTCACAAAGCTGGTACTAACACGAGATTTTTGAGAACATTGCATTGGTTATACGACTTCATTTTTTCTTCTTCTTCTTCTTCTTCTTCTTCTAATTTTATTTGCTTTCTTAGGGCCCTCCCGCCATAGCGACTAGGTTTCCATACTTTACTGTATTCATCGTTGCGGCATACTGGTCGGCGGCCGGCGACACGGTTAAAATCATGGCAGAGAACCCACTCTCACTACCTAGGAAATGTTCCCTGAGTACCATGGTTAAAGGTGATGACCTGAATGGAATCCTGGTTTGATTTGAAGATCTTGCACGTATAACTTCCTTTAGGGCGAACAAATCCGAGTTGATTTGTCGTCCTTCCTGTTTTTCCTCAGCTGTCTGTTTGGAGCCTGCAGCTGAAGCCGATGATTTTTGGTCATAGTACTCGGATCCTGCCAGGTCGACAAACACAAATTTCCCTCCAAGGCATGGATGCTGACTGGTTGTAAAGGTTTCTTGCACCTTTGCTTCGGCAAGTTCCACGCGCTCTTCATACTCTCGTTTTGTTGCTTCTGCGGCGTCGATACGCTCTTGGTTGACTGTGTAGTCGGGGTTCGTTATATATTTGCCGTCTGAACCTTGGATGTACTTTTTAGAATTTTCGTCGATGTATACATCTGTCGCAAATTTCCCGTGCGGGACGAGTTCTGCTTGCCGTTCAATTACAGCGTCTCTAGCCTCCACGAGAGCTTGATTAACAATCTCCAATTCGAAGACAGCATGAGTTCTAGAACTCTTGTCGTGGACCGTCGAAGTTCCAGTTGCTCGGAGATCCAAACCCTTCTCCAATACAGTTCGAAGCTCCTCAAACGTCCAGCATGGAACCACTCGAATCGGCTTCACCCTGACCTTTCCGTCTTCCAGAGTCTCTGTTTCACCACGAACGTGTATTTTCCCGTCTGGTCCTTCACGGACGAAACATTCCGTGTGCCCGTTCAAAAGATCGAAGGCGCTCTTTTTTCGAACCTCGTACATACGAAGTCCCACAGCGAGTTTCTGATCATTGTCGTTGGATTCAGTTGATCCATTCAATTCATCAATCTTTTGGAAAAGCTCCTTCGCAGCGGAAAGACACAACCCCACCTGTTGGGGATCTTCGTGGTCGTAACCAACAATAGTATGTGTTTTCCCGCTACCCGTATGGCCGTATGCAAAGAAATTGCAAGTTTTGCCAGCCATAATCTTGGGAAATGTTTGGGAAACTACATCCTCGTAGACACCCCGATTGTTGTTGTCTGCCTCAAAGACTTTCGTAAAGGAGGGAGCGCTGGTCCAAGAGCGGGCGCCTCGACTAGAACTTGGGCCGCTAGCATCAGGGAGGGATAAAGAAACGGAATGGCCGTCACTTGCAGAGCTTTGGGTCTTTTTGATTTCAGTGGATCCTGGTTCTTCTGGGAGAGGCCGCCATCTGATATAGACGCTGAAGGGTGTAAGCTTCTGAGCTTTCTTTGGTGGCATAATTCGGTCGATTGTTGCTGGGATCAAATTTAAAAAAAGGGGTTCAGGGAACTTTCAATTGTGATCCTTATTGATTTTGAAATCACCGAGCTTGAGGGGAACCGGTAGCTTTTATCTTCATTTTGATACGGCCACATTAAGCTTGAGGATGAGGTCGTGAACAGTATCATGCATCATCACAAGTGCACTCACGCAAACCGCGGAATCCGATGGATTTCCATGGATGCCGTAGTCTCCCCTCGCACTTGTCCGAAACGGTTCGATGGCTTAAGCTTTTTATCGTTGCACATGGAGCTCTACTAGACTACTTTTACCGTAGCATCAAGAAGTTCGCGAAGGGTAGCTCGCGAACCTCATGCAGGTGTTTGCTGTTGCTGTTGGGGGCTATCCCATTGTCCAATCATAATGTTCCAAGCTAGTTAATTCGGCCTTCACGTAGTTCTCTTTGAGCGAGTTAGTGTTAGAAATTGGATCTGATGAGTCTTTCGGATCTTTAATCCCTGGTTGCGGTTTTGTATTCACGGGATACTGGCAGGGTTAAGTGTGTGCAGCATCGACAGTGCCAATTGGGCGCAATTGATTCCCAAGTGCTTCGCCGCAGATATAATATATGTTACACGCGGGAGACGTTGCGCGTATCAACGACAATCAACCCCGCGATCCTGCCGGCCAGAATATCAGAGCCTCGAGAGCTAGCGATCCAACAGCAACATTCAACACCGTACCCCCCCGCAGTATATACTGGTTTGAATAACTACGGCTTCATCTAAACACCCGTAACTTACGATACTAACATCATCTATTGTAAACCCTTTCAACCATGTCAGAGTCCAGTCGAGATCCTCCAGCTTCGTTGGCAACCTTGCCCACGGAGATAGCGTACGTTTGTCCCGCACCAGCTTGGCCTTGGCGAGCTTAATGCAGCATGCGGAAGCTAACAACTAAACGTATGTTCATTCGAATTCTACCATGGTAGTGATTCAATCTACTATTCTCTACCACCTGCAAGTTTGTGCGCTCTTGCTAGGGTCTCGAGAGATATTTATGCGGCTGTTCAAGGTCCGCTCTATAGACGTCCTGTCATTGATAGCTATCGAAAGCTTCAGGCTTTCATCAAAACTCTCAACCATGTTGCAAGTTGGGATAAAAAGGGAGATGCCAGAAGCAAGGGCATTGTTCATCTTACGCTGATGATCGATCCTGCAAAGGAGGAGAGTACTGCAGGAAGGCCTTTGATTGCTGTCATTCTAGCACGGATGATCCGTGTCATAGCTAGGTAATCATTCATCATCGATACTCTGGATAGCTCGAAAATAGCTATGAACTTAGTACTCATGATTTTACTTCCCACAGATACAATGAAAATGTCACAATATCGCTGATAATCACCCACTCTGCCTGCGATGCCCAACCCGTTCGCTCTTTCGAAAGCGAAGAATTCCCTCGTGTTACGAGCCTAATTCTGGATCTTGGTGGTGAATCTGTTACTCAGTCGTCTTCTGGCTCTAGTTCCCTCAATAGTGTGATACCTGTTCGTCGCAACATCCACCAACGAGGCTACAACTACAATACGACAGGGATGAGATGTGTTCCCAATGCTAAATTCTGGACCCGATTTTTCAATGGTTCCTGTTTTCCTGATCTCCGGAGACTGGAGCTTCATCATAAGTCCCGGGCTGGACCGTCATATGGGGATTCGGGCCTAGAAGGTGAACCGATCTTATTTACAGAACTGGACACATTGGGGTTGGCACAAATTGAGCGATTGGTAGTGAATTCGGTGCCTGAGTTTAACGACTCTGTCTTGATGGCAGGGTTACAGCATGCTCCTGTCCTAACGGATTTGCAAATTGAGAATTGTGCTGTTACTTACAGTGGTAAGTTTGCAACTGTTCATGCGGTTCAACAGCGTCCTGGTTGACTGATTGTTTGGCCTGGTTTAGCGCTTGACAAACTACTGCTCCATGCACTTCCGGTCCTTCACAGACTGGTCCTACGAGTCTCGCCTCAATCACGGTTTGCTCGACATGCTAGAGAAGCGCTGGGTTATCGAGGCAACCGAGCCTCTGGTGAAGAAATTCCACACCTCTGCCCACACTTCCGTCGGCATGGGAAGAATCTAAAGCATTTTGAACTCGCAGCGCCGTATATCTGCGGTGATATATTTATAGATGGGCATGAAAAAGAGAAATTGCGCGAATCTGGTCATCCGGGAACACTGGCTGGCGACGACAGTGGGATAATTGTCCAGGGGGAACTGGACACAACTTTGGTTACTGGCGTTTTGAAGAGAATCAGGCAAACGAGGGATACGGACTCGGTAGGGCAAAGGTTAGTTGAGGGCTCGAACATGGAGGAGGATAGGAGGATTCTGGAAAGGGAGAGAGCAATGAGAACTAGGAAGGCAACCATCGAGAAGGAGGGGTGGACAAGGAGACTGCATGTACTCGATGGTATGTGCATCGATGGTGCTACTTTTGAGGAGTTAACTGCACTCGCAAATGTGGAAGAGAACGGGATCACCTGGACACTTGGAAGTCTGCCGGAGAGGCGAGCCTTTAGGGTTATTGGGAGTCTCATAGAAACTGTCAGGTATTCTCACGAGTTTGAAAGAGACCGACCAAGGAGGGGGAGACGGGTGGAGCGAGACCTCAATGATGAACTTATAGGGCAGTGAGCCACTCTCCGCCAGAACTGGGGGCGGGGAGGTCTTAAAACGGAGAAGCATGGGCTTTCAGTTGATAATTTGTGATTTATGACCAAAAAAAGAGAAAAAAATTTGGAATTAGGATATGAATTTGAAATGTCGTTTCAATGACCATATTGGTTCCCTAGAGGGCTATCTTGTAGTCAAGGCCTCTAGCGCGCTTTTGCAGGTGCATATAATTTACATTTAGATCGGGGCCATAATGTTGGAGGCCTTGTTTGGAATCCCGTCGGCAAGATTGGAACCCATCATCCGATATTCGGGCACTCTAAGATGATAGTATCCTATCAAAATATCCTCGGACAAGTATATTGTTCTCACGATCTCGTGAGAGACATTGTGACTACTCAAGAGGATGCCGATGTATGTATAATGTCTTCATGCATGGCCTCGATATCACCTCGTGATTGCGAATGGTGGCGCCTATTGGTCGGATTACATATCTGTGTATGACAGAGCCCTGTTTATCCTACATACACGATTGTGACCTGCTAGTCCTCTTTTTCGGGAGGCGGCCCTACTGGCTGTATCATTTTCTATATGCAGTATCCCGTCAGCTCTTATGATCGATGATCGCGGTGACTCGTTTAAAGATGCGGGACAAACGGACCTCTATCAGTCGTGTTCTGAGCTTTGCAGCTGGTTCATTTAGCCCAAGCGCCATGTATGATAGCAGCGGTGGGTGGCCGACATATGAAGCATAGGAGTCGCGGTGAATGTTGGAAGTCCATTCGAATTTGGTGGTGTCTGCATGACCGGTTCCGACGAAGCGAGCCTGCAGCTGCTCGAGCTGCTGTTGGGTACGGAGTTTATCGGCCTGCAAGAATCCACAAGTTAGATCCAAATCCCTGTAGCATAGATAGACTGGCGAAAGCACTGCATTACAAGGGGCGTATCTTACCATTTTGCTAGCTGTAGAAGGTATGTATATTTGAGGGCGATTTGGGCCAGAATTGAAGGAACCGATGATGAGGAAGTTGGTGTTTGGCTGGGATGCCCGAATTTTGGGCGCAGTCTTGGCACCGGACGACACACTCAACGCGGGTTGCAGGTACCAAACAAAGCGGGAAGCTTGGAAACGCGTTATACTGAGCGACTACTGCGCAAACTTCAACATTCACCCCGACGACTTGTACTCCAACAAACATCTCTACACCGACTAACTAATCTTGCCCGAGAACCAATTACAGGATCCGATAGAAGCCAGGGAGCAGAAGGAGAGGGGACTATATAAACGGCTTCTCCTGACTAAATACGTTATCATGTTTCCATAACGTCAACAAAAACTCTATCCGCAATTTTACGCCTTAGTCATAACCGACTGTTCTGGATAACTTCAAACTCGAAAAAAAGATATGCCACTAGGAACAATCTCCTAGGCCCGGATATGACGACTAAGTCTAAAGGACCGAAGAACAATCTAAGCAGTCATCTTGCTTGGTTGATTCGAGAGAAACCGACGATCCCCCCACCTAGGACTCAGAAGCCACCGTCGGCACAGGCCATCTCTGCTGCTACTTTAGCTGCGATCGAAACTCACAGTCGGCAAAACCCCTCTGTTGCTGGACCATCTACTGCTGGCACTGGAGGGGTCATCTCTCTTTCGAGAGCTAACTCGGCTGCGACGGCTACAGCTGTTTCACAGCCCCGAGAGCTATCCCAGCAGAAAGATATCCCGCTATTCGGACGGTCTGATAGTTTTGGGCACGACCCAGGTGGAGGGAGCACTAGCCGGTCCATCGATTTCGCTCATCAGGCACCACAAACGGACTCACGTGCATCTGCGACAGTTGCAAGGGGTATAACCGCTGGCGATATGCCGACTCTCCAGCTGGCAAAAACGCCGAGTAATAGGCGGACGCTTACGAGTATCCAAAGGAAGGAGCCTTCGCCAAATGAGAACGACGAAGAAGACCCTTATGTTCCAGTCCCAAGGAAAACCGCCTTAGCACGGAAGGCTCCGATACAAGAACGGCTACAATCTGACAGTGACGGCGAATCAGACCCTTACGAGCCTGTATCTAGGAAAAAGGTATCACAGGTCGGGCCTGCGACGGTTAGAAAGAATGGGAATAGTTTGCTTGAGCAGTATACCCAACATTGTGCTAATGGGAAAGGGATAAAGACGCCAGCTGGTATGTCACTTCTTCAGCAAGTAATTTTGGGAAATAACTAATGAGTAAATTCCTTTTGATAGCAACTAAAAAGGTTGTACTTCCTACAGGGCCTGTTGAGTCCATTGATCTGACAATGTCAGACGATGAGGTCCCAAATCTTACAACCTCAAGATTTAAGCGTGAGCTATCAACAAGGTCAGCAACAGCTACACCCTCGCGAATAGGTGCGCCGGAGAAAGCGACTCTTCCTATTGGCCCATCTGATCCACCGCCACCATACGCTAGCCAAGAGCTACCCATTTCTCGCCAGAAAGAAGATGTTTCGAAAAGCCATGGGTTTGGAGAAGCAGGGCGAATAGCTACTACCGTATGCAGCTCTATAAAGACCAAGTGTAAAACAATATCTAAAGAATCACAGGGCGACGAGACTCCAAATATTCGGACCGTAGACCGGGCTCAAGCAGCTTTAGTAACCCGAGAAGGGACTAATATTTCCGTCTCGACAGCTGCCGGGGCGGTTCGGACAGCCCGCAAGCGCCCTACGATCGTGTATGACTCTGAGGGCGACGATTCTGCCGACCTGTCGGATAATAGTGCGACGGTAGGCCGCGGAAGCGTAGCAGGTGATAACACTGATCTGCCGGCAAAGAGATCCGTGTCGGTATCTGGTTTTGAAAGATCTAGAATCTCTGTGTTTAAAAGCCCTAGTCCTGCACGAGCGGTTAGCTTTAACCACCGCGATAACAGTCCAAAAGTTTCAATGGAAGACACCATGGTTGTTAGATCAAGCCCGTTCCATAGAAGCCCGTCAAGGACGAAACGGATGAACCAAAGGAACGCGACTCCAGACACCAAGGAGCTTGCGAAAAACCTTGCTGCATATCTTTCTCCAGCAGCTGGGAAGGAGAATATCCAGTCGCCACTTCGCGGAGCAATTCCTGCTCCAGTATTTGATTCCGATTTATCCCAGCAAAAACGGCGTATTGAAAGGGAAATGGCGGATGTTACTGACATGATACATGCGTACACATCGAACACTTACAAAGGGTCCATGACGTTGGTGCAAATGGCAATCAAATATGAAGAGTTGAAGAGGACGCTTGCCGGCCTCGAGGGAACTAGCCACGACATTTTGGGTCAAATACACAACATTCTTCCTCCCCGCACGCCAGAGCACGTTGCGGTTGATGTATACGCTACACAAAACTTCGTCGAAAATACACCAATACGGAAGCCGTTCCTTGCTAGAGTAGCCGAGGAGCCGACTCAGTTCGTCAAGCAGACCCAGTACCCTGTTAGATCTAAGTTAGCCAATGAAACGGTTGACGAGAGAGTCAGCGCTACAATGCTACCGAAGGGGCATGATACAATGGATGTTGACGATGATATCGGCAATCCGTTCGATATGCAAATTTCGAGCCCTCCAGACGCAGAATACACTGCGCCAAGCTCTCCGGCCCAGAGAACCCTCGATAAAGGCAAGGGGCGAGCGACTGAAGAAGATATCGAAGAAGGTTTGGATGGCCTCGACAGCCTGGATAGTGACGATATCCCGGACGAGTTTTTTGATTTCGAAAATGAAATACATGATCAAGTCCAAGAGAAGGATCCTTCTGGATCTGGTGCTCATTCGTTCAACATAGACGAATATGACGAGGACGATTTTGAGTTAAGTCCTGAAGACCTTGCTGAGATAGAGGGGAGACCATTGGATCAGCGATCACGATCTCCATCCTCGGACATTGAAGTTCTTGAGCAACCACCTCCGAATATCTTCGAGGCTCGCGCAAAAGCCGTTAGTCAGTTTGCCAAGGACCACGATCATCTAAACGAGGAAGATGTTGAGCTCGATGAGGATATCATGGAGATCGGTACCCAGAAAGCCGTCGAAGTCAACATGGGGGCTCCTAGCATGAATCATCCATGGTCTACCGACGTGGCCCGGGCACTGAAAACGACGTTCAAACTCAAAGGGTTCCGGGCTAACCAGCTCGAAGCAATCAACGCTACACTTGGTGGAAATGATGTCTTTGTTCTTATGCCTACTGGTGGTGGCAAGTCACTCTGCTATCAATTGCCCGCGGTGGTATCCTCTGGCAAAACCAAAGGGATCACCTTCGTCATATCGCCTCTGTTGTCGTTGATGGAAGATCAAGTTGATCATCTTGGAGCGCTAAAGATACGAGCATTTATGTTTAATTCTTCCATAACGGCCGAAGAAAGGAGGGAAATACTCAAAGAGCTCAAGAGCCCTGATGCCGCGACGTCTATTCAGCTTCTTTATGTTACCCCCGAAATGTTGGCTTCGAGCAAAATGATGGAAGCGGCAATGGGTTCACTCCATAAACGAAACTTGATTGCACGGGTGGTGATCGATGAAGCTCATTGCGTTAGTCAGTGGGGTCATGATTTCCGGAAAGATTATAAAGAACTAGGAAAATTGAGAACAGGGCTCCGGGGCGTTCCTTTCATGGCGCTGACAGCTACAGCAACCCCTCAAGTGCAGCAGGACTTGATGCGCAATCTTTCGATCACGAAGTGCAAGACATTCAAACAAAGCTTTAACCGGCCAAACCTGGTTTACGAAGTTCTTGAGAAGGTCAAAGGGGGGCAGGTTGTTCAAGATATCATTAACCTTATTCAAACCAGCTACAAAGGGAAATGCGGTATTGTCTATTGTCTTTCGAAAAACGATTGCGAACAAGTTTCTTCCCATCTCCAAAAAGCGAGAATCTTGGCAAACTTCTATCACGCCGGCCTAACAACTGACGAACGCAGGAACGTTCAAAAGCGATGGCAGTGTGGCGAACTCAAGGTCATCGTTGCAACAATAGCCTTTGGAATGGGTATTGACAAACCCGATGTTAGGTTCGTCATACATCATAGCATCCCAAAATCGTTAGAAGGGTATTATCAGGAGACTGGCAGAGCGGGCCGTGACGGTAAAATTTCTGGTTGTTACCTTTTTTACAGCGGCAATGACATGATGCGAATATTGAAGATGATCGAAACCGGCGAAGGGGCTACGGATTTCACGATCGATCACGGGAAGACAATGGTCAGGGCCGTTGCGAATTACTGTGATAATAAGGTTGAATGCCGGAGGATGCAGGTTCTCCGTTACTTTGCCGAAAGATACGACCCCGCGGATTGTAAGAAGACGTGCGACAATTGCAAGTCTGGCATCAAATATACTCCTCGTGATGTTACCGACGAGGCAAAGGCGGTTCTCAGTATTGTTGACGGAGCACAAGGCAAGAACTTGACCACTGCCAATATTCTAGATGTTTTCAAGGGCTCTCGGCAGAAGTTGATTATGGAAAATGGATGGAATAATCTGGATGGGTTCGGTCAAGGGAAGAGTTGGGAGAAAGATGCCTCTACGAGATTGGTCGAGAAGTTGATCGCGGAAGATATCATTTGTCAAAACTACATCCCGAACAAAAGCGGGTTTACAAATACCTACATTATCGTACGTTGATCCCTGTTCCAATTTCCAACCCGAGGAGTTTAACTGGTTGTCTTTGGGTTACAATTAACATTGATGCTTTCTCCCAAATAGCCCGGGAAAAAACAGAAGGAACTATCTAACGGAAGGAAGTTTGAAATGACATTTGATCGCTCCCCAACTGCCCCAAAGAAGGGGGCGAGAATTAAAGTCAGCAATGACCAAGATTTCGAATCCACCAATGTCTCTTCGCCAATCCCGCCAAGTAAAGGGAAACCTCGCAAAGCGGCAACAGTTCAAAACACTCAGCCAGATGACGATGGGTTCATGCCTATTCGTGATGGTGGTAGTAGTGTTGCAGGAAAAAAGCGGAAGAGTGACGGGATTGTTGACAACAAGGCTGCACCCCGTCGGAAGAAGGTGGCTGCCGAACCAATCGGGGTTGCTGCCGACAATATTCGGGCGGGCCTGAACCACTATGAACTTGATATTCTTGAACGGTTCCTAAAGGATGCGAAGCGGGTTCGGGGCGAGGTATGTAGAGTGTCCCACTTAATATAGGCCATGGCTAAGCTAACATGTGCATGCAGCTTATGAATGAGAGAGGTCTACGTGTAGAGTCGATATTTACGGATACCGAGCTAAGCTGGATGGGTCGCAAGCTTCCTTGCAGTACGTTATGCTTAGATTCTTCCTACTTGATTCGTAGGATAGCTACTAATAAATATTATAGGCATGAATGAGTTGGCGGCAATTTCCCACATTCAGGACAAAGAACGTATCCGACTCTATGGCCCTAAATTTCTACCTATCACGCAGAAATATAATAACGAAAAGTTGGAGAATTATGAGGGAACGCAATATACTCATGGTGGCGAGACCCAAACGCACTTGCCAGGGATTGATGGGTTTTTAGAGGAAGACTTCGATGAAGAATATGTGGACGATGACGACGATGACGGTGAAGAGTCGCGATATTTTAGTAATACGGCTGGGAAAAGTCAGGCGGCGTCGGATTTCAGCGCGAGGAGTAAGTTTCATCCTATTCTTCACTTTCTAAAGTAAATTCTCACAAATTGAATAGTGGCTGCTGCGTCTCAAGCGAAAGGATCGACGACGACTAAATCAACTGCCCGTGCTCCTAGACGCGCTTCTGGGAGTGGTAGGGGCCGAGGAGGTAAGAAATTCTTTAAACGAGCCTCCGGAGGGGGCGCGAAGTCTTCAAGGGGAGGAGCGAAAAGTGGAAGAGGCGGTTCGAAAGGCGGCCGTGGTGGTTCCGGATCCAGTGGGATTCGGCCAATGATATAATGGGAGCTCAAAGTTTTGGGCGTTGGGATTTTGTTTTATTGCATCATATATGGCGTCTGGTTTGGTGGATTTGCTAAAGGTGTTTTTGGCGTGTGTTACTGCATACTCACAAATATGATTCGTTAGGCATGGCGTTTGCATATATGTTCTAGTCAACTAGGACTTTGGTGGTTTCGTAATTTGGGGATTTTCCCATGTACGAGTTGTGGTTTCACTCTAGATGGAGGGTTCGTTCATGTATCATGCGCCTGTCTCGTGGTTTCAAGCGGTGGCATATCTATGAAGTATATACGGAGACTTGGACGCGATTACATATATTTCGTTCAAATTCTACGAGCAATATGATGGTGCAATCAAACCTCCTTGCACAAATTCCTGGAATTAATATTCTGAACTTTGCTAGTATCTCGGTCTGTATGAGAAACCAACCGGAAAGAAAGCTTTGAAACGATATACATCTATACATCGATGTACATTAGTACTGGGTGGAACTTGGGCCCTCCTAGCAATAATTTGAGAAAAAACCTAAAACCCTATTTTGATTTCGTCCCTCGAGAATACAAGTTGCGTAATGCGTATGTAAGAAAAGGACGAAAGACGAAATATATACACAACCAATTTTAATAACTCTCTTGTAACGCTAAAAACCGGATGATGCACTTAGCAGCCTAAGAACAAACCTCTTCTAGCCTCCTCCTCTCTAAGCTCAAACATCAGATTAATGCCAACGAATAGACATCCCAATGTTCCTCCCAGGAAGACCACGCCTGCCCAGCCCGCATTTATAATACCATCGTATATCAGCTGCTTAACACCATCAACACCGAGGGCGAATCCAACAAGATTAGCCCCGCACATGGTCAGAACCGTCAAGGTTCCTCCCATAGCAGCGAGCGGCCTATACCACCAGTTCCCGCCGTATTTGTTATACGGGAGCAACGCTCGGGCAGTCAACTCAGGAAGAATGAAGAGTACAATCAGCCAGCCCCATGTTAGGAGAGTTAGGGAGAGATCATGCCACAAGGCAACAAATGTAAACACCACCAGCATATTAATTACTGGTCGTTTTTTCGATCCTCCAAGAGGAATATAGAGGTATCTGATATTCCAGCGGTTATAGCTTCTATGCCAACCTCTCCAAAACCCGACGGCGGAAAAATTGTCGCTCATGCATCGCAACATGTTCTCAGGTGGGTCGATAGAATCCACAAGAGACCAGAGCCTAAAGAAACGCCACGGGATTAATAGTTTCAGCCAAATGATGTGAAGATTGAAGTAACCAATCATCATGAGCTGGAAAGGAGTATCGTTAATCCAGGCATTGTAAGGATGGTGAGCAGCCTTGGAGATAGCTTGAACATAGCAATAGTGGAGCACTAGCTCCATACAAAGAAGGCTCAGTAAAAACCGGATAGCATAGAAAAATACTGGTTTGAAATTCGTCGGGGGCAGTGCCTGTCTAGCAGCATGAATATTTTGAGCTACGTAGTCGTTAAAGGTTATGATGGGCCCGGCGATATAGAGGGGCGAATACAAGCAGTAAGCGTGATAAGTCGAAAAATTGTAGTAACTTAGAGGATGAGAAGTGGATACACGATCCTTGTCCGATTGATGGGATGGTGGCGGCCTCTTTCTCCTCTAGACGTGTTTAGCAATAATTTTCAGCAACAATCAACTTAACGACCACAGCGGGTAATATCAAAAAGGAAGTTATACCTCAAGATCCGGCCCAGTGGTTAGAGCCCAATAATAGTCCATATTGAAACTGATTATGCGAAGCATAGTAAAGTTGAAATGGACTTCCCAGCGAGGCATGATACCTCCATACTTGCTATCAATCCATCCGTATTCTGGCCCGAACATACGGCCGAACATATAACCGCGATTCCATTCATTGAGAAACAAGAAGGCGAGATTGAAACCCCAGGAGACAAAGGGTGTAGCTTTCGAAGGACCAAAGTATTTTACGATTGCGTAGTTGGTAGCCATCAAAAAAAGGACTTTAAAGTAGCTTATCCCGTGAAGCGCCAGGAGGAAAACCGCTGCGAAGAAGTTATCGAAAAGTATCCTACTGTTGATGTTCCCGTTTCCCAAAATTTTCGTCGATAGTTTCCGGAGAGCGGAATGACCAAGCAAGACGATAAATAGAATTGGTATATTGTCTCGGAACCCTTTATATTGCATATCCGTATTATCCTATCATCGACCGGTACGATATTAGACCACTTGAAGAAGTATTGGCGCTGTGACAATATGTACATACAACTTTCCTACCGGGAATCCAGCCCTTGGAAAGAATGCTCGAGTATCTTAGGTAGTTTGGGTGGTCCTCTATTGAAACGACCAATGTGTTAGCCTAGATCTAATCTTGGTATAAATATTATTCCAAAGTAGCTACCTTTCGATATATCGTATGCCGCTTTGAACATTGACGGTATGGCAATGATGACTATGATATAGTAGACAAAGTATTCGAGCGTCTGCCATCTCGACGGTGATGTTCTCTTTGCTGGAGCCTTGCCCGAGGCAGAACTCTCCTCCCTTTTCGCTGCTCCATCTCTTTGAGTCGTATCAGAAATATCTGACAACAAACGGCTGTCCAGAAGCTCTGGAGTAAATAAGTATCGTAGTGATGCTACCGACATGGTTGTGGTCCGTGATTGTATTCCTTAGGTAAAGGGACGATTGTTGCAGGCAAGAACGGGGAATATCTTTATACTCAGGCCACCCCTATTATCTCCGCCCCGTCTAGCTATTATTAGTACGGGTGACGAGGAGGACGGGATGTGGGGGAAATTGGGACCTGTCGAACTGAGAATAAGTAACGGCGGAGTGAAATAGGCAGGGTCCGATTGGCCTCGGCTGGGCTGAGCTGGGATCTTTAATTTGGTCCGTCGCGCGATCGCAAAAGTTCATACATACCTCAAAAGCACCCCGCCGTTGAAACCATCAACGACGACGACAGCACCTCCGACACTCACTCCCACCTCGGCTTAACCTACCAAGTCGCGTCACTTGCATCTAATTCCTTTCGATACACGTTACGGGCTAGTTTTCTAGCTACTAGTTACTTTCACGATCACATCCGACGCGTCGGCTTTCTTTCACAATGGCGAGCACTCCACAAATGTCCGGAGTTCTGCCACCGACGACCAAACCAGCTGAGCTTGAATACGGAGGAGGTTCGTTGGAAGGCCAGCCCTAGCTCGAGCTATTCATGGTGCTAAAGCTATTTGTTGCATAGATGAGGTTTCCGCCTTAGTACTTGATCCAGGCACAGGCACGACAAGGTGCGGTTTTGCTGGCGAAGATACACCAAAGACATGTGTTCCGACATCTTACGGTATCGTACCGGACCCAGAGGAGCAGAAGTACTTTGGGAAGTTGAAGATTGGAGAAAATCCAATCAATTCGGTTGTAGAGGGCATGGAAATCCGAAACCCTATGAGCGAAGGGATAGGTGCGTCAAAATCACATCCTAACTCAGCTGTCACCTTGACATCATATGCTTACATCTAATTAGTGGAGAACTGGGAGGTTGCGACCGAGATCTGGAGGCATTGTATTGAATATAGGTTATCCTCTAGGCTCGAAGAGCATCCTCTTCTAGTCACAGAACCTATCTGGAACCCCCTAAAGAAGCGTGAGAAGACAACCGAGATTGTCTTCGAGGACTTCAATGCTCCAGCTTACTTCCTTGTAAAAAGTGCCGTTTGCGAGTCATTCGCAAACAGCAAACCGTCGGCCTTGGTTGTTGATATGGGCCATGCGTATACTAGTGTGACACCTGTCATCGATGGTATTCCTTTGAGAAAAGGTATAGCATTGCAACGTCCCAATTAGCCATGAGATAATGCTGACTCTAAGCTGTATCTAGGCTCTGATAGAACAACACTTGCCGGTCAACATCTGACCAATCAATTGAGACATCAGTTCTCGGAGATGGGAATTCGCATGGCACCTTGGCTTACCCTGAAAAGCAAGACCACTTATACGGACCTCGCAGCTGCACCGCCTCTGAGAACCAAGGATTTTGGTTTCCAGCCGCATCAGTCGTTCCTCGATCTTCAACAAGACCGCTTCATCCATGAATTCAAAGAATGTGTCTCAGAAACCTGGCCAGAGGCCAAAACTTTCCCTGCTGACATCAATAACCTCCCGGATAACTTTCGTGGCATCGCCGATAAGGCCTTTGAGTTCCCTGACGGCTACCAACGCCGATTCGGGATTGATAGGTTTTTGGCTCCGGAGTCACTCTTTAACCCTTCTGTCTCTCCCAAGGCCATTACTGGTGACCTCCCTAAGGGTATTGCGGAAATGATCAAGGATTCTATTGATCATTTAGATGCGGACATCCGTGCTAATATGCTTAACAACATTGTTGTTGTTGGAGGAACTAGTTTGCTTTACAGGATCAATGAGCGCCTTAATCATGAGCTCATGACTATGTACCCTGGCCCCCGTGTAAAAATCCATTCGCCAGGTCAGATTCCAGAGAGAAAGTATTCTGCTTGGCTCGGAGGCAGCATCCTTGCCAGCTGCGGTGCTTTCCATCAGCTTTGGATTAGCAAGCAAGAATACGACGAAGTTGGAGCCAACATCATCGAACGAAGAGCTAAATAGAAAGGCTCTAAGTCCAAGAAGAAGGGGCGACGTTGACTTCCACGGTATTCTGACGATAACTTTAAGAGGTTGAAGGATGCGAAGGGCCAGACTTGTTGGTGGTGTTCAGACGAGCATACGATATATGGTGTCTATTTTATTGGATATGTGTACAATTACATAGTTTTCGTCTCATTATTGATAGACAAAAGCTGGCGTTTCAGATTCGGGGGGACGCTGATTCTAGCAGATATGATGCTGTAGCTCATGTCACCTTATTATAATACAACTTTGATTCAAAAACTCGGCCTCTAAATGAAGTCGTTAAGGGCATAGAGATATCGTGGTATATATTCGTTCAAACTAAACATAAAATAGCTAATCCAAATCACATAGGCTTTTCGTGAACATCTAGGGAGGAATAACATAAAATCGTGTAACAGAAAAATCATACGCCATGAAAATCATTTCTTCTCTTTCTCCTTGTCCTCAAGGTACTTCTTCCAACCAACCTCCATGAGCATCTCATCAGTCTTAACAACTGCGTCTCGCATGCCCTTCATGAACCCAGTCATCGCATCTCTATATCGTCCTTCACCGGCGCCGAGGATCCTAACTGCCAACAAAGCAGCATTGTCTGCCCGATTTACACCGACGGTGGCGACAGGTATCCCATTTGGCATTTGTACAATCGAAAGCAAACTGTCCATTCCTTCCAGGCTGGATCCCTTCACTGGGACACCGATGACTGGTAATGATGTCATACTGGCACACATTCCTGGCAAATGTGCTGCACCACCTGCGCCTGCAATGATAACACGAATGCCCCGTGCCTCCGCTGTGGTAGAGAACTCATATAGTTCTTGTGTCATACGATGGGCAGAGACAATTCGAGGCAGTGTGGGAATGTTGAAGGTGTCAAGGGTTTTTAGAGCAGCGGACATGATAGGTAGATCCGAGATAGACCCCATGATGACCGCTATCGGTGATAATGGCGTTGGGAGGGAGGCGGGAATAAGAGATAGTGATGGGGTATAAGAGGTTGCAGCTACTAGGGGTGCAATAAGGGTCTCGCAGTCAGAAATACTGTCAGCGACAACAGTTATGTGACCCATCTTACGACCAGGTCGAGACTCAGTTTTGCCATAAAGATGGAGAGTGGCACCAGGGGTTTCTAATGCCAATTTGGAAACTTGTAGGTGAGAAGTCGGATCCGGTCCTCCAAGAATGTTCAACATAATCGATGATGTTGTAGAAGTGCGAGGGGCGGTGATAGAAGGGGGTAGCGGTAGGTCAAGGATAGCGCGGATGTGAGCCTCAAATTGAGAAGTCGAATGTGTTTCGATCGTATGGTGGCCGCTGTTGTGCGGCCTAGGTGCGATTTCATTGACAAGAATGGTCCCGTTCTTGAGCAAAAACATCTCGACTCCGAAAATACCAGCACCTGGTAAATGTCGTATCGCTTCTTCTGCAAGCTTCTGAGCTCTCTCCCTGTTATCCACCGTAGTCCTTGCTGGCATGTAGACTAACTTGCAAATATTGTTCTCATGAATCGTCTCCACAGTTGGATATGATAGGGTCCTTCCATCCCGGGTCTTGACTACCAATACTGCAAGCTCCATGGTGAACTCTGCCCACCTCTCAGCATATAGAGGTCTATTCGAGAGAGCCTTGAGTGCTTCAGGAACACCCTCCTTTGATTTGACAACATAATTACCCCTTCCGTCGTATGCAAGTGTCCTTGACTTCAGCATGAAAGGATACCCAAAATCCCCCCCGACGTTTTCCAATGCCTCCACACTCGGGGTATCGATCTTAACAGAATCTGCCACAGCAACATTGTTCCTGATGAAAAACTCCTTTTGCAAGTACTTGTCTTGAATAACTCTAATGGTTTCGCTTGCCGGTTGGACATCAACTTTCCCTTCCTTTTCGATCTGTTCTAATATATTCGTATCGACATGTTCGATTTCGGTCGTCAAGATATCACAAGATTTTGAGAGTTCGAGTATGTCAGCGGAAGAGCTAAACGACCCCGTAACGTGGGAAGACAGAGCGTTTATTTGCTTCGCAGGTGAATTGTCCGCGTCGAGAATGGTGGTGCGGAGGTTTAATCTGTGAGCGGCTTCGACCATCATGCGGCCCAGCTAAAAAGTTTGAAATCAAGAATGTTAGTCATTGATACTGAACCCTCGACCCCTCAAATGGATATATATCAAAATGGAAAATAGCCTACCTGACCGCCGCCGAGGATGCCTATAGTCCTGGAATCCATGTTCTGTAGATGCAATAAATTTTGTCCGGTTATGAGTGTGATGTTGGCTAGGTTTTGTTGGGAACGGATTCGAGGAAGGATGTTCGAAAGGCGAAGTTAATGTTGGAGACGGAATTGTGTTGTCGACGAACAGAGATTTCATGGATTTATATTGAGAACTTGAAACCATTCCGGCCGCGCCGACTGCGGTGATCAAATAGGCCGAAGTTCGTCCTATCGACGCCTTCATCGAACGAGAAAATGTGGCCATGATTGAATTTGGGTTTACTTGGGCTTCAAGGCAAAAGTCTCAAAAGAGAATATAACTAAGTGGAATCAAAGCTTGAGATTCAAAATTCTTTAAACTCAAAGGCTGGCTCGAATTTATCTATTCGAGTAATGTATGAAGTATGTATGCTGTGCGGCCAGCAATATAGATCCTGCACTCTAGAAAATCAGGTAAAGCTTTGTAATTTAGGGTAAGCCAAAGAAGACGGTAGAGCTCGTAAGCTATAATGCAAGATCCTCCGTTCTTATAAATCCTTGCGGAGTCAGTACAGAGGAGGCCGACGTAAACAATTGGACCTTCTTGTAAACTACCCGGCCTCCTCCATGGCCTGCCTTATCACGATCATGCATCCTTTCGAGCATGTCACATTGTTTTCTCGCAAGGTATGATTCGGCAGACGGGAGGTGTGCCAGTTAGAAGTGACAAGATCTTCTGCACCGCACTTCGGGCGTCAAGTTTAACCTACCACCTTGCGCCTTGTTTCACCGCCCAGGCCTGTCCATGCGGGTATTGTTTTTCTAGGACGGGAACTCTGCCCAGAGTTGGCAACCTGTTCCCTTGTCCGGAACTCGGAATCATTCTTCTGAGAACTATCATCTTCTGTTCCATAATTGCTTAGCAAATTTCTATATTTGCATCTAAGCTTAATAAAAACTGTAATAAATGAAATCAAATGACCCTAAAATGAGTCCTTAATGCTCACACAGGCGGCTTGGTGGAGTTATTTTTGACAGCAGGGCAGCGGCAGCGCTGGTACGCGGCACAGCAAGGGTTAGCAGAGCCTCTCCCGTCGAAACTCGCAACATTTCGCTCGGAAGAAGGATCCGAACCAAACTATGGGACGAAAAGCACAATTTGGGCGATTCTCGAAATTACTGGCCATAACCGCACATTTAGTTCTGTACTTTCTCGTTTGTTGAGAATATGTGGCCGATATCTCGATCAAAGGTCACCTTTGGGAAGGTTGCTTTGTCATGGTAAAAACCTCTGCCATGATCCCTGAAGCTTGGTGACCTATGCCAGATAGAGGAGTAAGCCCGATTCCTAAAAAGTACAATTACCGACCCCACTTTTGCGGATACCTGGCCGCTCCGCCTGCAAGGAGACCAAATATAAGACGACGGGTGCTTAGGTAACGTAAGGAGCACAAGCTCTTGACCGGGTGAGTTCCGCCCGTTTTTGTCGGATATTCGTATAAACGGCGCACGGTTTGTGAATCATTCGGTTAAGCATGGTGCAGTAAGCAAGATGGAAGTCGTGCGATTGGATCCTGTTTCCACCAGCGATGCGGGGTTTGGGACGGCAGAGCTCGACATCGAACGAATGATGGTTGATCATGGATTTTCGAGATTCCTTCCTGTCTAGATAGTGTTTTCGAGTGAAACTATTGTCATTTCAATCCAACCTTTTGTTTTCGGGAAGCCATTACGATCTTGCAAATATAATCATCGCGCATCAATCCGCCAAGTGTTTTAGTAGTTTGCTAACTTGCATTTGGAGAAATGGTTCAGTTAGGCATTACCTCGAAGCCGGGCAAAGGAGCAAGCCCCACCAGCAGTGGGGAGGATCCCGATAATGATTTCGAAGACGAAAAGAGCATTACAATCAAGGTTTTGGAGACCGAGGATACCCCTACTACCTCAAGTTGGGAAAAGGCGAAGGCTATTTTCCGGGAAAAACTTGAAGCCGAGGAGGGTGGGAAGTTAAAGAAGTCATCCTTGGAATTCTTGAACGAGGTTGTCACGCCTCAGCAAGCTATCGCGCAATGTGAAAAAACCAAGGAACGTGCCGACGAGGAGTATTCTTCCAAAAAAGAAGTTGTCGTGGCCGGGAAGAAGCTTAACATCAAAGAGAAGATAGTTAAGATCCTGCGAAAGATGTATGTATACGTAAAGCTTTGATGTCAACCGCAACTTGACTGCCCAGCTTATTAAGATGTGGTCACGTGATATGCTCTCTCTCTCTTGTGCAACATTGCACAACGCAGAATCCTGGTCATGCATGTTGGAATTAATGGTGGCCTACTGATACTGACGGGCTCGTTTGATTGTGGATTGTAGGAGCATGTTTGTGGCCATTGGTGATGTAGTCTTCGAGCACTCGCCTGATACATCCGCAGTTGGTAAGTCCATGTGGCAGACCCCTAAAATACACAAGTTTACTAAAGTTGAACAAATGTTTAGTTTGGTCGGCAATTAGGTTAATTCTCGAGGTAATTTTCAATTTAGAGGTCCCTGTAGCCCTGGCCTGGCCTAGCTATATGTAGGCAATAAATGATTTTAGTCCGTCCTGCTAATTGCAAAGCGGTTTTGGCTCTATAGATTGCCCTTGATGATATAAATACCTGTGGACTCCTTATCGACGCGGTGGACGAAATCACAGGGGCCATGTTCGCCGCCGAAATATATGAGCAAAGATACCATAAAGCCGAAGCAGACGGTGAGAAAACCGGAAAAAATGAGGCCGTACTTCTCGGAAGCAAAGTCTTGGAGAAGATTGTCCCTCTCTACGCTGATATATTGTACTTTTCCTACTATTCTAAAAAATATATCCAGCATGGGAAATTGGTTAGTCGCTAGCATCACCACTCCCCAGGGTCCCTGTGGCACTTTTTGATTGACCGATAATGTATGAAAACTCCTTAGGTTCGATTGTTGAAAGGTATCACGAAGCCAATTGCGGTTCTACAAGGTATTTTAGATGGCATCACCAAAAAACTAGGGGAAATGCATACGGTTGCCGGCTTGGTATTTCAAGAACAGTCACTCGAGGCACTAGAGGGGCTCGCAGTGACGACTAAGTTAGAAGGCGAGGAAACTAGGAATTTTATCAGAGAAACAATGTTTAAATCGAATCGAGATATCACTGATTTGAAAGACGCTGTTTTACGAAGCCTTGCGAATGAAGAAATGGAACGGCTAAATGCTGAATTCGCAGAGAATGAGAAGTGGTTGGATCCGCTACAGGATCTCTACTACGAGTTAAACTCGAATAGGGTGAAGAGGCAAAAGGGCACCTGCGGGTGGGTTTTCGATCAAGACGAATATAAACAATGGTACAATTCAACTCAATCATCCTTCTTATGGGTTTACGGAAATGCCGGGTTCGGAAAGAGTGTTTTGATGTCCGCAATTGTTGATGGAATTCTGGAAGGCATCGGCAAAGAGACGTCGCAAAAAGTTGAGGTGCCTTCACCACCACTCATTGCCTCCTTCTTTTGCAAAGTTGGGAGTGAAAAGACCCAGAAGACATTTCCTATTCTGAAAAGTTTGATATACCAATACTATCAGTACTGCAAACACCGGATGCCCCAGGAGATTTTAGTGGAAGCAAGCTCGCGAATCAAGGAAGCAGCCAAAAAGGAAATGTCGATCTCCAACTCACCATCAAACGCGGCTACGGGTGACTCTGTTCAAGAAATTTGGAAAAAATTAATCTTGGATTTGGGAAAGCTTTTTAACAGTCCTATATACATTGTCATCGACGGTGCGTCCTCGAATTAATCAAACTTTAGCGACGGCGTATAGCTATTATATAGAGGGTCTTTTATTCTAATCGAATATAATAGCACTGGACGAATGCGACGATCGCGAAAAGACTGGATTTATTTCTCTTTTGCAAAACGTCGCGCGGAGCTCGTCTAGGACCAAGGTCGTCGTCACAAGTCGCCAGGAGCCGGACATTGTCACTCTGGTGTCCCACGGCCCAAAGATAAGTGTTGAAGAAAAGAAAAATATCAAGGACGTGAAGGTATATGTTAAGAAGGAACTAAAGAAGGTCACTATTCTGAAAGAAAAGGAGAGAAAGGACGCTCACAAAGCTATCGTAAAACGAGCATCTGGTATGTTCAGATACGCCGCTTTAGCTATCCAAAGTTTGCAACAACCTTGGGCTAGGCCTTTATCTAAGCATCTAAAAAACCTCCCCGGTCAAATGGCGGAGTTTTACCAACGCTCTCTCGACCAAATGGAGTCACAACAGAAAGAGGTTCTTATTACGGCGTTGAGATGGGCTATTTGTGCTGACGGAGATATTACTGTGCAGCAAATAGCGGAAGACTTTAGTAATGTATTCTTGGAGGCGGTCGAAGAACCGGAGGACGAAATCCTGGTCCCGGAAATTGAAGAAGGGGAAAATAGTGACGACGACGACGATGATGATGACGATGACGATAGCGATGATGAGGATGAGGACACTGACGAGGATGATGGTGAGAATCGTATTGGGAACAAAGATGGGAATAAAGTGAATGGGGTCAACCATCTAGACCTTCTAGCCAAGGAAGTAAATGGAGCCCTAAACTCTAGCCCCCTCAATGAGAACCCCTCTTCTAGTGAGAGTGCTAAAGATATTAAAGAAAAGCCTCTCTACAGTGAAGCAGAACTGAAATCCCGACTACGGCAACCTATTGAGCACGTCAAAAATTCGCGTGGGATATTTTTCTATGTCGGTGATGACGACGTTGTTAGACTCACCCATACAACTGTCAGAGATTTTGTTGAAGATAATGCCAAAAAGTACATGGAGGAATCTTCAAAATTAGTTTCTTGCTCGAAGTGTCTGAAAGATCTGGAGAATTCATCCACTTTGAGATGCGCACCAAAATGGGGCCACCTCCTCATTGCCTTGACCATAGGTAAGAGCCATACCGAACTTAATCAATATAGGCAGAAAGCTTCTTGATCGAGTTTTACAAGCTAATAAATCATTTCTTGAGAAAAGTCCGCCATCTCAACTCGCCCGAATTTCAGGAAAGATACATGAGCTGGGACCAATATTGGGATGGCGGGGACGAGATACCACCGGAATCCGAGGAGCCTGAGCCCGAGCCCGAGCTGGTACCAACTCCAGACCAACTAGAGGGAGCAAACTCTACTGAACATTCGGAAGCTCAAACTTTTAGCTCCGGAATACCCGAGGCTAACCCGACAGGTCTCGAGACGGAAAGCGGAGAAGTAGTGGTCAATGGGGATGACCCTATATTAGGGGAGATCATCCCACCTAGTCCAGTATTGGTTACTGAAGCAACAGATTTCGATACTCAACCAGGATCAGACGACTCCCAAGATGAGGTTGATGTAGAAAGCTTGAACGTTGTCGGACAGGATAGCCATCCTGAAGATCCGGTTGAAGTTGCAGCTACCGAATCATGGGCTCCCTCGGAAGCTGACACCGACTATGGAGTTAAAGGGAAAGATCAGGAGCTTCAAGAAGATGAAGCCGAATTTTCGAAAGTCCTTCGATACGAAGTCCAGAAGTGGATCGCCCATGTAGCAAAGGCTGAAAAGTTGTGGACGAAGGACGAGAAGAAGAATAGTAAGGAGTGGCAAGAACTTATTGCCGGCCTGAAAAAGCTCTCCTTGAATAAGAAAGTTTTCCGTTTCATACAAAGACACGTCTTTTCAGAAAATTGGGATAAGTGGACGACATCGACGGGATATGCGAACCCCTTATCTGTATTTTCGTGGAACGAAGCACCATCGGTTGTCGAAGAGCTTCTGAAGGATGCCGATAAAGATGAAGTTAATTTTACCTTCCCTGGAGGATACTCCCAATACCGATCCGCTCTCCAGTTTGCTGCTGAGGGAGAGTGTTCAGAAACAACGAAGATGCTACTTGATGCTGGGGCCGACTTGAACTGGAAGTCCCGTACGGATGCAACTACACTCGACTGCACCTATTCCCGCGGCACTGTATATTTCGACAACTTGAAGTTACTCATAGAAAGCGGTGCAGACGTTGTTCAAGCCGAAAGGGAAGGGCATAGGCAAAGTTGTTTGCACTACACAGTTACTTCAGGTAGCCCTCAAGCTACAAAATTGCTACTCGAACACGGTGCACGAATCAATGCACGAGATTCATCCGGGGAAACACCACTGCATTGGGCATTATTTGCGCCAAAAGACGTACGAAAAGAAATAGTTACTCTACTTTTAGAGAACGGGGCCGACATCAATATGCTAGATAATGAAGGCCAAGCCCCACTATTCGAAGCTGCGTTGATGGGCAGTGTGGAGATGCTAGAATTGCTTATAAAGTATAAGGCGGACCTGTCTTCATCGGTGGAATTCGAAAAATACAACAAATGGAATCTCCTTCACGCTGCGGTTTATTCGAGCGATCTGACCGATAATATAGAAGCAACTCAGGTCGGTGTTCTATGTTTCTTATTAATTGATGGAATTATGAGTTCGTGGACAACTGATGTTTTTGAATACCCCTAGGAAACTTGCTTGTATTTGATGGAAAAGGGAGTTGATTTAATGCATCAGGATATCAACGGTGAAACCCCTCTCCATACTGCTGTACGCCTCAGTCTCCCTAAGCCAGTCGATGACATAAATTTAAAATTGGTTGCAACATTGCTGCCGAAATATATCGAAAAAGACCCTAGTCGGGCTTTCCTACACTTGGGTGATTTCAAACAGCGAACTTTGCTTCACAGAATTGCAGCCGCGGGGAAACTAGAAATGGCAAAGTTATTACTAGATTGCTGCAGCGACCCTACCGAATTACTAGAGCTCAAAGAAAAAAGTGGTTCAACTCCAATATTTCCAGCTGTGTATAAGGGGCTTTCTAGCATGGGTGTGTTCCTTTCTTCTCTTTTGGTTTGCGCGGTTCTTCTAACCATAAATTGGCTATAGTAAAATACTTAATCGAGAAAGGTGCCGACGTTTCTGTCACAAACAAGCATGGAAACTCATTGATGTCTAGAGCTATAAACGGGCTATGGCAATTCGATAATGTTCTCCCAAGTGCGAATGGGGCCCGCGAGGAAACAATTGCAGCCCTAATTAGAGCGGAACCCCAAAAATACAAGACTGACTATTCACTTGCGGTGATTACGGCTATCCTGAAATCAGAGATCTTATTGAATGCATTGGTAGAAGTTGGACTGGATTTCTCGACTTTAGACGAATTTGGCTGGTCATGGGCCATGTATGTTCTGGCATACGGATTCGATCGCGAAACTTTGATATCAAAAAATATTGCTGCACCTAACATACCTACTACATTCCCAACGCTCGAGGAAGAATGGCGTGGCAGGCTACCCTCGAAGCTTGTGGTATCCTCTTCAAACTCGCCGGAGAAATACATAGTGGATCAACCGGGAACCAGCTCTGAGGGGACAATCATCGAAGCTGTCTCGACGTCTTTCGCAACAGACAACCCAATCCCTTTTGGAGTTTTCCAGTACTACTACGAAGTGACATTTCTAGACTTTGAGGGTTCTTCGAACAAGTATGTTAGAGTTTCTTAATCGAACTATTTGGCCAATTGGGTAGCTTGATAGGAGAAAGCAAGATTACTGACTTCCTTAAACCAGCACGGAAAACGGTCGATGTCTTGGTGATATATACCTCGGCTTTGTGCAAGATAATCCGAATCTCGCAGTAAGTTGAATTCCTTTCCGCCATATTGGCCACTTTTTTGTGCGTGGTATCCTAAATCCAAAATAATCTCTTAAAGTCCGGTAAAATTGGAGGAGAGTCTTCCAAATATTCAAAACCAGACCCGGTATGCCCTTTTTCTTCCTCTTTTTCTTAATGGTTTTGGAGACAAACTAACGAAGTGTACAGGCTCAAGAAACTTTACATGGGGAGGCATTTCATAAAACTGGCTTAAATGGCTACCCCTGGGGTTGGAACTGTAAGATATCCTATGCCGTGGGTTACTAATTGTTAAGAACACAGGAGCGAGCGGTTCAAGCAATATGGATGACAAGTCTGGTACTGATAACTACTTAATTTAAAACATTGAATAGTGACTCACGGCGTAGTATTTCATGGACACGCAAGATACGATACTGACTTCACCCATCGCGATCAAGATCTGCCATTTTGCTATGGTAATTACGAATTGCCCTATACAATCGGATGCGGCTTCGATTCTGTGAACAAAAGGATCTGGTTTACGCGGAATGGAGATTTTATTGGAATTGCATTTAAAGATGTTATTGGAAGAATATGGCCCACCCTTGGAATTGTCAATGGGGCAGTAAAAGTTCAAGTTAACTTCGGTGCCGACCTTTCAGCAAAACCGTTTAAATACGACTACAAAACACGCCTCGAAAGTGATGTGGCTCGCTGGATATCAGAAGACAAACTAGCTTTAGAGGTGAGTGGGGGTCGTTGGGAGCGGGAGGAGCACGGGTGGATAAAGTATATGGAAGAACGGGACCCTAAACCCGCCGATGTGCCGACTTACCTGTCTCAGTATTCTATGCGTGACGTATGGAATCTCATGGGTAAAACAGCTACGGGTTAGTGAATACTTTGTTTTAATCCGTTAGAACCTGTTGAATATATGTATATATTCTCTCAAATCCGCGGGAAATTTGTCTGCAATTAGCAGTTCTGTTAACATTCCGGGAAGGCTTTTGCTGCACCGTTAGTGCAGGCTAGGAGGTAACATTTCGCGCAAATAGGTGCTCTCTGATGTATGATAACGTTTCTTCGAAACTGGGCGTGTATACATGTAGCTTTGTAATTCTCGAAGTCTTTTCCACATGGCGCTCTCCCCTTCGAGTTGACCAGTTTATGCATATATGGCTAGGCCGTGTTTTATACACGAAGCTACTATACTTAATTTTCGATTCAATTTCGAATTCCCCTAATTAATTGGAATAATAAACAATGAAAGACCGAGTTCTAGTATCGAAGTATGTAGGTCTCTACCTATTAGTTGGAATTGCTCATACCGCAACTATTCCAAACTACAAACCAAACCACCAAGAAATAGGCCGATTAGAAAATTTCGCGAAGAGAAACAACCAACATGAGATCTCTACAGAAAAACACCATCTCTCAAAAAGAAGTCCTGCTCCTCCATATTCTCCTGGAGGTAGCAACGAAAACAGTCTCGACGAAATTGACCCTAGAGGCGACAGGAGGCCACTCAATAGAGAGGAGGATGAAGAAAGCAATGGACCATGGGATATGTTTGGAAACGTATCACCAGGTACTCTAGGTGTCTTGAGAACACATACAGACCTAGTTCAGAACCTGGCTCCTCAAAATGTTGGGCTTGGACCTGGACTTGGACTTGGACTCCAGGTTCCACGACCAGCTATTAATAATAATGCTGGCGCAGGGAATGCTCCTCAGCAGGCCGCTCGTCAGAATGGAGAAAGTGGCTCCGAGGCTGAAGAAGAAGAAGAAGAGAAAGCAGCTACTGAAATCGAAGAAGAAGAGAAATCAAATACTAAAATCGAGGAAGAAGAGAAATCAAATACTGAAATAGAGGAAGAAGAAAAAGAAGCTACTGATAGTCTAGAAAATTATGGCCAAGATCAAAGCTCTCAGCGTTCGATTTCACATGCAAACAGCGCAAGTTTGCAGTCGCCAAATTACTTTCTCCCAAACGTGCAGCCCAATCTTGCAGATCTGAACCGTCGACCTTATTTACTAGAATCGCCGGATATAAACAGCAGATTCGCACCTTCAAGTAATAGTGGTGGCCGTAGCCGCAGTTCCCCAACCCGACAGGGTCGAAGGATGTCTGGACTGTTCGGCGATTTCGATCCATCGACAATTCGTGATGCATCCGGGAATAATCAACTATATCGTGCGAATCGAAATAGAGGACAAAGTTTCTCGTCGCCGACTAGTGACATTTTGGACTTTGGTGGCAATTCTCTGCTGAGTCGTTTTAACAGCGGGGAGGGTCCATTGATGCGACCAATCACTCTTAATTTTGACCATGAAAGTGCGTATCCAAATATACAAACAAACCAGGTGACAGAAACGCGGGATGATTTATTTAGTCAGAGTCTGGATGACGAATTTCTACCCCCTCGTAGCCTGACAGGATTTCAGGCAAACCAGCCTCGGAGGAACGACCAGCCATCTCGTGGAACAGCAATAATCGATATAACTGGTGGGTTGGGTGGGCCGCCTATTTACAGACAAGAAGAAGTGAAAGAAGAGAGTGATTCCAATAGCTTGAATAGCCAGGAAACTTAGTATTTGCACATCCAGCTTTATAAAATTTTGTTATACTTGTATATATATTTCCTGAAAGATATTCTCTTGAGCTAGCTACACCATATACGGCCTAAAATGTGGCGTAGCTGTAATTTTATTATTTGAGCTTATTTATAGAACAGTACTCAAAGGTAATAGCCAAAAGCCCTACGTGCGTCATCGCTGAAGTTTTCATGACCTCGGTATCCCTTCAAAAGTGTCTCATTTACTTTGCCTTGTGTGTCTGAAGGTTGGCTGCCTGCAAGCACGTCTGCTAGCTGCTTTTTGATGTAAACTTTTGTCATGGGTGTAGTCGGAACCGCAGCGATGAAGGCAACCGATGAGTTTTGAGTGCCCTCATGTTCAGGATCAACGGCATGGCAAAGCTGTATATTAGACGTGTTAGCAGATTTCGGATTTCCCTGCTCAGATACTTTTTGGGAAATACCGAACTTACATCACTATGCCACCAAACTGTGTCCCCTGGTTGAATCTCTGGTACATGCATCATACATTCCTCGAATCTCAAGTGTGGATGCGAAGAGCGGCTCAAGAACTGGCTTTGATCTTTTTCTGTGCCTGGGAAGTGGCAGCCGCTTTCATCGAAACTCCATTTTCTAGCATCCATGATATCTGCATCATTTTCGGGCGGATTGAAGAATGGACGAAGTAGCATATATCCAACCGTTGTCGCGACATTTGGGTATAACAGGATGGAACCTTCCCTTGCTTTCGAAGGAGTTAGAGCGGTCCATCCCTGGAATGCTCGGAACACACTAGAATGAGATGGTGCTTTGAATAAATCCTGAACAGCGTCTTTGCGGACCTCTAAGTTCCAGGCATCATGATCTTCTGGATGACCGGAAAATATTGATTCGTAAACTTTACGATAAGTTGGTGCAGCCCAACGGCTCAAGCTCCCAGCATCAATGTGGGGCCCCAGCCCGAGGAATATTTGCTTCGGTGGCCTGTCTCGTACGCCGTCGTAGTATATCAAGGGGTCTGAGGATGTCTCTCCGGACTTATCGTGCCATAGTCCATTTAGTAGTTTTTGGAGTTTGAGGTGGCGTGGGTGGGATCTGATTGTATTTTGAACTGGCGAATCATAAATTTCATACATAGATGGTGTTTCCACCGGCCATGCATTGATTGTACCTTGATTGTCTGAAATATATTGGTGTAGTTCAGTGTAGAGTTCTTGTGCCTCAGTCCTAGGGAGAACTCCACGAATAATCACACAACCGGTTTTCTTGATTCTTTCTTCGTCATTCGAAGAAAACCCATTTTCTAGAATCTGTTCTGCAGAGCAGATCGGGATTATTTTATTTCCTTGTTCGACGATTTCATCAGTTATTGATGATAGGTCTTCGCAGACCCGGATCCAAGCTTTCTGTAAGTTTTCCTGGCCAAATTCTTCGATGATAGCCTTCTTCGTATCGACGAAATCTTGGTCTTGCGAGGTACTGTTATTGGTATTGTACTCTGGCCATGCCGGCCACTTGTGAATTTGTCCTGGCATATCGATTAAACGGGTATGTAACCAGCTTCAATTGATCAAGTGTTTCTGGTATATTTCAATAAAAAAATCCTGCCCAATCAAAAGCGATCAGAACAGCAAAAGAAGAAGTCGGGTGTTGTAATATTAAAGATCCAACATATTAAACCCTGGAGAGCCTTAAATACACAATTTCACAGAATCTGAATCAAGGCTTCCCAATTGCCCAATCGCAATTTCCGTTATCCATCTGTTGGAATTCTAGAAAGGGAAAGCGCCAAGTTTCGATCCACCATTATGCCAAGGCTAGACGATAGTCACCTTCATATTCTGAACTCCAATTACCCACCTGGGTCGACGGTTAACGGCGTTTCCGCTTACATAAAGAAGCTTAGCACTGCGGCGTGCATACGCTAGTGGCTCGCTTTTACCTGTTTCAACGGGGCCGACCCGTAGCGATTCTTAACGGAAACTACTACGTATCATCTATCTCGATCATTCTCCACTCGAACAGCGGTCTATATTACTCTAGGACAGTGATCAAGCAAGTGTCGACTTAAGCTTTGTGAATACCCATGTGATATTACGCCAAACCAATCATATCACCATGAGAGGTCGAACTTAATTTCTACAAGGATGGCGATAGTGGAATTGCGAATTGCAAGGCGAGAAGTCGAGATGAGCATGGCGAACTTAAAATTGAGGGTCCAAATTGGATTTCTATTTTGAACCCTGAGGAATTGGTATTTTTACTATAAATTTGCACGAGCGGCCATGTTACCAAGGGATAATCTTCCTGGGCTCATTCTTTTTTTTTTTGTAGTTCGGATTCATTTTAATCTTCGGTATTGGCAAGATGACCGGGTTCCAACGACAGTATGTTTCAAAACTAGTCCCGTCAAATCCAGTTGTTTTAAAAACATTGCTTATTGCCGTCGCAGTTGTGAACTCTGCTGTAAGTTGTGAATTTTGAGATAGAAGGACTGTTGTAACTAGTAGCTATTCTAGCTATTAGTAATAGGTTAATGGAAGGTTGTACTTGAAGCTCGGAGCAAAACTAATAGACCCTTCAGACTCTAGGATACGATGCGAGTGTCATGAATGGCCTCTCAATTCTTCCTTCGTACACAGGTTACTTCCAATTGAACGATGCAACAACAGGCCTGAACAATGCTGCCGTCTGGATCGGGACTATCCTCGGCATACCTCTTGTCCAACCAATCCCAGATCGATACGGCCGTAAAAATTCTATCCTCGTCGCTACCATTATTACCTTCTTTGGAATCGTTTTACAAGCCGCCGCACAGAATATTGCAATGTTCGTGGTCGGTCGTATCATAATCGGCTTTGGTACATGTCTGAGTAATGTATCTGCACCGCCGCTGCTAGCAGAACTCCTTCCACCACGTAGTCGAAGCTATGTCTTGGGTATCTTCTTTTCATGCTTTTATGTTGGTGGCCTCCTTTCGGCTATTATAAACTATGGTAGTCAAAATATTCTGTCAACGTGGGCTTGGAGATTACCTTCTCTTCTTCAATTTATCCCTAGCATAATCGCCGTGGCTCTTCTACCGTTTATTCCAGAGTCTCCACGTTGGTTAATTGCCAATGGACACGAAGAACATGCGAAAGAAGTTTTAGCGGTCCTCGATGGTGGGAAATCGGATGATGCTCTGGTAAACGCTGCGGTTGAGATGCAGGATATAAAATCCACGATTGCAAAAGAGGCAGCCGCATATCCAAGAAGTCCTTGGAAAGAATTGCTTTCAACCCCAGCAAATACCAAGAGAGTGATACTTTTGGTTCTTTTCGGTGCAATGGTAGAAATAGTTGGGAACTTCATTGTATCGTAAGTAGTGAAATCTGCTTGGAAATATTTTATTCGAAATTTGCGTGCCTGAAGGAAACTCACGAGGCTCTAGATACTACCTTACCCGGATTCTCTCGCAAGCAGGAATAACCGATACGCACCGTCAAACCCAAATCAATGTTATCATCCAGTGTTGGTCATTTGCTGTAGCGGTAGCCGGCAGTTTCTTGCTTGATATTATTGGTCGCCGGCTCCAGACTTTAATTGGTACGGTAGGAATGACGGTCACACTTTATATGCTAGGCGCTTTTATCAAAGGTAAGGTCCCATACATAACACCAACTACATGGTCTAGACTAATTTTCTTTTCTTTACGACAGTATACGGTGACAGCACCGACGTTTCAAAGAACTATGGAATACTTGCGGTTATATTTCTGTTTCAGGGGTTTTACGCCTTCTCGATTACCCCGATGACAAGCTTGTACCCGACGGAGATTTGCCAGTATAAGCTTCGAGCAGCCGGCGCTGCAGTATTCAAAGCCGTTGATGCAGGGCTCGGGTATGTCACCTGCTCCATAGCCCTAAGATCAAAAAAAAAAAAAATTGCTGACCCACTTAATTGGATACAGATTAGTGATGTCCTTCACCATGTCATTTGCGATGTCCGACTTAGGATGGAAATTTTATTTCATCAACGCATCATGGAATGTCGTTGTAACCGCCCTGGTATTTTTCTGTTTTGTGGAAACGAAAGGTTTACAACTTGAGGAAATTGCGATTAAGTTTGGTGATAGCTTTATCACGGAAGGTTATAACAGTTCGAATTCTACGACCGAAGGCATTGGGAAGTTGAATAAGGGCCAGCTGACTGAGCATGAAGTACTATGATCTGCTTTTTTTTTTCGATTCTAACAACGTACAACTACTTATATTTCTTTTATCCATGTTTAAGATTATAATAACAACATGCAAGTATAGTTAATGCATCCCGAATACCTTAAAACGCATTGGCAAGCTATAATTATAGAAGCTACGGCTACAACCGTATGAGACTCAGTCTATATGGCACCTGAGCTAAGCTGGTTCGTTTAGTGTCGAGACTGGGATAATACCAACGAGACCAGATAATATTGGTCTCGTTGGAAAATATACATGGCTATGCAATCCGTATCAATAGCAACACATTTCGTTGTTGTAATTTAATTAAGCTGGTTGAATTTGAATTGAACCGCGCGGTGGGAACAAGTTTAATACATTAATTGCCAGTCGAATAGTAATTCCTGAAGGATGATATACCAGAGGGCTTTAGTATTCAAGGATTATGGATACAAAGCACGCCGTCAAGCGTCCATTTCACGAGTTACAGATACAGTACAAGGACCGCCATTTACAGCCAAGCCAGCTAGTAACCAGACCCTGTCAACTGACCCATACTGACAATGCAATGCCTAGGCTATATAACTCCCCACTTCCCCTCCTAACCATGAAAAATGCTCGGTAACTATTCAATTCATGAAACAACGGAAGCATTTTTTTTTATCTCGGGCGAGAGAGGAAATGATCCTAGTCAGCCCACTACTCCGAACAATGCCCTTGTCTTTTCGATAAACATTTTCTTGGCCGGTAACTCTGAACCAATCAATTCTCGGCCGATAGCCCGATTGAGCGGTGGAGGCTTGAAGATTGGACAGGGATCTTTCCCTCACTGAAAGACGGGACTAGACTGGGCTGGACTGGGTATACTTCATGGCTACGTTATGGCGTCGGAGTTTGCCTTTTGGCAATTGATATTCTTTGAACTTGTCGAAGTCTAACCTTTTTTTTGTTTTTCCTTTTTAGTCCTTGCTTCGAGTGGGAGAAAGATTGCTCCCGCCATTTTAATGGTGGATTACGTATATATTATGCTGTAGCTAGGTAGCTAGCTAGGCTCGTCCTTATGAATTCAATATGATACATATGAATCGGGTAGCAGGTGCTTGGTCTTAAAGTATATATTGAGAAGAAGAAGCCACCTTTGGGGTTATTATATACCTAGTTTTTATTCTGATAGTATACGATCCCCCGATTTTGATATAAAACTCGTATACACCGGTCTCAAAGGCTCCTTCTTTCAATTAATCTAAATCACGAAACGAAAGAACCGAAAGAACCGACAAGATATATTCTACAAATACCTAGTTTAAATACGAAACCATGACGAGAACAATTCTCATAACAGGAGTCACCGGTACGTCACTCTTAACATCACAATACATTACAATTAATCCTCCTCTCAGAAATACAATGTAGACTAACAACCGACTCCCCGCCTCGAATACATAAAGGCCAACAAGGCGGTTCCCTCCTCAAAGCCCTGCAATCCAACCCAGACGCTGCCTCCCTCTCCATCCGCGCCATAGTCCGAGACCCCACCGCTGCCTCCCAAAAACTATCTTCCAAATCCAACAGTAATCTCACTTTCCACAAAGCCAACCTAACCGATAAATCCTCCCTCATCCCGGCTCTCACAGACGTCGACACAGCCTTCCTAATCACAATCCCACAACCAAACGCCGAAGCCGAGATAACTCAAGGAAAGACCTTCGTCGACGCTGCCAAAGAAACTGGTTTAAAACACATAATCTTCTCATCCGTCGGTTCCGCGGAAAGAAACACGGGAATCCCACATTTTGATTCAAAAAGGGTGGTAGAAAAATATATCATCGAATCCGGGATACCATATACATTCATCAGACCCGTGGCGTTTATGGATAATTTCCCCGTCGATGGTGGTGTAGGTAGATTTTTCGCTTTGGGATTGTTTAATACGGCTTTAGCGGGGAAGAGGTTGCAACTTATTGCTGCTAAGGATATCGGAGAGTTTGCGGCTAAGGCCGTGTTGAACCCTGAAAAGTGGAAGGGGAGGGAGTTTGAGTTGGCTGGTGACGAGTTGAGTGTTCCCGAGGTATTGGATGTTTATGAAAAAGTGCAGGGTACGAGGCCGTGGTCGGTTTGGTTGCCGTATTTTGCATTGAAGTTGATGCTGCCGGTGGATTTTTTCTTGATGTTTAAGGTATACATGCACCCCCCTCCCATTAAGTACCTAATCAATATAGGTTGATAGTTTATATATATGCTGATGGTATTAACTATATAGTTCTTCTATGACGATGGATACAAAGCAAATATTCCGGATTTGAAGAAAGAGTATCCTGGTTTACAAACATTTGAAGATTTCCTACGCGAAAAGGCGAAATCAAAAGATAAGACAGCTTAACCCCCCTGGCACCGAAGTTGTAGGCCAAACTGTACATATAACCCCGCATTCACCGGTTTGTCAAACTGTCTTAATGTCTATTTAATTTGAATGGAATCGTTCATATGTACCGTGCCTGGAAGTTATTGGTGTGATGCTTATGTAGTGTTAGGCGATGGCCTCAAAGCCCGCTGGTATTAATGTGAAAACAATAAGAGTAGAGCTAACGCAAGTTGCCTCTAAGGGTTTACTTGAAGCAATAAGTCTAGGTTTAATCGTAAAGGAAATAGAATACAGAATGACAACGTGAAAATGTAGGGGGAACCGTTCGCTTGACGGATTCCTCGACGGTAACAGGAGAAGCGGGTATGTGTAGTTGGTTCGTTTGTTATGTGGAGGTGGGTAAGATTGAAAGGTAAGAGTGTTACAGGGAACAGATGGGATTCTTGTAATAGAGGACGATTTTATGCCAAATGGATCTCAATAAGGCTAGATCTCAGTCCACCAATCGTCATCGGTGTACCCAGAAAACCCGCGGGCAGCGAACTCAGCTTCCATGATATCGTACATGGTAGGTTGTTCACAACGGTCGATATCCAACACCAGAGCTTTGGCCAAGTAAATTTCCGTTGCTAGTTTGGTGCGGGCGTCAAAGGTCGATGTACACATGCCCCGGAAGTTAGGGTACGTCGGAAGGAGATCGCATTTCTGGCGTCCTGTCATGTTGATAATGACTGACTCCTTCCAGTGATTGTAGAGGAGTTCGTCAGAAACGCGATTATCTTTGAAAGTTCGAGTGTTGACTGCCGCAATCAGTGCATGCTTCCCGTCGAGAGTATAGGAATAGTCCTCGTTACGAAAAACCGTAATCTTGTAGCCTCTCTGTGAAGTCAGGGCCGGAAGTTAGGATCGAGTTTGACCAGCGTGGAAACTTAGTACGTGTGAGATATTTTTCAACATTACCTTTGGATTTATGGAAAACTTGTTCATTGTGAAGGCACTTGAGAATCTGGATTCCATCAAAATACTATTCTGGATAGAACAGAGTTTTTCCTTTCCAATGACAACTTCCTCGCTAACATCGGTAATTCGTCTTGGCCATCCCTTCGCCAGCCACTAATCCAAAGTTTTTGTTAATTTCTTAAATTTGTCGTGATCATTGGCTCGATAAATGTGATAAATCAGAAGAATGGTTTGATCTTACCTCAGAGCGAAGTTCTGGTGGGTAAATGGGACAGCAGACCAATTGGGCACCAGGGCGGCCATTTTTGGACTGTTTCATGTTCTTTCCAGTGAGAACGCATTTTCGGTCCCGACTCCTGACGGTTTCCCAGTAGTATCGGAGCTGTGGCTTCCTCTTAGCCTCACACTTTTCAATGCAGAATTGGATATATAAATGAAAGGAAAAGGCAAAGAAGTGATAAAAAACTTACTCGAGGATCAGTTGGAACACTTGTGCTCGGCGCAACTCGTAGACCTGGAATGTGGCGCGTGTGCTCGACTTTGATGTATTCCTCTATGTTCGTGATGGTAATTATTAACAAAGCCACGAGGAACTCAGCGTCGATGCAAGGAAGTTGTGCCAACTTACTGTTCAATCCCAGGATGACATACCAGGAATTACCTTGGAAGACTACATCCTTTTCTTTCACAAGATCGATGGGTTCACCCAGTCGCGAAATTGTTTTGACAAGGTCCATAGGATTAGCATCGGGACACCGGTAGACTTTGAACGTGCCCTTCTTTAGATTAGGATAGACCAAGGTAAACCATTCCATGATTTCATCCCAGGTGAGGTTGCCATGTTGTTCTGAGCGTCCAACTTCGTTATTGTGGCCATCCAAGAAGTGAAAATCGTTGAGTTTGCTGTCGTAGTAACGAGATCCTCTGTAGATTGGCTCTTCGACGGATGGCTTTGGCTTAGAGGCCTCTCCAATCGCAGGTAAGTCAGACATATTTCGAGAGGCTTTCTTGGTGCCTATAGCACTCATTAGTTTTACTCGGGTGTGTTTGAAGTGGGAGGGATGGTGGTAAAAGGTGAAGTTTAGGATGGATGAAGGGTTGATGAGATGTGGTATGAGGTTGCAGCTGAGTTTGAGGATTTAGCGGGATGGTTGTGATTTAATTTATGTATCGTGGAAACTATCACGATAATCTCAGCTCCTTAGATTTGTGTATAGAGATGGGGAGAGCAGCGCGATACGGTTCATGTTGTCTTGTCAAAAATGATCTACAATATGTGAGCAGTAATTAGAATTACAATATGCTATACTGGTAACAATTATAGTAACTTAAAATGTAACATCTAACTAATCTGAAGCTTCAATTAAGCTGCTAGATATCTATAGGGCCCTGGACTACAACCACATACTGGAAACATATCCAAGCCATTAGATAGGTAGTTCCAATGAAGTTAGAATCCATGGAAGGCTTGTCTATCTCAGCGCAGCAGAATCCACCTCATGATGGTTAATACAATATGCATATATGGTTTGTTGGATTTTGCGGAGAATCTGTGTTGCCCTCGCTGTAGCAACAGGGCATAATACAGAACATAATCTACGGCTTCAGATATATTCTGTATATAAACCCTATTTCCGTAGATACACAGGGCTAACCCCCATCGACGGATTATCGTAGATCATGCTGTCTATAGATGTAATCTACGTAGATATACGGCCCAATCAGGTATTCAGTTCGAATTGAAAGTTTCCCTCGTCCCATTATAAAAGGGGGTCTTCCCTCCCTCCAATTTCTTCTTTCCTTTCCTTTCCTTCTCTCTTCAGCCCGCACAGAAGATTCGTTCTTACTCCTGTTTATCCTTTATCTACCTGCTTTATATATCATGTATCCCTTTAACATCACTCATGTATTCCCTTCTTCCCCCCCGCACACACATGTTTCCATTAACTTCCCTCCTAATGTTTTCTTTTCCCGTTTGTTAATTCTGTTCGATCTTCTGACGCTCTCTTTCAAACACCATACTTACCATGCTTTCCCTTCAGTTTACCCACTTACCATTTACCATCGGTTTACCCACGATTTTTGGTGGAGAACAACTCTTTTTGTCAAATCCCATTCTTGGTGAATGTAAGTATCCATCCCACACCCTTCCATTCAATTCAATTCTTTACCTCAATCACACAAAAGGTAAGTACTCACCAACTAACTAACTGTTTCCCATTCCCAGGAATGGTCCTTTACCCTAACACTTTTTTTTTCTTCTGTCCAAACTTTTACCACACCCCATCGACACGGGAGACCAACATTTTCTTCACTTATCGATATTTTGGACTCGGGAAATCGAAGCGTTTTACCTTAACTGTGCCAGCTTCACTAGGAGGAATCAAGTTTTTTTTTACCAACTTTTTTTTTTACCGGATTTTACCAAAATTATTTGCTTTCCACGACAACTATCAGGGGCAGGGAGAAATAGTACTATCGGCAGTTTACCAAGAAAGGAAAAGTATTATCAGACAAGTGATTGGAGAATCAACACTGGCACATCTGATACTTCATTCTGGTCTTCTATTCTTTGCTTTTTTGGACTTTCTGATCATCTTACCTTTTTTTTCTTACCGGGTACTGAGGATTAGTAAAGTAAGTCCAATCTCCCCTCTTCTTTTTCTCTCACACTCAGCCTACTAACTTGTCCAAGGCCATCTACTGCAACCTAGTTGTTGCACTAGTGGACTAATATCTCGTAAGTATATCTTTTCTTTTCTTTTCTTATCTTTTTTTCTGTTATTCCCTGATACATACACCTGCCCCTCACTTCCCCTCACTTTGCTACACTTCACCCCTTTCTTTTCATCTGGGCTCCATGTATATAATTACAAATGAATATAGTTTCAATAGAACCACTCAATCCGTTTTCTAAGATCGTTCCCTGGGCTCTGCTCAACTATCAATTATAAATCTTATGTACAAGGTAATTCACAATCCAACACATATAAATAGACAGCAAAGCCTTCCACATCCTAAATGCGTGACTGAATGCATATCTACTAAGTAATAACGACTTCAGAAGTAGTTTGATAGATCAGATTAATACCCGTCTAAATAGATAAATAAATTTCTTAAACCTTTATCGATATATCACGTCATAACTCAAGACTTCAATCCAAAAAAAAATTAACACCGTCCATTACCCGGCCAATGTCCCTCACTAGCCATATAGACGAAGTAGTATAGTAATGACGCCCAATCATCAATGGCTCACTATATATATTCCCAACAGTATAACATCTATATTCCCGGCCACCGTGGCATCCCAAAGAAATAAGAACCTCTCAACCAACTATTCAATCAATTATACATCCCTCTTACTGTCTCTATCTTCCTATCAATGTCTCAATCTTACAGCAATCTAAGCACTTACGTATACTAAAATAACCTAGACACAGCGTGGAGAGCAGGGATATATATACTGTCTCGACCATTAAGTCCTCAACCTAACTAGCTACCTAGCTAACTCCATAAACCGGGGTGTATGTCAAAAAGAAAAGCAGGTACCGATATAGGTACCTACCTTAGAGCCTCCTGGAACAAAAAAAGCCGGAAAGAGTAAATGTTAACGAGATATCTATCACCCTAGAACCTTGTTCTCGTACTGGTTTGAGCGTAGATGTATATTTTGTGCTAGCATGCATTCCTCTTTTCGTCAAAACATTAGTCTCGGTCTTGGTCTGAACCCGGCCCTCCAGGCACCGCCCCCCCAAATACGTACAAGAATAAGACATTTTTACGATGTCATTTTTTTCTAATTAAGACCGGGAGGTTGGGTTGTGAGACTTGGTCCCGTTAATTACCCCTCGTTGTCAACTTTTTAAGCTTTCCCCCCCTTTTGACTAAAAGTGGTTCAGAGAGAATGGTACTATACTAGAATGCCATTGTCTACGATCAAGGTTTATAGTTTGGATCCATAGGGAACTAATTTAGCTGAAGGTTATATAGAAAGGTACCGATTGTTCAACCAGGTACGGATATAAAACAAACGACTCTGGTATATAAGTATATAAGTTTCAAAGTTAGCGAATTGGTTTATTCTTGATTCTCTGTTTTTTTTTTTGTTAGAAAAGAGAGGAGAATAACTAATAATTTTCGTGACAAAAGAAGATAGTTAGTACAAGGCTTCGAAATTGACATAAAATGAGAGGTTCTGAATTCCTTGAGTCATGTGTGTATGCATGCATGATAATTATACATAAAACGGCGATGACATCTTTAAAAAAGAAAGAAAGAAAGAAAGAATATTCATCATGACAGTATTGCATTCGTATTACTTCTCCGGAGAAAAAAAAAAAAAAAAAAGGCATTGCACCGAGTAATATGTACATAATCACCATCGCACAACAGGTTGCATACATGTAGGTACGTCAATAAGAATGCAAAAAAAAAAAAAAAAAAAAAAGTTCTGAAGCCGCCAACGTTATAATTCAAACGTCGAAAAATGTATTTTATAAACGGGAACAGCTGCAAGGGGTGGTTTGTTGCATAAACAGGATGCATGCATACAACGATTGATTTTTGCATACTGTAATATATTTCTCAAGAGTCAATAGAGTCGGGATTAATTAAGAGTAACAGGAGAAAGAAGAAGAAAAAATAATACAAGTTTCAGCAGAAAAGGAAAATAACCAAAAAAGAAAAGTCGTTTTTACACTGCCCGAAAAAAAAAGTCCAAACCGATCATGATAACCAACGACCAATGCGATGCTAGGAATGAAAAACACCATGCATGCAGACGCGAAGACTTTTCGGAAGCAACAAAAAAAAGAAGATACAGAAGAAGAGGCCCTTGATAGCGACCTTACGGCAAAAAAAAAAAAAAAAAAAAAATAGAAGATGAAAATTATTACAAGAGATTAGTTGGGGTCGCCGTAACAGAGACCGCCGGGCTTTTGATTCGTGACATCATAATAAGTGGTCCATTTGGTGATTGGCGCATCTTGACCTGATGACAATGGAAGCGTAACAGTAGCTGATGTGACGGAGATTTTGAGGGACCTGACGTCCTGAGGATTGATGTAACCACCATTATTGCCGGGCTGATTGCTAGTTAGCAATGGTACTGTATCATTAGGGCCCCCATAAGGACGTACCAGTTGCACGCGCCAATGTAGCTTAGTCTTCAAATACGGGATAACACTCTCTGGAGACTATACGGATTCCATAAGATTAGCAATAAACCCGTAGAATAGGAGGGGCAGAGCTTACCAAATCCTTGAGCTTACCACCCTTAGCACAGTCAATCAACATATGAGTCAAGGGAACGGATCCTGTCACAAGAGCGTTATCAGAGCAATCACTGCAAGTTCCATTCTTCGTCAAAAGGTAGTAGCTCCCAACAAAATTGGGGTCGCTAGTCCATTCAACTCCGTTACTTGGTGAGCCGATGAAGATATGGATGAGATATGTCCCGCTCGTTTGATGTTTGTTAAGGCGGATATTAGCGGACCATTCGTGATATTTGCCATCGGAGACAAGTGAGCTGGCAGAATAGGAACGTTTGGAAGCTGCTATAGAATTTCTAAATTAGAATAGAAAAGTACTAAGGAATAGAGGATTGACAGGCTTACCACCCCCTCGAACTTGGTTTTGCGGGGCCGTTCCGCCGTATAGTCGCTGTATCCGGACCCGTAGGTCGGCGGCGCTAAGGCCATTAGTTTCTGGATAGTTGTAATAGAAATACTTGGTATCCCTAGCGGTATTTGAAGTCCACGGCGTGCTTGGCCACTTGTAGAATGGGGCAAGCGGTGTAGCAGCATTTTCAACTGATCCGGGGGGGTTGGACCTAGTACCAAAGAGGGTTGGCTGGGAGGTAGTCCATGCATTTGGATTCTAGGAACAGGTAGTTATTAGAGGCGGTTTAAAAGAGGAGAGTTTAATGCTCTGGGGAAAACTCACAAGCACCTGCCACATGGCAATAATACGATCCCTAAACCTTACGTTAGCTCGGTTTCCTAATCCAAAGAACACTTTTAGAAGAAATATTCATCGTACACATTCTAAAAGAGAATTTGTTAGAATTAGATCTGATAGTATGAACTGAAGCTTGTTATTCACTTACGCAATGATGAAGCCAGAAAATGGGGTCCATCGCAGATGTATCCACAATCGCCATATCTTAAAAGTTGTTAGCTATATCGAACCAACAGTATCAACCAACACTTAAGATCGACAACTTACGTCCTTGACCTCCAACCAGACCCTAAAAGTAAAAGTATCAATATATCTGGCCAAATGTATATATTCAGAAAATTCCTTACATGAATTAGATCGTGAATGGATTCGATTGAATCTTGATTTCCAGAGTTTCCACCATTCCAAGCCTTATTTGAGAAAATGTTAAATTGGCGCTGATAGTTTAACAGGTTGAAAACTCGGTTACGTAGACTATATGCAATTAGAAGACTGCCGCACAGGTATCAAAATAGGCTACTTACGAAACTTGGTTTGCACCCAGCTGTTGGTTTACCACATTCGGCCGAGGGGTTCCGTTGTTATCGGGCTGCCGCAGGGTTCGTGTCCACCGATTGAACTAATTTCCGTTAATATATGATCCATCTAAACCTTAGATAGAATATACTCACGGGGGTAAATGGGAAGAACGTAGGACTAAATGGATGGAAGACATAAGAAATCATAGGATTTGCAATAGTGACAGAACCTTGCGGCTTCTGGACCCTGACGGTAGCTTGGCTCCCAATGATAGCGGGAACTTGTGCATTGCTCGCCCAATCCCAATAACTATTTGTAAACATCAGTTAGCTATATTTGAAACCTAGGATTATATTAGGACTTTAAGTAAAAAACGTACGGAAGTCTAAACCGGTTCGCAGCTTGCTGATACCGAGTTCGAACTGCGCCAGCAGGGTATTGGTTTGCCAAGTTTCGCATAATATTGCCCAGGATTTGCTGTCATGTTGCATTTTGTGAGTAAATTTATTGAGGGCCCAGAATATATAGTCTCACGGGATACGCGTACCTCAATTGTGGCGAGATATGGACGGTGCCAACTCGGGAAAAGAATGGACGCCTATGTCCACATCAGTATGTCTTCCTATGCTAAAGTTACTAGAAACAGAAGAGGGAGAAAACTCACGTGGGGGCAGTAGCCAGTTTGAGTATTCCCACCACCAGCATTACTACAAACTTTATGTTAGATTCTCAAGTTGCCTCACAACATACTGTGCCTCACAAAGGGCAGCATACTTCCACTGTCTATACGGAGCTCCATGAATACCTAGTTGAAAGTTAGCATAACCCAACATCATCCCAAACCTCGATGAAACAGCATAAATGGCTTGATAGTCAACTTACCAGCCAACGCAAAATAAGATTCTCTGTTATTTTGATCCATGCCTTGCAAAGCTTCCATTCCGCAAAGAAATAGGTTTAGCAAGTCCGCATCGGCGGCAAAGTCGTTCCAGTTCCGCCTTTGCTGAATGCCATTCCAATTTATTCCGGTTGATAGGAGTCTATTAGCCGATTGTCGTTTCTCCATCTTGTGTGACTTGCCGTTATCTGTGCCCGAGACCGTGGTACCAGCGTTGAAAATGTCCGAGTTGGTGGTAGTAGTGGTCATCCTCAAGGGATCCACGATGTCCAATAGCCGTTCATTCCGAATGACATTATGAGAGACCATAAGCTTTCCAAGAGCGAAGAGTGTAACGATCATGCAAATTGAGGCCACGAGCGCAGGGAGCCAACGTCTACCGTAGGCTCGACTACGAACCGTAGGCATCTCAGCGAACGCCTTGACGTCCATTGTCAAGTACTCGGGAAGAAATCGCACGAGCTGGCAAGCTTTTATTTAATAACGAGAGGCCGTAATTAATATATTGTATAAAAGCGAAAAAAGGTTGAAAGAAGGCGAGCAGGGCTAAAGCACGGTATATAGGACTAAAGCGATCGATCGAGGAGCCAATAGCGAAAAAAACCTCAACGAATGCAGGAGGTTAATAGCGACGAAGAAGAAGAAGAAGAACAAGAAGAAGAAGAGGACGAGCAGAAAACTGGACTCCTGAGGATGATAGAAAGGGCCGACTTCGAGGGGTTCTTAAAGAGAAAAGGTCGACCGGCCGGCTACAGCAATTGTCCGATTTAGTCGGAACAGGTAAGATGGTTGGTGGAACGGCGCAGCGGCGCAGATGGGAATCGTGTTGGCGACGTTGTACCACAACTGCGACGGTAGACTGGGGCGGTGAGCGCCGTCGGAGAGTCCCAGTTGCACGCTCCCTTCAACAAAAAAGTTATCAGTTATGAAGGTTGTAAAAAAATAAAAAAGGTTGCGCGATTACCACCTACCGAAGGCACACTAACTGTAGAGTCGGAACGCTAGGGTTCAAGCTGAACAGGGCTGAAGCTAGCCACGAGGAAACGTCATAGACTCTGTAGCCCGTTGTACCAATCCAATCTTATAACATTAAAATGAAGAAGGGGAGGTTGTAGAAGTATCGACGGGGTAGGATAGAGAACTTTAGCTTGAGCACCATGCCGGAGCTAGCGCTTGTCTTAAGGACTCGAGCGCTCTTCCCACCACCACCACGGCCTAGTCCGGTTTGGATATTAAATTAACTGTGAATGTCAACGGCCAATTACAATTATGGTCGTGGAAGCCATGGCTAGCGCACGGAAGCCTGTCATGCATGCGACTAACGTTACATACATACACCCAGCGTGACCACCATAAAATGGTATTCTGTCCTGCACCTAGTACATTTCGTTTAATTCTTGAAAAGTATAGTAGGAGATATCTGCATATGAAGATTCTTCTCGGAAATTATCAAGTCCGATATGGGAAGCGTATTATGTCAGAGCTTGATTCCCTGTCCAGGATACCGAGCCAAGCTACTCCTCGAATCCCGGGGTTGTCAGTTGATCAGGCTAGTGTAATTTTCCTTGCATGCTCTCCTGTCTTTGAAGCATTCGCAAGAACCAATTTCTATACCAGTATCTTATCTAAGCCATGGGATTTTCCGAACCCAACTAGCGAGCTTCCAGGCAATAGAACCACCCAAGCATGTCCCGTCCCGTTCCCAGAACAAAAATCCCTGCCTGCGAAAAATACCAGTTCAGCTGTTCTGAACAATGGGCCTTCTTCGCTGAATTTACCAGGGGGACAAAATATGATATTCCCCAAGCAGGTATTTGGGAGCTGGTGACGGGACACCCAAGTTACATGGCTGACGTTGCATGCATCAAAAAAAGCAGTTTCACCACTGGAATGAGCATTGGATATTTCCTTTTCTGCGTTGCATATGTTGCACAGGCAGGAAAGCCTTCGGGGATGCCAAGGTTCTGGGCAATGCCACGGCTCGTGCTTCGCGAACCGATTCCAGAAGCCTTGTTGATGATCGTGAGCTTATTGTGCCCAGGTTCCGGGACTCGGCATTTCTTGGGCCCTTCATAGCCCTGATTATGGGTCTTACCTAGTTCTAGTCTTAGATGTTAACATGTTTCGGAGCGGTACTTGCCCCTTGAGGGGAGCATGTCAACATAACCAGGGGCTACGTACCATCTGGCAGTTTGTGCCTACAATCCTCATGCGCGCTCCAGGTTTCTGAGACGGTTGGGTTGATACTTAAACCCAGCACGATGTTCACTTGAAAGTATCTATAGATAGAACCAAAGAGTGGCACTTGTCGATTTTAGTCAAAGAGAGAAGTAGCGTCCCTTGGTCGACATGTACCTTGCTTCGGCATCTTTACTCTGGGCCGGTGCCGATGTGCTATTGGATTGCAATGTCATGACAATTAGCTAATTGTTCTCGCTAAATGAGGAAGATCTCGGGATTTGAGGCTGAACTACCTGCAATGCACCAAGAAAGAAAGAAAGAAAGCAAAGAGAAACCCGACACGACATCGCGCATCGATGCATTGCTGAATAAGGTGACATCTTGATTTTAATAGCGATCACATGGACTTCGGATCTGGTATGGTGCCTCTTGGGAGCGATCGCGATCGGTTCATCAATTAAAAGTCAATCCGACGGTTCCGGTTTATCGCAGAGAAGCTTTACTTCGGAGATAGGAAGCTCGCAGCTTCAATCGAGACCACATGCTCTGCATGCTATGGAGCTCTGCAGCTCCAAGCGTGAGGTGTCCCGACGCTGGGTACAATGCATGGAGGAAATTACCGTAAGCGTAAATGCAACATACTCAACACCAAACCTTTTCTTCGCAGCAACATTTAGCTCACGAGGTTAATTATGTTAAGGTCGCGTGCGGCGAAGGCCACGGGTCTCGTGGCCTAGATATCACGGCACCTTATAGCTCCGGGACCAAGATTAGTATATGAGTTAAACTTAGAGTCTTGACAAGTAAGTCTTTCAATTGAACAATCTATTGAGAAGTTAATTGACAAAGCTATAACTTTTTCGAAGTTGAGATACTCTACCATTAATGCATTGGCCAATTGGCCTTATATATCTCGTAAACTAGAATCAATCCTACTGCTTGAGATAACATTGGCATGCCTTGTAGCCATGTAGTATTTATTTTCTTTATAATAAAACATTTTAGGGTATCAGTGATGTAATACAATAGATATTAACTCATAAGGTCAGAATCAACCTATATCACAAGATCAGGTTCAAACATCACTATTCAAACGAGCATCCCCAGCATTTTAGAACGAACTTGATACAACAGGCTCGATAATATAGTAACAAACCTGTAAACAACGGTTGAAACAATGAACATAACAGTTGCTGGCCCGGAGACCAGATACTTTCCCAATATATTTTAGATTTCTTTTCCTGTGTGACTATATATCGCTTCCTCTTCTTTTCCACCAACCATATATTTGTCAATTGTATCGATATCTTGGAGGCTACAGACCTCCCAGCCTATCCTTATCGCGACACTACCACCTGGTAAGTTAACACCACCCCTGCCTAATAAACCTTCCTAATTAATTAATTAATTATTTAAATATTTAACCGATCGAAAGGCTACCCGAGCGCGGGAGCGTCTTCAATCCCTGAAGTAACAATGGACAAAATTACCCACTATCCGTACAATGAGCTGGAGCACGATAGCGAAAAGAGGACTACAAGCCAAAGCAAGGTCAATGATACCAAACGCCACGGCAGCTTCATCATTCCTCCAACCAAATTGGCAGAATCCCCATTTCACGATGAAGCACGTGGATCTTTGGGCTGTGGAAGGCTGCAGCATAAGCCCGTGACTTTCTCACCGAAGAAGAAGAGTGTTCAGATGCTAAAATATCGCGTCAGGAACCAACATGGAGAGTTCGAAGATGAAACAGAAGGTGAAGATAAAGAAAATGAAACCGGTGGCCAAGCTGACAGTACTTGGAATGCGAACCAAAGCGATGAAGATCTAGATCTAGAAGATTCCGGGTTTGAGTTTGGTTTCGAGAAGGAACCCGATAGCCTTACAACTAGACTACCTGATAACATCAGAATCGAACATCACAAACCAACCGAGGCTAAAGGTCATGAATCAATATTAATTGAAACAAAAGCTCATGAAACAGTCGTGATCAAAACTCAAAATCATGAATCTAAGACCCAAGATCATGAGATCGAAGCCGAGGGTCACATCAGCCCGATCGAATCTGAAGATGATGAAACGATCAAAGCTAAAGCAGAATATGAAGCTTCTGACACAGATAGCTTTCAACGAGCTGCCTCCGTCACTTCTTCATGCATCGACTCTCTCGAGAATGCTTCGATCGTTTCAGCGAAGGAAGTCATGATCACATCTCACACCGCTAAAGAAGTCTCATTGGAAGAACGCTCACTCATCCAACCTTACGATGATGACATGACTGCACCATTGATACCTAAGTCAAAGCAGTTCGAGACTACCGTCTACGGAAGGGAAGGGACTCACCGTGTCTTCCAATTTTTTAGACGACAATCCCAACCCGCAACCGAACTGGGCTTGAACAAGGAAAATAATCCAAAGAACGAAAATGATGCAGCTATTCGGGTTCCAAGAGTCGGACGTCGTCGCCCTCGCCCTCCACCCCCCGGAGTCGAGAGATTGGATTACGATACATACCCTGGCTTGGTCTCGCGCCCTGAAGGAAAGAAAGATCAAGGGTCTCATACCCCGGTTTCGCCTCCAGAATTCAAAAAAGACGCAGTCCAGACTCTGTTGTCCCCCCCGAAGGCCGCGAAAGAACAGGCAACTGCCTTGGAGCCAAGCACCTCTGCTTCAACTCTCAATAGGACCAAAGTCACCATCCTACCATCTCCATCTTTCTATCCACCTTCTCCAGATGGGCCAGCCCCACCTCCCCCACCAAAGGACACCAATAAAACCTATCAAGGACGTCAAACTCCAGGTCAACGCAGCGAAACTCCAAACCGTCGCCCGACACCATCTCCAACTCCTTCCAAAAAGTACAAGGAACTCAACCTCAGGCCACCAATTCCCATCGTGCCTCTTCAACAGACCATGCACCTATATGCTAGCACCGGACACCTTCCTCTCCCCAAACACAACCACAACAGTGTTAACAGCAACACACTCGAAGCAAAGGAGAAGGACAGCCTCGCTGGCCTCCCTAACTTCAGTCGTCGAAGGACACTCTTTGGAAACCGCCTTGCCGTTCCAAACCCCAATGAGAACCATCTTCGTCGAGCTACTTACAACTCACCTTCTACCCACTCGGTTCGTTTGCCAATACCTCAGAGCCTCGGGATGCAACTTCCCCAAAGGCCTGGTACGTCTTGTGGCACTAATCGACCGGATAGCAGCGCCACTGCTCAAAACTCCAAGAGGGAGAGGTTTAAAAACTTCTTTAGGAAGCTTTGATGTGTCTTATTTCTTCTTCTTTTTCTTCGGTTTCTTCTCTGTCGGATTCTTATTCTGAAACCAATGAGCCTAGGGTTAGTGTTGGTTTGAATACTTACATTTGACAGAGAGGATACGTCGATACATACGGGTTTTTTGTTACAAATATTTGGCTTTCCTTTTTATGAGATCATGAACGAATTCATGAATTCACGACTAACGAACCTATAACATTACTACTAATGCTTAATCCAAACCCAAATAATCGAATGAATGAATGAACGAATCATGAATGACATCTTTCTCAATCCTCAAATTTTCCACTTACCGCTGTCCAACCCAACGGTTAACTGTTCTTATAAAATATCAACAAAGTCGAGTTTTAAAACGATGTTTGACACCGCCAAGTCATTCCCAAAACACCCACAAGCCACTGCGGGTCCACTCGTAGATATCTACCTTAACGTTATTCCCAAGACCATTCGGGCCTCTTAAAGCCTGCACCTTACTGAATCCATTTCCTTTAATATACTATAATCGGGAAATCAGGATGATTCATTCCCCGCATCTTTTGTATACACAATACTCCCAAATATCCCCAGAACTTCACAGTATTTGCCATATAGCATAAAGCATCTATACCAGAACTCGTTTTTAAGCGCCAAAATCCTAAAAACCAAACCGAGTTTCTTAACCATGAACTAGCATGGCCTGTTGGACCAATGCCCGGCGCTCCTACATGCATATTATGCACCTGCAATACCCCACTGACCTTCCCGTCCCCAGAATCCATGGCCGAAACCCTAAAAAGCGACTTAGTAACTAGTTAAAAACTATGTGATTACCAATCCACCTCGGTATTTTTTGACTTCGTGATAAACATTATAGCTGTTTGATATTATTAGGATTCAATTCAATTGCATTGACCGAGTGAACTCTTGTACTACCACCCTTTATCGAAATACTCTCGTATTGATTTATTCTTATATACCCCGCACAATAAGCTTAAGAAAGAAAAGACATAAGGGAAGACGTCATAGTATCCGTATCAGTGCATACGAAACCCTGTAGATACTTCCGTCGCATTGATACAAGCTCTCGGACTTGACCGCCGATTTGGATTGCCGTGCAAGGGACTTGGTTCTGGCTTTCGAGGCAAGATGCAGAGTAGGATTCGACAGTTACAGGTATGATATTCACCAGTAAACCTGCCCGTTGAAGTCTATTACCTCCCTCGGGTAGAGAGAAGAGACGGTTATATAAGAAGAGGGTCGTTTTCCAGCTTTTTTCTCTCTCGAAAACGAGCGTATCTATCGCTGCATTGCATTGGGATTCGATTTTATAAATATCCTCGGTAAACTATCTACAACATCACTACAACAACACACTTGTCGCAGTTCGGATTTTTTTTATTTAAATTCAATTCTTTTTGCGAAGATATCATAAAGCCGTAAAAGACTGCACGAGACCAACCTGACACGGACTTTCGATAATATCGAATAGAATCAATTGAAGCCAGACACAATGGCGACGACACAGTATACCTTTTTTGATATCCCAACGAATACAAATCCCCCAAGGAGCTGGTATGTGATTGTTATATATACCCCGAAGTCGAAAGCCATTGTATTACGTCCAACATGTAGAAGTTCGTATATTAATATAATATGGGTTTATATAATATAGGTCACCAAATGTCTGGAATGCCCGTGGTGTTCTGAACTATAAGAAAGTGCCATATGAGACCGAATGGGTCGAGTACCCTGATATTCGAGTCCGTCTTGGGGCAATGGGGTACGTAAAAATTACACCAACTTCTACTATCACCGATAATTCAATTGACATATCATTGATACTGATATATATGGGTATATCTAGAATACCTTCAAAAGGCGGATTGATGCCATTCACCCTCCCGATGATGCGTGTAACCACAACTCCAGCAGATGGTTCGGAGCCTCAAGTTACCTACCTCACCGACAGCTTCGACATCGCCAAATACCTCAATGATAACCATCCAACTCCACCAATTGACTTTGATAGTACCATTACTGACGAAGCTGTCAAGATGTTTAACGCAAATCTAATGGACTCATTCGTTGGATTGGTACTCTGTGATGTACCTTTAGTTCTCCCTGAAAGGAGTGCAGCGTACTTTAAGGAGACGCGACCAAAGTGGATGATGATGCCGGTTGAAGATTTCAAACAGAAGAAGATCAATGAAGGGGCATGGGAGAAGATGGAGAATGGAATGAAGGTCTGGGCTGAATATATTGGGAAGAATGGTGGACCGTTTATACAAGGGGACAAGGTTAGCTATGCGGATTTTAAGATGCTGGGGTATCTCCTGTGGGCGAGAGAAGCAGGGTCAGGGGATGTTTGGGAGAAAGTTGAGGGATGGGGTGGGGAGGTTTTGAAGAAGTTTGTGCGGGCCTTCGAGGAAAATGGGGTTTTGGAGAGGATTACCTACTAGATATTGTCGACAATTGTCTACCTAAGAAAGGACACACAGGATATATATCCGTTGTGTGTAACTAAGTGCTTTGACGAGTAGTTGCCTAAGGACTTGGACCAAAGACTAGACTGAAAAGATATAATCAGATCGAACTTTTTGAATCAATTGACATCAGCATGGCCTGATATGTGCATGTACATGTACATGTGCTCATCTAGACTTAAGCTTATTATATGGGTCGGCTGTACCGGGTTATCTCCGATCACCCGATTGTAGCCACCGGAGAACCAGCCTTGGCAGTATCGGGCGATCGGCGACAGGCCAGTATTCGGACGCCGCAGGAAAATTTTCGGGCAAAAAAGGGAAGCAATGATCTGGATCTGATAAGCTAAGATAATGGAACAGCCGTCTAGAATCTTCACTGTGACTATAACCTCGGACTCTTTTCTTGCTTTCTGTCTTTGCTAACACACGATCTTGATTAATCTCTGCTTCTCTTTTTCTTCTATTTCCTGCTCTCCGGTGTTTTGATATTTTTATTCTAAATTTTATGCAAGTAGCAAGTCGCGCGTAGTTATTTAGTCTAATCGTCGATATCCTGTGGATTGTGTACTGCACAGCTGCAGGTCATCTGCATTGATTTGCGTCGTTCGATTTGATTCGATTCGATTAAAAAATTCAATTTCAAGAATCACTGGAAATGAGTGGCGTCGCAGGCAATCCCAGACTTCAGCATCCATCATCGTCGTCGTCGTCGTCACCGTCGCCATATTCTACAGACCAGTTTAATTTACATCACGACCATCCTCATCCTCATCCTCATCATCCTCACCCAGATGATAGCAGTTACCATCATTTCCAACCGGATCATGATCACAATAGAACACAGAACCCCCATACCCACCACTCTGATATGCCTGGCCGAAGATCAGGGACCATTGAAGTCCCTGCGACTCAGCGAATGCTAGCTGCTTGCAGTGGCAGTCTTCTAACCTCTCTTATAGGTATATATACATTCCTCTTCTACTCCTTCTTCTGCTTCTTCGCCTTCAACATGTTCTGCGTTGTAGTTATTACAAATACTGACAGTCGTCGCCTTCCCCCATAGTTACGCCCCTTGACGTCGTCAGAGTCCGTCTCCAGGCTCAATCACATACCCCACCACCGGCTGCCGCAGCCAATACATCCACCACATCCGCTGTCCTCCGTTCCCACCGTCTACCATCCCAACCATTCTCTCTCCCAACAGCAGCACATATCTCCCGTCCCATCTCCGACTTAGGCGTAACCTCCTGCTGCCGTGAGGTCTTCTGGGTTTCTTCTACAAACGAGCTGTGCCTCGCATATCCTACAATCGGGAATACCGTTCCCGGGTCTTCGTCTCTTACAAAACCGTCTGTAGACGCTGCGTCATGCCTTATCGAAACAACCTCTTCCCATAGGTTTACGGGAACTTGGGAAGGTCTTGTGAAAATCGGGAGAAATGAAGGTCTACAAAGTTTATATCGTGGTCTATCACCCACATTACTCATGTCGATTCCCGCCAATGTGATCTATTTCACGGGCTATGAATCGCTACGGTACTCAAATAAATCGCCACTATCGAAATTATCGGATAACATGGCACCTTTAATAGCTGGAAGTCTGGCAAGAACAATAGCGGCGACTGTAATCGCTCCGATGGAACTGTTCAAGACAAGACTGCAGGCTGCGGCACATCCTAAGCCTGGAAGCCAAGCAGCAGCGGGAAACAGTGTTTCGGCATTTCGGAGCACAATCGATAGTGTTAGGAGTATGGTTGCGCAACAAGGTGTGACGTCATTATGGCGAGGACTGATGCTAACATTGTGGAGGGATGTTCCATTCTCCGGTATATATTGGTGGGGGTATGAGACTGTCCGTGCGTTCCTGGCAGAGGAGAGGTACGGACGAGCTCACCATCTCGGGCCGATCGAAAGACATCGAAACATAGATAATGAAACGTTGGCTAAGGAGGAGGATAAGGCCACTTTCATTGATTCGTTTGTTTCGGGAGCTACTAGCGGTGCTATAGCTGCATTTGTGACGACGCCGTTTGATGTTGGCAAAACTAGAAGACAGGTGTGGAGGGCTTCTGGTGACGCTGCTACTGCTGGGGGGTCTACAACGGCAGCAGCAGCGATGAGTAGCGAGGGGAGTATGCCGAAGGTTTTGGCTGAGATATATGGTCATGAGGGAGTTAGAGGTTTGTTTAGAGGATGCATCCCTAGGATGTTGAAGGTTGCACCGGCATGTGCAATCATGATTTCGAGTTACGAGATTGGAAAGAAAGCTGCGATGAGGATAAAGGAGCAGGAAGAGAACTAGAGGTTTGGACTCTTTTGGGGACAGTTTGATACAATCAATGAGGATTTTGATATTGAATACTTGACGACGACTACTACACTCCACCCTTTGACATCAAAAATTACTGCTGAAGGGAGAGGTGCTTTTACTGGGCCGGGAACACTCTTTTTAGGCCTTTTCCATTCTTCATAGGGATTCTTATTTCCCTTTTTTTTTTCCTTAGCTACAATTACTAATGACTACTGCATAAGATACTTTCTTCTACTCGAAGAAGTATCTGCTTTATAGAGGAGCACTCTTTCTAGCTCCCGGGCTTGGGGGGGTCGGGCGGAGTTTTTCTTTCCATTTCAGCATGCACCGCATTGCATTGCCTTTCTCCTCGCTTTTACTATAACTCTGTACATTTTGTACATATATACTCTGTGCGCTTATTTACTACAGGACTGTACTTTTAGCCTCTATAAAAATACCAAAAAGCTGACTACTTTCCACATCTTCTTCTTCTTCTTCTTCTTCTTCCTTTTCTAATTGTCATATTTATTCCCTGCGTCCTAGCAATATTACACGTAAAGTAAAACGTGGGAAGTCGCGTGCATGGAGAACGGGCGGGAAATGGGTGTTGCCCCTCACCGTTTTAGCCTTTTCCCCACAGCAGAGGAAGAAAGCCGCCCACCCCGGCCAAAACCCAGGTTAACGTCACTCCAACTAATCCCGAGCACCCTCTCTCCCTCTCCCATTCGCACAGCCCTCGACATATCTAACATCCTCCTCCTGCTACTCCTCCTCCTCCCTCCGTCGCTAATAACAGTATACCAGAGAGAGAGAGTAAAATAATACTATCCTTCCGAGTCGTCTCCGTTTAACCCGAAAGAAAAAGAGAAGAAAAAAAACAACCCGAAAAGTTTGTCACGCCAGGAACCAACAAGATATAAGAAAGAGAGAAAAAAACATTAATAATAAAAAAGTAATAATAATGTTATCCCGTACCGCCGCGCTCCGTCCGATCGTTTCGCACCACACATCTATCGCATCGCGAAGATGGCTTTCGGCCTCATCGAGACTTAACCAGGCGGTTGGTACACCGCCTGCGGCTACTGTGACAGTTAAGAAGAGTAGTGGGGGGTTTAGAGGGGGGTATGTGATTTCTCTCTTCCTCTCTCTCTCTCTCGTTTAGTTTCCGAGGTTTATGTTAGGAGATTGATGTTCAATTGGTTTGTGGTTATAGGATTATTGGGTTTTTGATCGGAAGCAGTCTTGGTGAGTGTCTTACCTGACTACCTACTCTATGGGCTTGATTGAAGTTTGCTAATAGTGATTACTCGGGGTGGTATAGCGTTCGCGACTAGCTTTACGTACCTTCGGAATGAGTGGAAGGTTAGAGATGATATCTTGATGGAAGATTTCGCTGTATGTCATTTTTTTTTATATCCCATTGTGATAGAATGTTGGAGAATGAGCATGGCTAATATGATTGATAGAGTCTACGAGCTACATGCCAACGCGTCGAGGCTAGGTTCCGATTACTCGAGGATCAAATTGCAAAGATTGCGAAGAAATAAGTTATATTCGGAGTACCGTGGAAAGAACAAAAGGGTCGGGACAATCAAAGGGGGCAGATTGTATGTATGTATAGTCTAAAGAGGGGGGAGAGGGAGAGAAGTGGGTATACGTAGGTTTTACTGGTGACATACGGAGAGTGTACTAGGGCACCGAGAAACAACCTTTTTTGTACAGATTTTTGTTTCCCGTTCATTACTTTTTTCTCTTTCTTTCTTTCTTTCTTTCTTTCTTTTTTTAATTCAATCGACGGCAAGCAATACCCTCCATTAATTCAGAAAATTGCATACATTCAAAAGGCATTTTTTTATCTTGGGGATCAATTGGTTTTTGTCGACATGTCGGGTTTTGCTTGGAACTTTTGGTTTTTTATATCAGATGTCCACGAAGGCAATGATTTTCTCTACTCTTGACTACGCAAAAGGAAAAAAAAAACCAAACTTGTGGGTACTAAAAAGTATATTCGGCATATTCGAGTATATAGGTACAACTTCTGGAAGGAGTAACATTTCTTGACCCCGTTATTGCCTCGTGAAATTCTTATATTGTTCCGTGGCATTCTTAGTGGAGAGGAATTTGGTCACATATACTTTTTTCCCCCGTTGGTAGCATTACTCGAAGCCATTCCATGCAAGGAAGCTTGAAAGGTACGCATACCAATACCTTTGTAAGTAAATGGAAGAAAGGGAAAGGAAATGAAAAAAAAGAAAACCTCCCAAAACGCCAATGTCGAATTAATCGAGTGATCATGCTCCTCCCGGTCGACATCCCAGGTAACTATCGTACAGTAAAACATCATACAAACTATGGATACACCATATATACAATCATCACCACCACCACCACCACCACTACAGCTTCATATATACCCAAAGGTATATAGTATGCCAAAGCCCGTAGTCAGTCTCAGCGATAAGCCGTAGTTTCCCTAAGCCTGAGAGCTTTTTTGTTTTGTTTTTTATTTTAAAAACTAACAAACTCCACCATCGGTTCTCCATCCTTCACCCCTTCAACCTCCTTATCCTCTCTAATCTGCACACCCGTATGACCAACCCTCGTCCCCAAAGTAGCCAATATCCCTCTTTTCAACCCAAGCCTCTTTTCAATCTCATCATCCCTCATTTTTCGTTGATTATCCCCTCCGTTGAGGTTTATACCTTCACGCATCATGACCACATCTCGTATCCTGAAGATATCGAGGTAGTTTTGTGGGGTTTCGGATATTGATTCGGATTGGGATTCACGGGATTGGAGGATTAATAAAGTAGGGGAGAGATTTGGTTGTGAATATGGGGATTGGGACTGTCGAGGTTTTGTCGGAGGCGGTGGGAAGATTGGAGGTGGATTGTGAGAAGGGGTTGGAGGGGTGGGGGCGTTGTGGTGGGAGACTGTGCCGAGGGTGCGGAGCATGGACGAGAAGTGTGGGTCTTGGGAGTCCTTTAGGATTTCTGGGGTTCGTTATAGATAGACGTTAGTTTTCTTATGACATTGGATCACGATGTGATTCTAAAGAGGGAGGGAGGGAGAAGTACGAACCATCAGACTTTGTGAACGACGGGAGTGTAGACGGGTGTACGGATGCAGCCGGTGGTGATGATGGTGAAGAGGACGGTGTATTCTGCCGTTGTAATCGTTTCGCGACATTTTGAACGGGAAGTCGTCGGGCCGACTGTGATGTCTTTGAAGCTGCGGAACCCATTTGCGTGTCGATAGTATTGAGTTGATGCCGAAAGGGCGTTTGAATGAAGTGGTGTAAAGGGTATTTCCGCGTATATGATCCGGGCTACATTTGATCAGATGGATGATGTATAAACGGGTTTATCTCGAAGGGTGCGACATTGAGCTAGATGTGTCTTTCTTCTAGCTCGCGAGAGCTGTTCCGGAGTGTTTTTGAAGGTTGAAATGTTAGAATGGTTTCGTCAGTGACGTCGGAATCGAATTGAATCGCATGACATTTCAATGTGTTCGGATTGGTTACACAGGTTCCTCGGCCCAACACGGGAAATGCAACAAGACGTTTCTACCCGATGAGAGTCTTTTTAGGATTAAACTGGAATAGCATTACTGAGTAGCTAGTAGCTAGCTGTGGTTATCCACAAAATTAGACATTTTAATATTTTTAATGGGTATATAATAATGATAGGTATCTCGCGCCCTGCGTAAGAACTATTATGAACGCTATTATAAACGAATCGATGTAAGCATGAAATGGAGGACTTGAGGAATTAAATGGGCCCCGGGTGTCCCAGGGGATATCAGTTGAAAAGCCGGATGAAACCAAAGAAATTCGGAAACGAACCAGAAGAATATTAAACCCAGAAATAAATCGTGATGAAGGAAAACGGCGCCGATTGAAAGCACTGCCAAACAAAAAGATAAGGGAAAAAAACTCCAGCCAGAGATATATATATATCAGAACTCAAAGGTTAACCAAAATCCAAAGTACTGCCATTAATCAAAATCCCAAACTTCCTCATCTCCTCTATACCTCGCCTTCCACCTCCTCAGCTGTTCCTCTGTAAATCCATGCTGGGTTTTCATATGAGTTCGCATATTATCATTGCGTGTACCACGAGTAGCCGAAACAATCTGGCTACGCTTCGCAGTGCATCCTCGATAGCCGCATATTAGTTTTGTTCGAACAGTTTCCGGACTATGAAATCGAGCAATATGTCTGTCAAGGCCTTGTTTTCGAGCGAATTCGTGAGAGCAGCCCGGTTCGGAGCATCTGAAATTTGTTGACCGAGTATCTCCAATACGCGGTCGGCGCATTCCAGGCTGGGGGTTGGAAGTCATAGTGGAACCTGACGCAAGGTCAATAAACTCTTGGAATAACTCTCCATCTGATGGCTCTAGAGACGGTGTTTCTAGGGGCTCATGAACAGTAAGGTCCATGATTCTAGAGACAGCAGTCACGACTTGGTTGTATAGCCAGAGGTATCCATTCGCTTGCAAGGTAGACAAAGAAGTCTTGAGATATTTGCAAGGGGCGCTGTCTCCTTCCAAGTTGTATGGGTTGCCACAATACATACAACCGTTAGCATTGTTGTCTGCCAGTATCAGATCCAGCAGATCGAGGCTCTCGGTCCAGAAGAGCAGCCCATCAATGGCACAGCTCCAGTATAAATAAGCAAATTGTTGGTGGCAAAGTTCTATGTATTCTAAATTAATTATCCACAAGTTTATCGCACTAATTATAACGCTGGGAAGACGGAAATCAAAACTTACGACTCAAAGTTTTAAGAAATTCTTGATACACCATTGTTCCTACTACCCGTTGGAGTTTTGTTAAGTCGTTATCAATTTCTAGTACTTTTGTACTGGCCACCATATCGAGCGATTTGGGTACATCGCCAGGTTTTTTGGGAGTCGCCGAAGTCTTCGGAAATGTCATATAAATGCCGTTAGGTCGATGGTTATGTCGTGTGGTCTGTGCCTCGGCACGTGTTTGGGCGATTCTCTGATCAAAGAAACTAGATGTCTCTTTACTCAAGCGTGGAATCACCCATTTAAGCCCTTCTTCAAATTCCTTCCACATAATGCCAATGATTTCGTCAAATAGATCCTGAGGGCTCAGAATTTCATCGGGGCTCTCGGGCTGCGAAGGGAGGCAGCCGCGGAAAACGTAAAGGTCTTGCCTAAAGGCTTTCGATGGTAGATCGGGGTCTTTAGCCCTCTTCTCGACTTGGGACATGGCGTAGGCGACGTGGAGAAGGCAATAGATGTCTTTCAAGCGGGAGGGTACTTTGTTATTGAAAATGGATTGTAGAGAATCTAGTCCGGCTTGTATGATGTCCTTAAGGTCACCTAGACTATCGACAAATGCACGAAGTTGAGGAGATGCAGTAGGGTCCTTCGATGCATGCCGAAGCTTTCTTAGAGCTCTGAGAGCTCCCGTGAGGAACTTTCGGTTGAAGTCAGGACTTGCTCCCTTAGCATCAGTTGGTCCTTGTGGGAACCCGTTTGTTACTGGCGAGAACGTAGTAATATCAGGATTTAAGTCTTGCTTCCAGGTAGAATTGTGCTCATGGACCCAATCTGCTGAGCTGGTAGCGATGGGCACCGATACCTAAACTAAATTAGAATGAATTCATACATCGAAGTCGAGGGGTCCAGATTCATGATCCAGGATCATATACTTACGTTAGGAGAATTCTCGAGTACAGGATACACAGGCTCCGGTTGTAGCAACTCTTCTTCCTCATCCGTATACATACTAGTATACATTTCGACCTGCTCTTCTTTCTCAAGCTCTAATTCAGACCGCATCAAACCTCTCGCTCTTTGATATTCAGGCCAAGCCAGGGATTTCAAAGACACGTAAACAGCAATATCAATAGTATCGACATCAATATTGTCTCTCCACCCATAGGCCTCCATCTCCCGAGCCAAATACATCAGCCGGTCATTTTCCCACTTCTCAGCTATCTCGTCTCCGGTTATGCCCCTGTATTGATCATCATAATACTCGGAACCGTAGTATTCAAAACCATCTAAATTAAAATCTGTACCGATTTCTCCTACATAATCGACACCATCAAGGTCCATATCAATATCTAGATATCCCTGAACAGTGTTATCTCCCGAATTGCATCCATACTCCTTTCCAGAGTTTTCAGGAGAAGCCTTGACGGTATTGCATATTTCTTGGGCATCGAATCCGGCCGTTTCGCTCTTATGGTTTATGTGAGCACCTGTGCTCTTTGCTGACATTATGGTTAGAGTTCTGGCTAGCTACTATAGCTGCTACTATAGCTTTAATAAGAGGCTAGCTGCATGCATAGTAGGTCGAAGGGATATCGGATCTTATAAAGGTGATATATTCGAAAGGAAAATTAAAGGTTTATTCTATATTAATATTCGAGTAATCCATAAATTTAAAGGAAGAGGTAATAGCTAGTGTAATAAGAAGGCTTCGATGAGCCCATTGAACGGCTGGGTATATGTAGGTTGGACAGTTAGCTGGGGAAGAGAAAATAGCTAGCTATTTCTCAAAGCTAAGTTCCAACCGGCGGAGTGTTGACTACTACAAATCCAACTCGAGATTGATGAGATGTTAATAAATGAAGTTTGTTGCAAGATGAACACCCGCGGCCGGCGCACTCCTTTATAATATACAACCGTATTTAGTTTAAAATCAATAGAAGACCATTCCACTTATTCTAACTACCTAGGTAGTAGACAGTCTTTTTTTTTTGGCGGTCTAGTACTTAGGTCTCCTATAGAGCGTAGTATAGTACATCAGTACATGTACTGTACAGCTGCATACAGGCGGCCAACAAATCTGAATGGCCAGCCTCAAGGATTTGTGATTTGCTTCTGCTGATACCATGATGCGTTACTTTACCTCTCGCTGACTCCAGTACGCGCGGCTATGGCCACAGTCTCTAGGAAGCGAACCCCAGATTACACAGTCTCCCTCAGAGGGAACCATGAAACAAGCTTAGTTAACTCAAAAGTGGATGTACTAGCTTTAGGATTCTCATCTACGCGCCGCGGACGCCGGTCAGGATTATCGATTATAATTACGCAGATTAACTTTGCGCCGCAGCTCTCAGGGAGAACAGTACCTGGTACCTGATATTATGACACCCATGATACAATTAGGGTATCATCTTGATACCATGTATCATTCGGCTACCGGTTCTCAAAAATGGATGTTGAAACCCCAAGTTCGAGTTCGGCTTAAAGACTATATTTATGTGCACATGTGCTTTGTTTGTGCGATCGCATTCCTTGCGTCTCGTCTCGAGGCTACCTTGCGTTCGCGTTCAGATTAGGCTGGGGTCGCTGAGCTGACTCATTCTTTGCATCCTGCAGGCGCAGGCCTGGCCTGAGGCAGAGGTGTTCCCACAGCCTAGACTATTCCCACAGTAGTCTGGGGGTCGCTTCCTGTTCCCACAGACTGGTATAATTTGCTTCTTCCAGACTAGGTATACGTATAATTTATACAGTGTGCATTGCCTATGAGGCTTAGCTTAACTTCCGCGAATTAATTTGCATGTGTGATATATCCTAATCGTTTGAACCTAGGTTAACCCGTCCCTTGAATTGACGACAATAGAAAATATCCTCCGATATCCGTTACTGTCATAGGACCTGGTCCCATATCGATCCTAATTTCTCGACAGGCGGATTACTTCCCTTTGTTGTATTATTTGCGCTGAGTTTCTCAGCCCTGTTGCATGTTGGAAGGCCGTTGTTGCGTAATCCGGGACCGCGCCGTCCCGTACCAATGAATCAAGCATTGCATTGATATACACAGCTAGCAGAGGATTGTATACACTTATCCTTGCATTAATTCCGGACTGGGAGCATTCGAGCTCGGGCATGCACATCCAGTATACAGATCATTTGTTTGCATGAGGCACCGTAGGAATCGATATGGATAAGTGTAACTGTGTATTCGAGCGACTGCCTCGAACAAACAATAGCAATGTTATGGTGCTTTCAAGCGAGACCAGTAATTTCCCTATTACTTAATATTATAATTAAACGATAGATATATTAATATTGGAACGTTCCATCTCGATGCAGGTTGCAAAAGCAAGAAACTAAAACCAAATGATAACATGCTCCAGGCACGGTTCGCAAGTCTGCATCCATATCGATCAAACAAATAATGCAGAACATATACCATGCAAAAGATCTTAAGAAGCTGCGCAAATAACAAAACCAACGTTAACCGTAAGCCATATAAAGCGAATATCAACATGGCGTGCGTGCAGAACCATCGTAAGCAAAACGATATAAAATTAAGAATAGTAAAATTTTAAAAAGGGATTAGCTTTCAACTTTCCAAAACCGTTGCCGTAAAACTACTGCCTAACATTAATAGTCAACCCAAAGGTCCCGTTAACCAACTCCTCCGGAGTAAAATGGTTATTCTCTCTTTTGTGAGTCCTCATGTTGTCCAAGGTTTTCTCCATCCCTCCTTTGTGACCCCGCTTGGCAGTACACCCGTTGAATCCACAGATAATGTAAGCTTGGGGTTTGGGATTATGGAACCCTTTCATATGTTGATCGAGCGATTGTTTGTTGACCCATGGACCACGGGTACAGTTTGGAACCGAACATACAAAGTCCCCTGTTTTCGCTGGTCTTGATTTCACGGGTGTTATATCTTTTAAGACCAGGTTTGTTGGAGGAGTAAGTAACCAGGGGACAGCTAGACCGGTATTGCTTTTTGTCTTTTTCAATTCCTCCGTGACTTGGTCGTAGAGTCCTTTGAGAGCAATTACCTGGGATTGGGTTACCCTCTGTATCGCCTTGTCGCAGGTTGGACAACCTGAACCCCAAGAATGTGGGTCGCCGCAGAAGACACAGTCACTCGCATCTTCCGTGGCGGGAAAGCGAAGTTCGTACTCGATTGTTTTGTGCATATCGGACGAAACGGTATTCAAGTACAAGTAAAAGAATCTTGCGAACCCAAGTTCTATAATTTGTAATGTCAGTTAGTTATTGTTGAAGGTTTGAAGGCATTATGTGTTAGAGATGACTTACTCGTTACTGTATTCAATATATCTTGAAATATCGTACTGTTGATAATTTGATCGATGGTAATCGAGAAGGGTTTGTTAAATGCTCCAGGAGGTGCTATAAGTAATCTCAGTTCCTTGGGTGAGACTCCTTGAAGGTGTTTCTCTATTACTAGAGCTGCTTTTCGAGGAACGTTTGGCCGAGTCTTCTGAACTCCACCTGAGGGTCCCTTATTATTATTAATAGGAGATCTCTTTGCAACCGGCACATCAACTTTAATACTATCCCGTAGTTGTCGACTAAGATCTTTGCCCAAAAATGAACCAGTCCATTCCACAGCTCTTTGGACTTCCTTCCACATTACCTTGACAATCTCATCAAAGAGATCTTGCTGGGTGGGCTGATCCGGCACTTCGCTGGTAGATGGCAAGCATTTTCGGAAAAGCTCAAGATCATTACGAAATGCTAACGGGAGTAAGTCATCATCCTTTGCGTTCTTCTCCGCTCGCGACATCGCGTAAGCAACATGAAGGAAGCAGTAGACTTGAGTGATGTCAGTCGGGATATTGCCGTCTAGAATATTCTTCAATGCACTTAAGCCAACCCCAATTATGTTGTCGAGTCCCCCGAGTGAGTCGACGAAGGCACGCATTTGAGGAGACGCAGTTTCATGCTTCGAGGCAATACGAAGTTTCTTGAGCATTTGCCATGCTCCAACTAAGAAACGTCGATTCAAAAGAGGGTCTTCACGTCGTAGATCCTCTCCGATATCTTTTGGAAGTTTCGCTACAGTAGTCGAGGAAGATAAAGGGAGAGTATTTATTATAGAATCGGGCGTACTGTCCTGTAGAAATTCAGGCCCTAATAGAGGAGGTCCGAGCAGTCGCCCAGAAGAAATCTATGATAGAATCTGTAAGCATTTTTTCATTGGGAAGAAACAAGAGAAACCTTTATATATACTAACCTGGTCGATATCTGGTGTATCCTGCCAGAAATCTAGGTATCCATAGTTTGACAGCATTTCACCCCGGCTGCTACTCGCTAGTTCATGAATTTCTCCTCCATCTTGAGCACCGTCGATCCCAAAGGTAGAGGAGCCATAGAGTTCGTGTGGCCCCTGCGGCTGGTGCCCCCCATATATTGCTTCAGATATAGGAACTTGGGGATAAGGTGACGTGGGCAACTGAGATCGATTTGCTAACTGTTGATAATACCAATCCGAATATTTCTGACCTAATAGCGTTTGTGTAGGTATAGAGCTTTGGAGCATGTCGATTTCCGATTCATCAACCTCGATATTTCGGGCCTCCAAGCCAAGGCTCCCAGCCCCAAAGGAAGCGGCGGGACTGAGTGTTTTCATACTAGAGAGTCGGGGAATGCTGCCGTCGACATCAGAGCTAGAGACGGGGTTGGAGCCGTCTTGGCTAATACTATCCACCTGGCCTTGATCGTCAAAACCCTGGACAACATCTGGCCGATTCCCGGCTCCGGCCGAAGATATCTCAGGAGATGGGGGCTTTCCATTATTTCCTTTAATCTTGTTGCCAGCTTCTTTCATGAAATCCCCTACATGGACTCTAGCGTTTCCAAGGACGGTACTGCCGATATCGCGAACCTTGTTAAACGGTTTGTTAACGTGAAACTTCATTCTGGCTGTGCGCTAAAGGGGAATCCTGGCTTCATGAAGCCGGCACCCCTCCTCCACTCTATTCAATCTATGTCTCGAGAAATTTTGAAAAGTTAGAATAGATAGTTACTCTCGGTTACCAATCTACAATTCTACATAACCTCAAAAAAGAAGAGAACATACCACTATAGGAAAAATTTGATTTAATTTTTTAACGTCTCAAGCTGCCAATGAAAAAAAAACTCTTGTACAATTGTCTGCTGGTGGGGCTCATGGCTAGGGCTACTCTCTATATAGCTATTTTAAGAGAAAGTAAAGAGCCATAAAACATGTTGGCACGGTGCAAGGCGCGAATGTTTTTTCTTCTTCTCTCGACCAAGTTCCGTCGAGGAGACATCGATGTACATCCATGGGCGCGTGACACAAACCCTTCGAAAATGGCACGGTATTAAAATTACACCTGAAGTACCCATCTACAGCTAGATGAGTACCTAGGTACTTCATTCCTAGTAAATTGTCGACTATAATATACTCAAACTCCAGTCTCGCATATGCGCATCCCAGACCCTCCACTCGCGCGAAGTGCCCTTCATCCCACGAATTCAGGGGGTGATCAGATAAACACCACCAATGCGAATTCCCGCGAACTGAGTCCTAGCCATATCCAAACAGAGCTCATCTTGTTCATGACCAGGTTTTTCCCTTTCCTTCCTCTGAATTTACAATCTTGAAACTCACTACGTAACCCTTAGGCAAACAACGCACTTTTCATGTTGTATTTTTAGCTATCGGTGAGACTAGTCTCTGAAGCTAACTACTGGGACCCCTCATATGCATGCATGGGATATAATATTGACGATAGTTGCATTGGGGTTATCAAAGACCGGTACTAGGTTAAGTGTACCTGATACCTTGACGGCCAGCTCCTATCCTTGAATGCGCCCTTATTATCCTATTGATACCCTCATGAACCGAAGTTACCCCTGCATGCTCTGAGTAACTATTGACATCTAGGAAGCTAGCTAGCTGCTGAAATTTAAATCCTAGCTGTTAGATATAGCGTTAACCGAGAATGCTAGCACCAGGGTCAGTCCAGAATCAGGACTAACGAATACCTAACTAAGACCTATCTCAAGCAATCCTAAATGCGATATCACTAGCGTATGTTCCGATCTATAGCATATCACATACATGCATCTACTAGCTATAGCCCGGATGGCCGCAGCAAACTGATAAGTTAATCAAATCCGCGCCCCAATCACATTAATACGCCTTTAGTCTGGGATACGCTTTGCAATGCCCAAACGAAACCAGGATCTCAAAGGCTCAAACGATCCCGCGAGATCCCGTTAACTGAATTAAGTCTTTGTGAGGCTTAAAATTAGCTGCATGCATATACATCCGCCCTATTATCGCAGGGAACCCAAGTTAAGTTTCAGAATCAAGCACATGCAAAATATTGATGCAGATGTACATTCGATTCCAGGCAGGAAAGCCCCCCGTGACAAAGTACTAATACGGACCTTTGCATGTAAAGTTACACAATTGAACTCAGCCTGTATGCCTAGTCTTGATGCTATAGCGCTACAGACCAATAAAATCTACCCAAACCTCGAGGCTCAAAGGCTCAAACCGAAACCAACCGTATACGTAAGACGGTACCTTACAGTGGACATGTGCCGGAAATCCCGTCCTTTAATGTAATATTAAAATTAGAATCAAATCGAACATGGGGGACAAAAAATTGTTATCACATTTACGTTTCCTCAGATTTGGGGGGATATATGAGCCATTCTCCCTCTCTCAAAACGCTCCCAACCCACCCTTCTCGTTTCCCAACTTCAATCTGGAAATCCACCAATGTCACGTGTACGCTATATCTCACTTTCGACATGCATGCTCCAACCAAAAGATATATCCCCTTCGATCGCACGCGCACGCGTACACCCCCCTACCGGCTACTATATCGATCATCCTAACTGTTCATTCCTCTCATTATTACCTACTTAAGACCACAGTAAGCTAGTTTGATCCCCAGACCAATTCAGCGTAACACAGCATCTAGCAAACATAACCAGAAGGTACTTAATACCAGGTTATCGAATTCCAGCTACCCCCCCAGCATATCTCACAAAGCAACTACGAACGGCTCAATCCTTCAGGATAAGGCTTCAGTTTTTTTTAACAAGAAAGTTTCCATTTTTACGCCTCTAATAATGCATGCATCATATGTACGTTCGCTGTGCCATATTCATGAAGGCATCTCTCAAAAAAAGAAAAGAAAGCAAAGTAAAAGGACAAAAAATCGGCAACGGGAAAAGCCCCCGTGGCGAAGAAAAGAAAGGTGCACTAAACCAGGAAGCAATAAAAGTCCATAGCAAGCTAGCTAGCGCTCGCTATAATGTTACGATTGGTGCAATGGATACTGCTCGGGAAAAGGAGAACGATGACGATAACAACAAAAAAGCAAATGCAATTCGTTTTCCGCTTTATCCTAATGGATAGCAAAACAAAGGAAGGGAAGCCTCAGTTGGAAAAAAGCGAGAATAGTTCAATGAGCGTTATGCATAGAATTTTTGTTCGTGCGAGCTTGTTTGCGGTTTCATTAGAAATTAAACATTTCGTAGCAGTCCTCCACCATTTTTTCCACCATACGCAATCTGGTGATTCATCTCGTCATTATCATTATTAATTAAAGGAAAAGAAGGAGAGTCAAAAGAAGAAAAAAAAAGAAAGAAAGAAAAAAAGAGAGATAAGTCCAAGTACTACCTTATCCATTCAGAGGAGAAGTAACTTAGAGCAAGAAGGCAAGACCAAGAGCGACAGTCAAAGCGAAACCGCTAACTCCGAGCTTTCCAGCTGCACCAGTGGCTTCTGGTGGGCTCGGGCTCGAGGTAGCGGTACCATTAGTACCGTTAACAGGAGGATAGGGAATAACGACAATGGCAGTCGAGGTCCAGGTGGAGGTGGATGGCTCAGCAGCGTTGGTTGGAGTGCTGGTCTGGATGGTGAGCGAGCCAGTAATGGTAGTTGGGACGGTAGGAACGACATAAGTCTCAGTGATGACTGTGGTGGCAGTTGGGACCTCAGTGGTAACATCGGTGGGAGCTTCAGTTGGAGCTTCAGTTGGAGCCTCAGTGGGAGCCTCAGTGGGAGCCTCAGTGGGAGCCTCAGTTACAGTCTCAGTCTCAGTTGCGGTTTCCGTCTCAGTTGGAGTTTCAGTCGGAGCCTCAGTGGAGGTAGCCTCGGTCTCACCACCCGTTGCGTAGGTTGGTGGAATCACATCGCTAGAGGAGTCGCGTGTCAAGGTAATAGTCTCAGTAGTAGTGAGCGAAGTGGTAGTGGTAGTGTCGAAGCCACCACCCTCGCCACCGGTTTGGTATGGAGTAGCAGTGACGGTGGTACTTGGAGCGACACCCGCGCAGTAAGGGACGCCGGAGCTAGTACTGCAGAGGGGAGCAGCAGCGTCGCAGCAAAGAACTCCATTGTCGACGGATCCAGGGGTGCAGTATCCTCCAACGGCGTTCTGGCAGCTACGAACACCATTGCAGACGTAGCCTATAAATTTTTTACAGATATGTTAGCAAGACTACATTACGTATAAGATATACCCAACGGTTGAAGGTTTATCGGATTTAGGACATACCATCAGGACAACATCCCATCTCGCCATTAATTTGAGAGCAAACCTCTCCTGGTCGGCAAGCCAAACCAGCATCAGGATCGCAGCAAGGTCCGAGCGAGCAACCGGAGCCACAGGCACTATAGCCAGGCGGACAGCTAGTCTGGCGCTTGAAGATCAATCCAGCAAAAGACCCATCAACGTTGACAGCGCGAACTGCAACATGCTTGAGAATGGGGTTTGCTGGAATGGCAGCGGAAGCAGAGGCTGTAGCAGCCAAACCTGCGATGGCGACAACAATAGTTTGCATATGCATCTTGTTTGTAGGAGAGAAGAGAATGATCGAGCTGAGAGCGAGTGAAAGCAAACAAAGGTCCTTTTTGTTGGTATCAGACGGTTTGTGGTTTCAGATGATAAAGCGGTTGGTGAGGGTGATGATGAGAGCTATGATGAGGACTATGACGGAGGAAGATGGTGGTGGATTAGATGGTGGCGATGATGAAGATTGTGGGGGAAATAAATAATAAAAATTATTATTTAATTCCGATGAAGTCGTTGAGAGTGGAAATGTGTTGACCAGACGTCCAAACAACGTCGACGGAGCCCAAAGCGGTAGAATTCCTAATTGGTGCAGCTTCTGTTGTTCTCTTCAGCTTCTTTTTATAACAAAACACCTCTCTCTTTCTTTCTCTCTGATCGAATAAAAAAATATCACCAGATGGAAACAATAGCGAACGAACGAGCTAACGAACGAACAGATGATCGATGATGATAGAAATAAGGATAGAGAAAAGAGGAAGAACTAAAAAAAAATCCTTCTGGGTGGGTGGTACATGCACCATCAATTTAAAGACTTCACCACCCTGCCAATCTCTGCAGGACGTCGACGTATTGCCAGGTCCCACGGACATACAAGAATCAAATCGAATCGAATCATACCAAGAACCAAGAATAAAAAAGAACCGCACAACCGGCAAAGCACAAAAAAATCCTGTCTGTCTGGCTGCCTCGGCTGGTCTTGCACTTCGTGATACCAGCGAATCGAATCAATTACAATGGTGGCGGCCTGGCCATTTCTGTGCGATAATGACGGTGGCTTTGCGTATGCACCCCTCGACAGACAGCTATCTCCATGGCTCCACCTGGCCGACAAGATGTTCCGGATAGACAGATCAATGTACCCGGTCACACCAATCGAACCAGCTTTGTGTATACCAGATGGGAAAGAGAGAGGGAAAAAAAAAAGAACATCGGCGTTTAGTCAGACAACTGTTGCCTCGTCCATGGCAGTTCAATTCAATCAAGCAAACAGCCCACCCAAAGACAGCAGAAAAAAGCACACGGCTGAAATCCCTCCCTTGAGCTCTTCTCTACAGAGTGTTAGTGCTCTGTCTGCTCTGCGAAAGGAAAGTTTGGAGGGAAAAAACAACCAATAAACCCACCACGATCCTTTCTTTCTGCCTTCTCTATCGCGCATTGAAAGAGAAGAAAAGGAAATCGAAAAAAGACCGTGGCAGGTAAATACTTAGTCAGTATACGTACATGCAGCGATAAACAGCGAATAGCAGAGATATACCCCGGTCAAATCCAATCGAGTGGTGCCAATACCAACCTTTATCCCATGCATACATACACTTTCATGCATGGTTATCGACGTCACCACACCACAGCTCCCCTCTTCCCCCACTCCCCAGCTTGCACACCCAGCGAATCAGCATAACCCGATCACCCACCATTTAAACAAAATGGCTGGGTTTATGGCCTGGAAGTCGTGTATAATTTCATGATTCTATAGCCTGGACCTGCAGGTAAATGAAGGCCGGGACAAGAGAAAGTTAGATCTGGGTTGCCACCCTTTCGAATCCTTAGCTTCGTCTATTTCCTGTTTGGTGATCGAATTGTGGCGTCACGATAACAAGGGGAATGGAGGAGGCTCGTGAGCCTGACCAAAAGATCTTCGAAACTAGGTACTTTGGTTGTTCTTTCCGAACCACTCTGTAATACCCCGCTGATATCAACATGTGGAGAAGATACCGATACGATATGATACGATAATGACAGCTATGCAGTGGGAACCAACGTCATGCCGCGTAGAAGAACATTCCAACGTCATTCGATTTCCTCCCCAAACGGAGTGACAATATCTAAATACCTATTCTACGAAGCTTGAAAATGAGGATGGCTGTACGTACATACAGCGTCTCTGCAATTGCTATTTTCAGCTGCAATGCAGAGGGAAAATACCCATGCTGCATGCATGCATCACTAGTCGCAGTTGCCCGACTAACTAACCCGAACACCAGAAAACAAAATGCTTAACTCCGCCCAACCTCAATATACCAGACCAACTGGATTTTTTATGTCGACCCAGCCACACTCTGTGGTGGCTTAGCCACTGAAGACTTTCTTCTGTTAGAAAGAAGCTGCGACAGAATAAAGCTGTTTACATCCTCATCAGACCAGTAGCTCAAATGCCTAGTAATGAAAATTAGCATATCCCTTCCACCCAGACTAGTTTGTAGATCAATATACTTACGACGCAATCGATGCAATCAAACTGATATCGAATGCCCCTTCCTGCACCGAAAAATCAATCCTCCCCGTCCTATTCAGAGCCCTAACCTTCCTTTCCTCAGTCTTAAGCCTTTTCGCTTTCTCCTCTGCCCTTCTCTCCGCTTCTGTCTTTGGACCATCCCCGTCACCACCCTCGCCGTCATCCTTCCCACCTCTACTCTTCTGGAACCCGGCATACAAAGTCTCCAACTCCCCATCAATCAATGTAGGCTTGTGTTCCATCTCCTCTCCCTCATCGTACCAGGTCTCAATATCCAACGAACCTGCACTCTTTCTTTTATCGCTAATCGCATGCTCTCCCGTGAAACCCAAACTCCTATTCAAAATACTACTAGCCACCCCAGCAGAGAAATTACTCCACATACTGGTAATACTCTGTCCGATCCCTGATAGTCCTGCGAGTTGATTTCCCAATAGCGTTTTCTTCGTATATGGTAAATTCTGCGGTTTAATCTCGCTCATAGCCTTCGTAACCAACGGCTCCATCCTGTAACTGATTGGATCCGTGGGATGGAAGATATTGTATAACTGTCCACACGACGGCGAAGAAATATTAATATCTAACACTCCACTGCCTCCAAAGTTTCCAGGCTCGAAAGACCCAAAATAATCGGACCTTGCCTCCGGCGGTGTCAAAATATCCTGGGGTTCGTTATCCATCATCAAAACTTTCGACATTGGCGTTCGAGCAGCAATAGACTTGCCCTCCAACATTTGAAATAACCCGATCGGACTGCCAAATGCAAAGAAACTATCACATTTGAAGTTCAGCCCCGACCCTACTTGCTTGCCTTTAAATCCTTCTCTGCATAGGATATCAAAATAGATAGCTGAACCGAGGGAATGTCCACATAATGAAACCCGGCCGTTCCAGCCGGGGTTACGGGCCTTCCAAAGTTCGTAGATGCGATTTGATTCGCGAACGACGATGCGGCCGATGTGCTCCCGGTAAGCACTTTGATATAGGAGAATGTCGAGGGCAAGGTCGGTGATCAGACTGCGTACGGCAGGAACACCTTCGATTGTAATGTCGTCCAGAGCAGGGTAAGATTCGTAGATACTATCGTCATCCGGATCTCCTATATCATGTTCGACATCTGTCTGTGATAGGTTCGTGGCATACCCAGAATTTAGGCGATGTGCTCGAAGTGCTTCTTTTGGGAAGTTTAAAAGATGCTATATAAACCCGCATTAGAACCATTACATGTTCAACTATAGCTAGCAATAACATCAAGACTTACCCTCCAGCAAACTGGAAGCACCTGAATCCTACAATTCTTAGGCAGATTATCCAACTCCGCGTTAAGCTGCTGAATATCAGGTGAAGCTCCATAGACGTCCTTCAACGTTTTTCGAAATACATTCACGTCGTGAATGAAGTTTATAGACTCCATCCTTAGCGAAAGCCGCTGGCCGATCCCATGAGTGACCAGAATCCTTGAACCCCATTTTCACATTAGCAATCTCAATTCTGTTTGGTATGATGAAGGAAGAACATACAAATGCTCAACTTCCCGATCATTTTCATTCTCATCACTATTTTTGTAATCTTCTTTCATTTCATCCTCCATAACCTTCTCGGGATCATCATCATCCCCCATCCCTAATAACGTCGACATCTTCCTCTCCAATGCAATCCTACCTGCCTGCGCTCCAGTCTGTGGTTCCTCATCTTTCGTCGGAGCCTTCGGACTAGCATTTTTCTTAGGATCAATAATCATCGATGATCTTTTCGACCCACCCGGTTTTCCAGGCGTAGGAGTAACAGGCCTTGATCCGGCTGCAGATGCTACACCGCCGGGGGCGACTGGTTTCCCAACTGGCGCCTTGTCAACCCATCCCCTGACTAACTTGACCCCTCCGAGGTTCTGCCCAGACGTCATCCTCTGGAACAAAGTAGAACTGATTTTTCCATAGATATCATCCGTCATAAGCCATGCTGTAGTAGCATCCGAGTAAACAACGAACGAATTCAACCAAGGACCCAATAGGGGCCAGCTCTGCTGTTGTGAAAGCCCGGGGGGCGGTGTAATATCAGCTTGAGTTGTTTCTATCGTCGGCACATTTAGTTTTGAGGAATCCGTATTTGAAGTCGTTATGGTGGCGGCGGCGGCAGAAGGTCCTGCGACGGTAGGTGGGACAATGGGTGTCTTTTGTCGATACGGCTTGAATTTGATATATCCTCTTTCAACCTGATCACTCAGCTTTTCTTCCAACGGCCGTAAACTGCTACCCTCTTTCCTGCCACAAAATTCACTTAGTCAATTCGCTGCTCTTTCTCCAATTGATTCAACCTGGCTTTTTTTTTAGCTTACCATCTCGAAACCAAGTCCCCCTCAGAACACTATAGACCGGTCCCTCCCAATAGGCACTCGCCAACTCCCTAGCCTTAATATGCACATCGAACAAGTAATCTTCGTTAACCATCACCGTAACCTCCTCATCTTCTGTCACCCCAGGATCTGTACTATCTTCATCATCACTATCCTTCCTCCTAGAAGTCCAAGGTTTTTCGGCCTCTAGAGCTGTTTTCGCATCATCCCTCTCCGAAAGTTCCAAAAAAGCAGCCTCAATCCTTTTCGAATCTTGTTCACCAAATGGGACAAATTTAACGGGCGGCTTTGGAGGATTCTTCAAGTCGGGTTCCTTCTGGAATGGTTTTCGTTTCGGATTCTATTTTTTTTATAAAATTTCAAAAATTACACAAGTTAGAAATCTATTAGGCAACTACTTATAGAAATGGACCAGTTTTTTTTATATGAATAAAAACCTACATCAACAGCATAATGCCACCTCGCCAATACAGCGGGACAATCCTCCGGGTAGTCCTTCGGTGATATTCTTTTCGTAGAACCGACTACATGATCCGTTATAGCCTTCGAAACCGAACTCGAACGAGTTATCCCATCAAGATTGTTGCGGGGTAGTGGAGACCTCGACCTCGCACGGCTGTTACTTCGAATTATAGACCCAGTCCCCGTTCCTGCCGTTCCTGAGGCCGAAGTAGAAGTAACGGTAACATCAGTCCCACCGCTAATGCTGCTGCTGCTGCTGGTTTCAGTAGTCCCGGAGCCGAATAGTTTATCCATACTATTGTAATATCGTAAACCGTGGAAGTTTCGATGGAGGAGGTACAACCCCGAGGTTGGGCGGGGGAGGAAGTAGCGGGGTATTGCGATAGTATATGTTTATCTGAGAAAACCTAGGTACCGACGAAGGTTTTCAAGCTGCTGACATATTTCTTTCGATTCGGAAGCGACCAATGTTACTAAGAATTATGAGACTGTCGAATGGATGATATATCTTTATCGTAGTACGGTGGTAATTGCCAGCTTAAGTTGTAGAAAGAATTAAAAGATGAAAGCTTTTAGGTGAGGAGGCAGTATAACCGTTGGAATATAACTTTATGCGACGTGACCCAAACGGTCAAGTTAATCCGATGACCGAGCTTTACGTCACATAAATTCGGGACGGGCGCAAACACTGGACCCGGACCTGACAGCGCCAGCTGATATTCAGGAACCAACGGGCCAGGAATTTGGTTTTCATGTGATTGAACTATAAAAAACGTTTAAACATGGAAATCTCGAATGTTAAGGTCCCCGATGGCTGGGAAAATTCTCAAATGCTATTTCGGTAAGCTGAAGTCAACGGGAAAAGACGGTAAGAGTATATGATACATGTGAAAGTGCATCGAAATGCTAATGCAATGAAATCGGTAAAAACGTTAGACGTTATCTCGAAAAAAGAGTCGCTTCAATCGCTCATTTAAACATCCACAGATATAAAAAAGATATAGTAAAAAAATGGGAAATATGTGCAAAGAAAAGAATAGAAAGATGTGCATGAAACAGGTTAAAAGGAAACACTGAATGCCCAAGGCGACTGCTTTCTAAGGAACGAGGATAAAGAAGCAAAAAGGAAGGAAGGTTGGGGTATATAAAAGATTCCCTTCCGAAAGGAAACTACATGACTACCCATTCGCTCGCCCGCTTCAAATACTTGTCCAACAAGATCGTGACATCCGCTAAAACAAACCTACAGACGACTAGCCCAAAGAACTCGCCCGCTCTATTAATCGACAAGTCAAGGCCAACCTGGGTTGTAATGTGGAAGTTGTGGGATTCAATATGCGCTGACAATTGGTCTACCGAGTATGGAGTTAGTAGGCCGATTCAAAGGGAAAAAAAGAAAGATGCGGGAACGTAAACATACCTAAAACCTGGGCCGCCTCAAACAACTTTGACAGCGCATTCAAATATCCCGCGAATGGACCTGCGAACCCTCCAAACGCTACCCCGTCTTCCATTTCACTTCCATACCCAACCCCATTGCCATTGCCATGGTTCGCATTCTCGCCGTAGCTCTCCAAACTCCTAGCACTTGGAAGTGCTGTATATGAGCTACTACTACTAGAAATGATCGAGGAGGTATTCTTGCTCCTCAATTTCTTCCAGTAGCTTCGGCCTCCGCTTGAGCTATTAATGGCCTTCATGCTGCTCGAGGAATCAATCCCATTGCCCATCGAGTCCCCATCACCATCGGTGCTCTTAAACATAGCCGAGGCACCAGAAGCGCCAACATCGCTTCCCAACTTTTTATTCAGTATTGTCTCCGTCTTGGACATCACGTGTTCCAAGTCCTGAAGTTCTTTAAGGAGCAATTCAGCGTCGGTTTTATCCACGGACGATAGCTTCTTTAGAGCCGCGGTGAGGTTCTCGCTAGCAGCAATCTTCTCTTCCACGCACTTTAGCTTAACGCCTCTCATCAGCCAGATTTCTCGCGGGACAAATAGCTTCTGAGACAGGTATCCGCCGTGTGGATTCGAGATAGTATTGTTAAGGCATCTCATTAGCCAAAAGGTCTTCGAAAGTTGTTCTTGGGGCATGGGCTCCAATGGTGCTGGGTGAGATGAATCAGACTCTAAAGAGCGTGACCCGGATGGTGAATGTATGCGATTATCAAAAAGATGGAAGCCTCCGGTGGGCAGTCCAACAGCCGAGCCAATGTTGCCAGACATTGGCGTCCTTGGTGGAAATTTCGCGGATCGGAGATTCTGGGAACTAGCAGAAGAATGCAATCCAGGGTACGAAGGTGAGTCGCTTTCTGGGAAACTGCCCATACGTCCCGACTTAAGGTTGACGTGGGATTGAGTCTGCCGCAGAATACCACCCGTGCCTCGTAGAGTATGCCTAGTTCTAGGCGATAAAGTTTCGATATGAGTGTGGTCGCTTGAACCGTCATCAGTCCCGCTATTTCGCTTCCTCTCAAGCTTAGCAGCGGTGATGTTTTGCTCGAGAGTTCTAGGTGAGAATTCTGAAGGAGCGATGGTCGACGCTACCGCAGTCTCGGGGCCGTCTTCCACGGTCACATGCGTAGATGCGGTTGGCGGCCCATCTTTTTCCTCTTGCGTCTCTGTAGTTGCTACTAGACGTGACTGTCGAGTATTTGTCTCGATAGTTAACGGACCCAAGCCCGAAAGCGGTCTCCCTGACATCCTTCGATCTAGAACACCAGAGTATCGCTGGGTGCTACGGCTTACCGGCAGCGTCGGAGTGGTCATAACGATCGTTTCATCACCATGGGGTAATGCCGTCTCTTCTTCGTCCCATGCTTCATTAGTAGGCTCAGGGGTCTCGCTGACAGGCGGCAGTTCATGGTGGTTGTCCAAGTCAAATTTAAACTCTCCAAGCTGGTGGACCACATTGACATCTTTCTCGATATTATCCACCATGTGTGTGTCCTCGTCATCCTCGTGTTCATCATCCCCATCACGACCATCAATACTGGACTCAACCTCTCCTTGCGCCGACAGTCGCTTCCCATTCATTTGCTGAAAACCTGAATCCAGTCCAGGGATAATATTCGAACTTCGTCGCCTGGTGTCCCTAGCAGCAGGTGTCGGTTCGGCATCTTCCACAATTATTTGATTCGTTAGATCAAGATTCAAAGGCGCAGGCGCGTGCGATCTAGGCGTATAATCCATCATGTATTCGTCTACAAAGTCATGAAGTATCTCATGATCAAGAATCGCCGATTGCCGTGTCGCAATGATCGTCCGTCGTGCTTGTTCTCGAGTCAGCGGCGAATCAGCCCCAAAGCTATCCTCGAAACTCGGCCCAATGTCTATATCCAGCCCAAGTTTCGACAACCTTTGGCTGGCTAACATGACCGTCTTCCTCACATCATCGGCGTCGAATCCATCCTCCTCCTCTTGTTCCTCTAGTTCCTCTATAATTGACTTCTTCCTCAACACGGGCACACTTTGGGCATGCATCAACTTCACCGGTTGCTGCGAATACCGTTTAACCCCATAACTCATAACAACCGCTGATTCAAAATCGCTATCGGCGTCCGAACTAAACCCATCCCATGCAGCATCGACCGCGGCGTCGATCATTTCCGATTCACTATCATAGAGGCCGTTACTATGGTATGGCACCGGTATCCCAGACTTTCTAGGTGACGTTGCACCAAATGAAGAAGTGGGTGAATCCGTGCCGTCATCGTCATCAAAGTTGTGCAACCACGAAGTTGACGCCTCGCTAACGTCTCTCGAATGGCCCATATGCCTTTGCTTTTGCGGGGACGGCGTTTGGAGCACTTTTGGAGGGGGTTCGATTGGTGTCCGTGATTGTACAATTTGGGGGCCACCCGTGGGGGCCATCTGAGGGATAATGACTGAAGGTCGTGCCGCATTCCGTATTTGACTGATTTGGGCGGTTGGAATCGCTGGAGGGGGTGCCTGTGGAGGCGGAGCCGGCGGTGGTAATGATTGAGGGGGTAGTGTTTGAGCGGGTAGAGAGGGTACCGGCATGGACGGAGGGGGCATCTGAGGCGGTAGTTGTATGTGTATCTGTTGCGACGGAGGGAGACGTGGCACCTGTGCCTGAGGCGGCGAAACCTGCGATGTCGGGATCTGTTGTGTAATTCGAGATATGCTAGCTTCCTGCTTGTGGGTATACTTGGGCCTCGTGTCGATTTGGACGAGATTTGGTTGGGCCATTATGGCCACAGACGTTCTAAGTCCCGCCTTCTGAACGAATTGTGGCGACTGAGCCCTTCCCATAATGTAGCTCATCCTCGTTGTATCTTTCCTCGGGCTACCCCTGAAATCCTCATAGTTCTGTCTCATGTCGGGAACATATTCTTCATCCTCCACCAGCGCATCATGAGATAACCCCCTCCGGAACGTTGGTCGACCTCCATTCGATGTAATTTGCCCCCTTGCCGCTGCTGCCACTGAAATTGGTCCATTTCCTCCATTTATCGCTTCGGGTTGTAAGGATTCTCGTCGAGGAGGCACTCGGACGTGCTGAGGGGATGTCGGCGCAGATATTATAGAAGCGGTCTCGTCGCTCTCAAAGCTCATGGAATCATCCTGCTGTGGTCGCGCGGGTAGTTCCTTCTCGTCTACTCTGTATAACGGTGAAAGTTCCCTTAGTTCATCTATTCGTCGCTCGTATGTTTCTCTCTAAAAATGTTGCAGGGCGGTAAAAACCCTTGTGTTAGCCGTGCCATACACCAACATTTTACATCTTTTCGCAACGTAAAATCCAAATAAGTATTTTCCTTTCTTTCCTTCAACCTAAGAATTTATAGATATACTTTTGTAGGAAATAATAATTTTTTTTTATAAAAAAAAAAAAAAAAAAAAAAAAAAAAGGGAGGGATTTTGCATACTATCTGCTGCAGCTTCCTTCGGTCCTCATCGACCCCAGCTCTCATCATAACATGCCCCAGCAACGCACAGGCGTCTGAGTAAGCCTCCATGGCCCCTTCGATATTGTTCGCATTGTCGAGTAAAACGGCCGTATTGGCCTTCTGTAGAGCGGACGACAGCATCGCTTTTGATCTGGAACCAGTCCCTCCCGAAGATACTGGCCCGTGTCGAGATTCTGTCAAAGTTGACATGTAGGAATCGAAAGGAGATAAGAAGGAAGTTCAGGGTCCGGGAATTTGAAGCTAGTTTTATTTTAGTCGGGTTTTTTCGCTGGGTCCTGCAAGGCAAGGAGGGCGAATTAATTCGAATTGTGCAATTGCATGTAAATGGATTTCGGATATGTCCACGATAGATTGATTGGGCGGGAGAAGAGTAAGCAGGAACGGTAGTGTGTAGCAGCGCAGTGCAGTTGCAGCAGCAGCAGTCTCAAACCGCCTAACCTAACTCCCTTTCGCAGACTGGGTCCCCCTCATGAGCAAGACTTTACGGCGTCTGGTTCGTCCGTTTCTGGAGCAGAGGCCCGCAGTCGGGGTATTTTAGTGCTTTGATGGTATTAATCTGGCTAAGCTGGTGGTCCGTTTCAAGGAAGGCGGAGAAGGTCTGGAAAATGTATGTAATGTAATGTAATGTAATGTAAGGTAATGTAAGGTAGGTACGAGCGAGTCTGAGGGTGGAGAGTGCACGGGGATGCAATGATGATGGAAGGAGGCTGGTCAATGGAGAAGTTCGAGTTCAATCAATCAATCGTCGATATTATTATTAAAACCCCAAACCCACGTCGGATGCCTGTCTGTCTGTCTGTCTGTCCGTAAGTAAGTATGTAAGTAAATAGTGACAAGTAAGTACCGTATACGTATACTCGTAGAACCAGATGCATATGGTATAGTATATTACACTATCATATGGATTCGATGGCGACCGAAGGCATTCCTTCTAGAAGATGGAGAAGGGGCTCGTCTTTAATATAATTTTTAATCTAATCGGTTCACTTGATAGTAATAGCACTCGATTTTATTAAAACACCGCGGCCGTCGGAGCATAAGCAAAATGGCGCCTAGACTAGAACTTGAATTCGAACTGGGACTCGAATTCAGGGTCAAGTCAAATATCAAATATCCTAGATCCAAATACCAATCTGGATATCTCGGGTACCTGGTTATGTTATCAGGTATGGAATTCTGTGTACTATCGGAGTATCAGAACCTTTTTTTCTGCTCCTCCTCCTCGTCGTAAGTATTTACCCCTGGTCAATGTTCTCCTGAACCAGGCACAGACTTTGCGATCGGGTCTCTCCACCTCCACCTGTCAACCAAGTACAAACATGCAACTGGAGGCGGTTAATGGTCGAAACTACATACATACATACGCAGTGCATGTACATACAGCATGTATGTATGTATGTAAGTAAGTGTAAGTATGTATGTATGAATCAGGTCAGGTCACAGGGAACGGTGAGAAAAGAAGCTGTGCGCATTTAGTATGCAGAAATGCAAAATATAATCACACTGAAGCGCACTTGACGTCGAAAAAAATATAATATTCCGCCGGATGAATGTGATATCATGACCTGGATCGTTCTGTATTTCTCTCAGGCCCCCCTTTAACCTTTGACCGAGAAAAAAAAACAACCAATACGGGCGGTAGAATTATCTCCCTTTCATACGGAGCACCGACACGGCATCATTGATTGTTGACATATGAAAAGCATCGTAGCGTGCTGCGTGCCACCTTCTTTCCCGTCCCAGCTAAGGGGCTAAAATACGTATTCGTCGATTGCTCTAAAGTTCACATGTGGACGTAAGTATGTAAGTCAGTACTCGGTGCAGTATACGGAACAGGACTGGTTCCGTTCGGTGGATCGTTTCAAGAAACATGGACCCAGCCGTGACTTAAGTTCCAGCCCTAAAAAATCCTGCCGCATCTTGCTGCAACCTGTAAAGTAACGTACGTGTACCGACATGAATATCCACAGGCAGGACAGGACAGGACAGGAGAAGACAGACAAGCGAGGCAGGTGAAAAGTAGGCAGGAAAGGGGGGAAGAAGAAAGAAAGAAAGAAATTGTAAAAGAATAAGAAACATCCATATCCAAGAGAAGACCAATTCAACCATTATATCCATCGGTCAGGTCAGTATGTATATCCCTTGTCAGGTTCGCCCACAGTATGATGAAGAACCGTGTCTACCATGATGGTCCCCGGACCAATCAATGTCAAACCTGTCAGATGTTTAGTGCAGGAAGGAGGGAAAAAAAAAAAAAAAAAAGGTTGGCCCTTGTTTTCCGTTTCTTGTGTAGTCTGCCCTGTCCTTTCCATGTTCATACATACCTCAGGATGTATGTACAGTTACATAGACCACCCTCGCAGGAACGAGCCACCGTCCTTGGTTTGGTTCGGTACCTGACAGGATACATACAGCTCCGCCTGCTGTGGATCCCATCCCCCACCGACCTACGAAAGCCAGGGGTGAAGGCTTGGTTGTAGGAAAAGAACAATCGTCCACCGGTTGGCAGTGGCAGGCTGCATGCATGCGTGCATGGTCCATGGCCAAAGATGGCACTTGCTTTCTTGTCAGGCCCACACGAGAAGGGAGAAGCGATGCATCAGATGCCGCGAGCAAACAACGTTTTTTGTCGCTATTCTTTGTTAACGAGCGATCAAAGTTTGTCCTTTCGTTCAAACACCAATCACTAGATGTCTATCGACCCGTCGTCGTCGTCATAGTCCGTGCCGTCTTGAAGTACTTGAAGATACTATCAAGAAGTCGGTAGGTATTAGGAGACCGTTTATTGGAGGATATGTAAGTATACATACTATCTTAAGCCCGAAGAGACAAGTGGAGGTGGTTGGAGAGTCTTGGTAAGAGTAGAGGAAGGGTGGGAGTGTTGTTGGCGACGTCACAGCTACACGTTCCACAGAGTTCACAGCGCTGCACCGTCACGTCAACCTCGCTCTGCTCTTCTCGCGTGTAATTAATCTCGCGTGGTTAACTTCACCTCCAACATCACACAATACCTGCCAATATATCATATCAACCACTAAATATTGAACATCATCATCTCCCTCTTTCATACATAGAATTACCAGTTACCATCTAGATTAGTTTATAAAGAAAAAAGAAATAAAGGAAAAAGGGACCAGACAAAATGCCTCCAAAACAATTCTCCAAATTCGCCAAAAAGCCATACGCTAAGAAATCCTTCACAAAGCGCTCTTATAATAACGATGACGATGAGACCTCTTCCAAACGTTTCAAATCAAATGCAGCCTCATCTGGCTCTGCTTCTACTCCAAAGGCTCCCGATGGTGCTAGACACGTCGATGACGAAGGAAACTTCTACTGGGAGCTCGGTGGGAAATCCCGTCGCGTTACCGTCTCCGAATTCAAGGGGAACGTATTGGTCTCCGTCAGGGAATACTACGAGAAGGACGGGAAGTACTTTCCGGGAAAGAAGGTAAGTTGCATTTCCTACGCTGTTCCCCGGGGGGACATTACTAGACGTATACCTTGTACTAACTTTTATAATCATCATTTGTTATAGGGAATTTCGATGAGTCTGGACCAATTCAACCAACTCATCAAGGTCCTTCCGGCTCTCGAAGAAGCCATTGGCCAGAAATCTTCTGCTGGTGTAGTCAGACCCATCTATACTACATCTGCAAAGCACGACGCCCCTCAAGCGAAGTCAAAGCAGGAGATTGACAGCGAAGACGACCGGGAGGCGGAAGGGGAAGAAGAGGAAGAGAACAAAATGGAACTTAGCATCCAAAAGGAGGAATCGGAAGAAGAAGACGAGGTAGAGGAGAACCCCTCCAAGAAGTCCACCGAAAAGTCTAAAGTCAAGGATCCCAAAAAACCCCTCAAATCGAAGAAGAAGAAAGTTCCAGACAGCGAAGACGAAGACGAAGATGACGAAGACGACTTCGTCGCGGTAGAAGAAGATTCCGAGGAAGAATAGAAGAGGAAGAAAGAGAAGAGGGGTTGATTCGATCCTCCAAAGCCCTCAACTTTGCCCCACCTCACCCCGCACGACCTACATAACTTGACACGACTCACCGCAGCATTCTTATATACCCACAACTATCATATTTTTCACGCGTCCGGAGTTCAAGGTTAGAACATTCTCAAGGTTATCATTTTTTTTTTTTTTTTATCCCCTGGTTCCCCTCCCCCTCCAAATGCCTCTTTACCCCTCCGTTTATCATCACCCCGGTTTGTTGTTGAACAGCAAGCAAGCAAGCAAGCAAAGCAGCCATTGTATCATTTTAACCCTGTCACATTTTTCTTAGACGGTGTTTTTTCTTTCTGTTTCCCTTGCCTCTACCTCGCCTTAACGAAGAAAACTAAAACTAAAAAAACTAAACTTTGTCTTAATCCCATCTAACTTCTCTGTCACTACCATTGGATGGACCTTATATCCCCCCCTTGTTCTTCCGTCTGCACTTATCAATCTCAGAAACCCTAACTCTTTTTTCTTAAACTCGTTATGTAATACGAAGCAACAGCCAAAAAAAAAGCACCTAGTAGCGAGACGCAAGGATTCCCCGCCGGCGCCGGGCCGCTGTGTCAAAGGCTTTTTAGTCGCAGAGCCCCTCCCTCCCTCCCATTCTAACCTAACTTCAAATAAAAAAATATATAAAAAAAACTCCTCCACGCCGGGGATAATTCACGAATCAATTCAACGGATAGAAAGCACAAGGATAAATAAGAAGTGGATACAAACCTGGAAACCCTCTTCCCTATCCTCTCCCGCGCCTCCACACCCCTTCCCTTCCCTTCTCTTCCCTTCCCTTCCCTTCCCTCCCTTCCCATCGTCCAGCCATACGGATAACAGAACCGCTTAAGCTTTATACATACGGGTGCCAGCTCCATGTAGATGTATGTACGTATGTAGGTATACGTGGTCGAACTAGATGTATGTTTCATCTTAAAGCGAGGTAGTATGTCTTACATACAGACAACAGTGCGATGGGTGGGCGGCCAGTAGGTGTGCGTCCGGTCCCACCATATCATATCTACAGATATTCAATCGGGACCGCCTCGAACTTCTTCCATGGGTGTATATATGTGAGTATATTTTATTTTATCATATCACGAGTCCACTAGCTAGGTATATATCTCCGAAAATAACGAAAGAAGGAAAGAAAAAAAAACATTAGTGCTGCAGCGAAAACATATATTTGCTAATATCTAAGACCCATTTATAAATTTATTTCATTTAATTTCCTTATCGATCGATATCACGATATCGCTAGTCAGGCCTTGCCTTTTGCCTCTTTGCCTTTTGCGAGCTCCGGGGATTAATATTTTTGGATTGAGGTTTTTCAATTTTTGAACCAATGTAATAGCTTCCTATATATAACTTGTATTTTTTTATATCCCTCAAATCATGATCATCGAAGATGATAGAAAACAAAAAAATGGTCCATGAAAGGAAAAAAATGGAATATTGTATTGGTCATTACACTATCACGATCACTATCAATAATGGTGCTAATGCTATGCTACATGGCGCAAGAAAAAAGTGAAGAAGAAAAGAAAAAAAAGAGAACACCCCTCCTTACCCCCCCCTCCTCTTTCTCGCCTCGCGCACCCACCAACTTTTGTGCACATAAATAACACATATTGAAGATAATACAGTTATATCAAAAAACGAATTGTATGCATTTGCATAAAAGATACAGGAAGCACCAAAAAAAAAAGGAAAGAAAGAAAGAAAAACGATATTCCCGAATTCTCGAATTCTCATGCTATAATTATCATCAAAAAATGCATATGAAAAAATAAAAATTATCATAAAAAAAACAAAATACAAATCCCAAAGTCATATCACTAATCCCATGTCAAAGCCTCACACATATCATGATATCAAAAGACATATAAAGAAAGAAAATTTAAAAGAAAAAAAAGTAATAATACGGCAATGCAAAAGTAAGTAGGTTTTAAGGCAGCATTGCAGTTCGCGGCAGGAAAAAAAGGACAAGAGCTAGAGGAAAAATAAAATAAAATAAAATATGCAAGACATCAAGACACTCGATGAAAGACAGACATGACAGCGCAAAAAAAAAAAAAAATAGGTCCTTCAATGCGATAGATGGCAATAGCCTTACAATGGAACAAACCGATAGTTGTATCAAATAATGAATGTAATCTCTGACGTGTTCTCATCTATATTGTCTCTCTCTTTCTCTCATGACCATTTTGAAAAAAAAAGCTAACCCGTGCGGGCCGGGGTGGCGGGTGGATTGATTGATTGATTGATTGATTGAACGAGCGATTGATTGATTCAACATGTTCCATTCGGGATCGATTTCGATTTCGATTTATTCTTTTCCGTTTTGAAGAGCGCAGCACACGGGGACGGGAACCGGGGGGGTAATATGGTAATACAGACAAATGATTTGATCGGATGTTTTTGCAAAGTATAGCGAAGGAAGAAGATTCGTTAGAATTTTTTTGGTTTTGTAAAAAAAAAAAAAATGTAGGCAAAAGGAGGTTGCGCTGGCACGGCCCGGGTCATGCATGAAGAAAGATAGGGGATCATGCCAGAGGATAGCTAGTAGTATAGAGGAAAAGAGGCACAAGCATTCATCATAAAATGTGGAAAAGCTAGTAGACAACAAGCATGTTTCGCTAAAACAGTTTTGCATATCGTATTTGCGCATGATATTGGAAAAAAGAGATCATTGAGATGGCAGTGAAAGGAGCCAGCGGATTGAACATAATAATCGCCGGTCACTTTTTGCCCCTCGCGAGGTAAGAATATACTTAGAAACGGCAAAAAAAAAAGCTAGTAGCTAAAATCAAAAAATAAACAGTAAGAGGGAAAAAAAACAAGTAGCAAGTAACAAGCAAGCACAGGTCATCATCATGGCGTTTCCACCTTTGCTTCCGGGGTATTGACATCGGAAGGAAGGAATAGGAAGACGCAGGAGCAAGGGGAGGTAGCAAAACACAAGGATTTCATACAATGCGAAGATATTTGCAGAGCTGACGGTAAAAAGACAAACATCAACGGACTTTTCCGCTTCGTGGGCGGGGGGATTTGTGTAAGTATGCGTGAATAGCGAGTGACCTGTGGCGTGGGCTTTTTGGTATCATATCGAAGTAATCCCGAAATGGAAACCCGTCAAGAAACGCCTGTATGACAAAACAAAAAAAGATATTAACAGCAAAGGAAATCAACTTCGAGGACAACGTTAAGCGTGCCATCGAGGTTCATAAAAGAAATGCAAATCAAAACTTTCGCTGCGTAAAAATCAAAAACTAAACCAAGACCGTTATTTCCCGTTTTTCCACCGAATATAAAAAAAAGAAAACCATTAAGGAAAAAGATTTGTTAATATATGGCATCTAAAACGCTGCGAATAGATGGTTGCGGATATGTATTAGGTTTGTAAAAAAGGAAATGGTCGTAAAAACATGTCGCCATGACAGTCTATCAAGATTGTGACTTGACAAGGAGTGAGGAGGGACAGGTCTCATCTTCGACGTTGCTGAACTCCAGTGGGGATTGCAGTGCGTCGAGGAATGTTGTTGGTGACATTGAAAGTGCTGGCCGGGGATGGCATCCCGCCGGTCCTTCTCCTCTTGATGCCCATGCCATCTGGGTCAGCGCTGTCTCCAGCACGGCTTGATGGGCGAGATGGGCCATCGTCGTCATCGCGACCACGCTTGGTACCAGCTAAGGAACCAGGCATGCTCGACGTCTGCTCTCCGTAGCTACCAGACATTGGGACAATTCCCGACTGAACTTGATAAGAGCTGTTAGTGGAGTGTGCCTCTGAGGACCGGTCGCCATTGGAGTTGTAAGAATCATAGCGAGCGATGTGTGGAGAGGTGGTATATGTCGAGTTAGAGTTCCAGTGACCAGTAGCATCTGGTGCGCGAGCGCCAGGAGTCTCAATGGTGCGGGGAACAGCGACATTAGAAGCATCGTAAGTCGATCGTGGAACTTCGGTGCCGTTGATTGCTGAGCTACCGTTGATTTCTGGCGAGTGCTGGGTTGCATGGTCGCTTGGGAGAATCGTCGAGGATGGATAATACGACCCACGGGAGGCGTTGTAGCCTTGAAGGTTGTTATCATGGGTGTATTCTTCTTCGTGGTCGGCTTCTTCTTCGCCATGTTCAGCACTATTGCCGCCATCATGACTAAGAGAGGATGATTCACCTAAGTTGGTAATTCTGCCATCATTTTGGCTAGAAGATGGACGAGACGACGTAGCCGCCTGCCCTGGCCTTGCCGCCTGTGGCGGGCCCATATCCGTAGCTGCTCTACCATTGGCGAGATATTGAGATTGTTGTCCAACACCTTGGTAACGACCGATGCTAGATTGTGAGTTAACACCTCGATAGGCATCGGTGTATCCGCCGGAAGAAGAAGAGTAAGATTGAAGTTGGCCACCGCCTGGTGGAGTCGTAGCAGGAGTTGCAGGCATCGATCTACTCGAAGCCATAGTAGCAGTGTCAATTGCCAATGGCTGATTAGTAGATACCAAATTTGAAGATTGCCAGAACTGCGAATCAGAGCTTGGCATCATCATGCTGGAGGCGCTAGACGGTGGTGTTGGGAAAGTCATGCTACGTTCGATGCTTGGGCGGTGAGTCTGGAGGGGGTGAGAAGGCACAAGAGCAGAGCTGGTTTGGTTAGCCATTGATGTCGCTGAACTGCCAACAGATTGTGGAGATATCAGGCTATCAGTAGAGCGTCTCTGTGGAGTCGGTGCATTTGGAGCGCCAGAAGGCTGTCCCGACGAAGCGGAAGCAGAACCCGGTCCCTGTGTAGGCAAAGATGGGTTGCCCAAAGAAGGTGGAACTGCGGTCCATGGGTTACCTTCTCTCCTGGCGGCACTGATCACAGCGGATGTCCTAGTATGGTTTGCTGGATGGTACAGCAAAGAACCAATATTATGCACAAACAATGGATACAGAAGTTCAGTAATCTTCTCCTTGTTGGCGAAGTCCAAAGCACGTTGGAATGGAATCCTGTACATATCAAATTAGTTCAGATTTCATCTTTTTTTTTTTTTTTTGGCACAGCCATAATTTCGAAAAACCTACCAAACTCCCTTGAGATGCATTGGGCCAATCTTAACAACATGCCTGACCTTCTCGGATTTAAGAATACCGTCTCGTCGACCACGGGTCATACCCGCCACGTTGAGCAGCTTGGTTCCATTGATCATGTGATTATCTATGGTTGTGCAAAGTTTAGTTTAGCATGTCATCCTCTTTTAGAGCGTGGAGTTTCTCTCAACGACTTACCCTCTCGACGTGCGACACAAACACCTTTCGCCTCAACTTGGAAGCACAGGCTACCCTCATCCTCCCAAAGAGTAGCAGTAACTCTCGGCTTGGCTCCAGGCGGGCAAACTTGGCCAGTGGTGTCTGGGGTTGAAGGGTAGATAGCCTTGTTGTATGTATCCAACATATTAGACTCGTTTCGGGAGCTGACGAGTGGGCCTGCGCCTGCAGTCATAACACCTCGGAACGGGCCTTGTGTTGGTGCACTGGAAGACAATGTGGATGGCATGCTTGATGTCGGATACTGAAACTGGCTGTATGCACTCTGGCTAGTATGCTGCGGCTCATAGGGAGGCGGCATATGCGAAGAGCTGTATGATAGGCCACCAGCGGATGTAGGAGTATGTCCGCTAGCTGCAGGCTGCGGCTGCGAATAACTCTGATGGCTATATGAATCCATACCGATGTATTGAGGTGGGACAGAATTGTCGTGGGAATAATAGGGTTGTGTGGAAGCCAGCCCTGTGGATGGCACTGGGTGCGCCGAATAATGTGACCCAGATGGTTGTGTGGTAGAATAAGCTGTTAAAACCCAAATATTAGCCAAAAAGTGATTCCAAGTTAGAGTGGTTTGACTAGATATCAAAACTTACCGCTCACTGATACAGGGGCAGATTGTGAGCTGTGACCTGGGACAGGAAGAACTGGGACCTTACTGCTCGCAGACATTGATGTCTTGGTCGGTAGAAGCCGAAACTTTCGTTAAGAGAAAAAGAGAAGGGGGAAAGGGAGGGTGTCAGGCTAGATAATCTAGTCTTTGACACTGGAAATTAGGTGTTCGAGAGCCTGTAGGTAAGGCAAAAACTCGTATTTGCTGCGGCCACAAAGGATACTCTGAAAACCTCAAAGGATCGAATATTCCATAGACCGAGTATTTGAGTTTGGAGAGCTCGTTGTAACGGGAGAAAATCGGGTCGTGTGAAGTTCCAAGTCGGTCAAAGAGGAATGTATCTCGGTCTCAAGTTCTAAATGCCTTGATACCGATCCGAAAGGGATATATAAAGGAATATAAAAAGCAGTGGGAAAAAAAAAGTCCGTCACAAAATCCGCAATGCAAAGGGGCAGAAGAAGGAAAAATAAATAAAAATACTGGATCGCTCGCTTGCTAAAAAAAAAGATCGAGTAGGAAAAAAAAACCGAAGGAGATTCTAAGATACTGTGGGCGGCAAGTTGCAGGTGGGTGAACTGGCTTTCGAAAAATGCGAAAGACCAAGGAAATGTTCACACAGATCGATATGTTACAGAATCCGCAAGGCCTTGTCGAGTCCCTGCGAGATTTTGGTCGTAGAAGTCTGTTGATCGTTCAACAGAAGGCTAGCGTTGGATTTTTACTGGGAGATAGACAACTTGCCAGTTGCCGGGTCCTGTCTTACAGATGAAAGTCAGCGAATTTGGACATTCAAAGCTAGTATACTGGAATCCGATTTACGAAGATGTATAAATGACCGGGATGGGGGGTGGTTGGTAAAGCTACCCTGGCCCGTCATATGCCATATTTCGTAGAGTGCATTCCAATCTAAGATAGAAAGGGAGATAAACTTACCGTATCTTCTCGTTTCTTTCGTGTATCGTTAAAAAATAAAAATAAGTATGAGCCAGGGTATAACAGAATCCGTAATCCTTTGATCGTAAAGATAGAAATCCGAAGCAAATAAAAAATAAAAAAGGACAATTGAGCTTTAAAAGAAGATTTCCGGCAAATGAAGATGATTAATATATCGAATTCCGCTTGAAAGCAAAACGCTACAGTCGCTCAGAAACGAAAGGCTAGTCTTCGACGATCCAGATATTCTGACACGTCGATGCGAGCTGGTTCCCAGGTATTTGTACGGCAATGCTTCTGAACCGAAGTTAATCGGTATTCCAGGGTTTGAGAAGCCGTTGACAAAGTCGTTGTCGTGCAAGGTAGGAGAACGCGGGTCGCCGGGTTCCAAGATATACCTGTTCTTCCTCAGGGTTGGTTTGCGGTAAGGAACCGAGACTAGACAAGTCGGCTCTTCAGACAAAGAACAGCACGTTGTCCCCAACAGCTATCCTAGCCAATTATCAAAAAGAAGACGGATTTCTGAATATCTAAATTGGTAAGAGACAAGTTTGACAAGTTAGCTTCCAGCTGCATGCAACGCGCTAGGGTCCAGGCTTGCCCTCAAGCATAAGCCCAAGAAGGCAGAAAGAGATGGATGGAAAGAAACTAAAAAATAAAAAATAAAATAAAAACGCACATACCCGTCGGGAAGTCAAAATTCAAACAGGACAGCTGGATTTGACAACAGATTTGTCTGTCCCGAGTGAATCGCGATGGGTATTAAGAGGAGGTGAGAGAGAGGAGGAGGTGAGCGTGCGAAGGGCCAGGGAAAACTTTCAGCGCAGACAACGGCCGAGTGGTTCCGAGCGTTTGCGGTGGTTGGAATCCGGGTGGGAAAAAAAACACTACAACAGCTTTGGGCTGAATATCGTTGGACAAGGCGCAAGCGTGAGCCACAGCAATTATGCACAGACGAACAGACGACCACGAGTTTACAGGAGGGCGAAGGGTCGCTGAACAGATGGATAGAGATGAGGGGATGATAAAGGTTTGATTAGAAGAGGGAAGAGGATAGAAAAATAAAAAACGAAAAAAGATAATAAAAAATAAAAAATAAAAAATTAGGATGGCGGGGAGGGGAAAGATGCAGTAGAAAAAGATATAGCAAGCAAGCAAGCAAGAGAGGAAAGGACTGCAAGTCAGCTAGCTCAAGAGTAACTGGTTTGGTAGGGAAAAGAACAGCTGGGGCGAAATCTACAGGGATGATTTGTCCAAGAGGTAACCACGATGTATAAAAGAAAAGAAAAATAGTACAGACAAGATAAACGGACGGAGGGACAGAGGGACAGACAGACTATAAGAAAGGAAACAACTGCGAATCGAACAAGTGAGAGGGAAAGACGAATGGTCTTTCCGTCGCCGACTTAACGATGGTCCCTATCAGTGGAGTATGATGATGATGATGAAGGAGGAGGAGGTTGAAGGGGAGGAATAGTGGTGATGATGATGGCTTGTCGAAAGAGAAAAAGAGGAAAGGTTCAAAAGCTGCTAAACAGAGCGGCATGCATGCCGTAAAATAAAAAAGACACACACACACGCACGCACACACACACACACGCAGCACGCACAAGGTGGAGGGAGGGAGGGACGTTCCCCATGCAGGCGCAAGGAAACGTCTGGATAAAGAATATAATACAATATGGTATTAGGTTGCGAAAGGTGGGAGGTGGAAGGTGGGAGGTGTGGAGGGATTGATTGATTGATTGATTGATTGATTGATTGATTGATTGATTTCTTATTCAATCGATGCTTTTGCTTTTACTTCTGCACTTACAATTGAAATATATGATAGATATGATATGTACTGTAAATATACTAGTTTACTCGGTAGCTGCCGTATGTAATGTAATGTAATGTAATGTATAAAATGTATGTACCGGTGGTGTATATTTTGTCGGATCGGTCCACGAGAGGGAGAGAGAATGAGAGAGAGAGAGAGAGAAGAGATAAAGAGGAGTCTGAGGTGGTGGTGGTGTGCGAGAGAGAGAGTGTGTGTGTGCGTGTGTAAGTGTGGCCGCCGTGGGTCGTGTTCAATTCAAGAACCAGACAACAGACAAGACAGACAGACAAGACAGACAAGACAGACAGACAGACCAGATCAAGATCAAGATCAGACCAGACCGAACCAGACCAGACCACAGAGGAGATCAGGAGGAGTAGGAGAAGAAGAAGGAGGGGTCCTTTTGGGAGGAGTAATTGAGTAAGTAGATACCCAGGTATGTAGGTAGGTAAGTAGGTAGGTAGGGAGGAGGGAGGATCAATTAAGGGTCGGGTGCTAGCAATATGTATGTATGTAAGTATGTGGATATATGTAAGTGTGTCTGCAGCACGTCCGCTCGTCTATGTATGTCTGGATGGAGAATAGTATCCTATCCCGGTACTGATATACTAATACTCATGCTACCTAGTTAGTGTTCCTATTTGATGATATGGTTCGGACTGCTTCGATCTTGGTGTTTTGCTTCTTTGCTGACCGGACTGACTGACTGACGGATACTACTTACTTACTTGTTTTGCTTGCTTGCTTGCTAGTTATTAGCTAGCTTGGTTTTTTAAAGCTTCCAACTTGAATTGGAAAACAAGAATAAGAATAAGAATAAAAATAAAAATAAAATAAAATAAAAATAAAAATATATTAATTAAAAGACGGAGAATAAGAATAAGAAAAGAGTACTCGGAAGTATGTACGATGGTAAATAGTAAATAGTAAATGGTTTAGTATGTATGTATGAAGTATGTACGATGATATGTAAGTATATATTATGTATAGTGGAAACAGTCCGCCTCAAAGATCGATCTTGAGAACCAAACCAAAGTAAAATACCTATACTATACTAAGACCTGCCAGTAATGCGGTTTCTTTCTTTCTTTCTCACCTTTAGGCTAGTACTATAGTATAAAAAATAAAAATAAAAATAAAATAAAAACCTGGTGCTTTTTGTACTCGACAGGTACCCAACCGTTCTGGACTGTTCAAAAGGGCTCAGTCTTCCTGAGGAGGATGGTACATTACTTGAAAGCCTCCGTCTGATTGGGGACCCCAAAATTTGATACGGCTGGTTGGAGCCGCTCTACGGTTAGAGCATCATATTCGAAACCGATTACTCTCTTCAATTTTTTATTTTTTTTTATTTTTTATTTTTTCTATTTTATTTTATTCTATTTTATTTTTATTTCCAATTCGCCTCCTCTCTGGATCTCATCTGCAGAAACTGAAATAAATCACTGCCTCCTTCAGAATTAAACTATTCGTTTTTTTTCTTATTATTGCGATGTAATGAAACGAACGCAATTCCATCTCTACCTCGTGGTACATGTACCTTTTTTACAATTACGCTTCCACAGATCTTAAATCTTAGCCCCAAAATTACGGTGCAAGTCATTCCTCCCTCGCCTGGGGGAGAGGCCCCATGGGTGGATGGGTGGGTGTGTGGGCTGTATTGACAAGCTCCCACCCCTCGACCCTCGAAATTCGTCAATGGCGGCCAGCCTCTTTTCTTTTTTACACACAGCCAGTCAACCTCCGAATACATACTCCAAGGTCCTCAGCCTTCCTGCGACCTGGGATTGGATCTTAAGTGAGCGAGAGAGAGAGAGAGAGAGAGAGAGACATAAAAGGGAAGAAGAAAAACAAGATCATTAGCGTAAGAAAGGTATCAGATTTGCTTTTTCGCGGCCGGCTTCAACGATTTATGCGAAGGGCGGCGCGCTCCATTGAGTGAAGGGAAGGCTGGCTGGTCCGTCTTTTTCTTTTACTTTACTTTATTTTATTTTTATTTTATTTTTTTTAAACTTTTCCTTTCCCTTGCTCTTCTTGAACGAACTCTTTCAAACGAGAGACGCCATTATCGTAACGAGCCTCGCAAAGAAGAAACGTTGAGAGAAAATCAATCCCCCCAGCATCATTTTTTTGTTTCTTTCTTTCTTTCTCTATATTTTATATTTTATTTTTTTTAAAATTTTTTTTATCTTTTATTCCAACCCGAAGAAAACAAAATAATAGTTTTCCGGATTACCCTGAAAATAAAATAAAGAAGAAGAAGAAGAAAAAAAAGTTTCCCCCCCCACGAAAACTAACTATAAC